GGGGGTTCCGCATGTCACACCGAAGGGGGGAGGGGGCGGGGGGGGGCGGGGGGGGGGCGGTGGGGGGGGGAGAACCGCCGCTCCAACGGGAACTCACACGTCCGTGGCGACGGCTGCGAGTCCGCATGCCTCGTCCACCTTCCTCTGGTTGGCCTGCAGAAGCTCGTTCATGGAGGAGCGCCCATCCACCTGGTGAGCGGCCGCCATCACCGCCAGGCACTCCTGTTTCATCCGCTGGTAGTCCACCTTCGCCTGCTCGGCCTCACGGCGGAGATCCTGCGGAGCGAGTGGAGAGCAGGGCTCGTTGAGCGAGCCCGGTCGCTACGCGGTGCCCCTGTTCGCCCTCCTTCCCCTAACCCCCTTCGCGTGGTTACGTCGCGCCGGATTGGAGAACCGTACATTTTCTGTGCCCCGTTGCTGGAATTTTTCGGCGTGCTGTGCCTGGCTCGCGTTTTGTTGTAACAAAGAAACAATCCGAGCCTGGTCGTTGCACAGGCATTTGACAACACCTCACTCAAGCAGCTCTCGAAAAAGTATCTCCGGTGTGTTTGTCATGGTTTTATATGTTGCGTGTCGTTGGGCACGGCTATGTTCTGGAAGAGGCTTCCGGAATGTAGAAGTGTTGGGCATCGTAGCAAATGATAAGCGGTGCAACGCCGAAAAGCTGTACAGCACAACCCCGCAAAAACCTAAAGAGTCATGTTAACCAAGCCTGTCCGTGGATCGGTACCAACAGTGCCTCATTCTAGCGGCTGCTGTCAAGAATCACTCGGCTGATGCCAGGTAACTGAATAATTCGATCAATTGACTTTAGGTTAACACCTCTATTCATACTGTTGGACAACACACACACCTGGATTTCACGAATTCTCTGCGCGTTCTCCACGGCCGGGTTGCTGTGGAAGATCTTTCGGATGACGAGAGAGATCCTCTCTCTGCACGTGTCCATGCGTGTCCCCATGGACTGCAGGCTGCCCACCGTCTTCTTGCACATGGCGTTCTGCTCCGATTCTTCAAAAAACAAAACACACAGCGTGCGAGTATTGTATGCACTAAATGGAATGTTTGCAGCATATTTCATTTTTTTAAAAGCCAAAAATGGCTTTGATCAATTTTCAATACATATATAATGTGTAATAGACCGGCTTAAAGGCTTGCCACATGAATGTCTACCAGTAGTATTTGTTTGAGTTAGGTAACCTTGAATTGTTTCCGCTGTAGTTAGCAAGGCATGAGTAAAAACGTCAGAAGGTATCAGAATTTTGACTCAATGCTAAGCAACAGATTAACATTCATTTAAAGCACAATGACAACATGGATATTACCACTTAAAAAAAAGGATCAAATAGCAGGGCAATAGAGAATGCAAGTGGTGAGGTGGGAAAGGTAAGAAACGACAAGCTGACATGACGCGGCGGATGGCACGTAAGGTTGCGAGATGATGTCACACGCAACGACGTCTCTGTAATTCTAGATTTGAAGCTTGTGCTGCCTCCGAAACGTCATGATTTTTATGTTATTTTTTATTTTACTTTTATTAATTTTAATGTTTTACCTACGTGACTTTACCGAAAAAACCTAAGAATATGAGTCTCTGTAATTATGAATCCTTTTGGCGCTCGTTCTCATCTCTAAGTTTTGGGAAGACTTATCTCCGGTAAGTCCTTTATGGGAAGACAAATTGATGAGAAAAAAACGGAATTCATGTTGGGTCAACTTTACAATAGTTACTATGACCGCCCTCCCACCAACCCCAACCCCCTCTTACAGACTGAGCGGGGGAGAGTGGAGTGAACGCGTTCACGCATTCAACCTTGGTTGTGAAGTCATACACAACGTGCGCCTCGCTGTGAGTGACTTTCTGGGGTCAGGGTTCCCCACGGCAGTGAGCAGCCCCACCGGGGGGTGTAGGCGGGGGAGGGTGAGGGGGGTTTTCGCCACCACTGACCCAAGCGCAGCCTCTCCTGCAGCTCCCGGTAGCGGCGCTCGCAGGCCTCCACGTCCGCCTGCACGGAGGTCCACTCGGGGACGCCCACGCTGCCCGCCCGCTGCCCCGCGCGCCGGAACTCCTCGTGGTGGCCGCGCAGGCTGGACATGCGCTCCTCCCGCTCCTGGCTCGACATCTTCTTGAACTGATGTCGGACGGACGCAGCGGTGGTTTTTCCGGTTATCGCCGTGGGAGAGGAGAGAGAAAGAGAGAGGGGAAACGTCCGGCCAGCAGCCTTGGGCATCTTCCGCGCTCTCGTCGGAGCCAGGGTGTGGCTGGAGTTCCGCCATGCACGGCTGACCCACGCAGTGCCGGCCTTCAAGGAGCAGTGGGTGCTGGAGGAGGCCGTGTGCTCGGTGGCAGATGATGGGGAGCTCTGCATGCAGATATGAGCTACCCGTCGGAGGCCGTTGGACTGCAAAAAGGGCTGCGTGCAGATGCAGCACTTGTCGTAGTAAAAAAATATTTTAAAAAAGAGAGAGAAAGAGGGAGGGAATTCTCCCTCTCTCTCTCTCTCTACTGTGCAGAAGATCTCTCTCTTTCTCAACATTGCTCGCGACGTCACCTATCTTGTTATTTCCTCCTCTCTCGAGGGCGATGATTTTGACGAGACGTGTTGAGATGTTTTCGTTATCCACGGCTACTTTTATTCGCGCTCTCAATCGATCCGTGTGAAAGGCCCACTATCCGAGCATCAAGGGTCTATCGTCGGCACCTTTCCGTTGATGCGAGGAGTCACTCGGAAATAAATACCATTATCTACTTTTACCTGCAGCTAATACATCCAGAAGTGGTCTCTCATAAGCGTGAATTAATCCTATTATGTATACCTTTCCGCAAATTAGAATGGTCACCCAAAGGTGCTGAAAAATGTATCCTATTATCCAATTTAACCTGCAGATAACCACACAAATAAGCGGCAACAGTGGAGTAAGTAGACAGCAGCGGGATCATAGGCGCCACCACAACCAAAGCAGTCGAGGGGCAGGTGAATAATGATGAACAACACCAACAACAACAACAGGAGTAATTTCCATCGGACAATAAAGGCATTATACCATTCACCACTAGTTGCCCCCGCATCGCCACGCTTAAGAGGGCATTCAGAGCAGGATGGCTGCACCCACCGAGTCGAGGTTCCAGGCCTGGATGACGGTGATGTCTTTCCTGACGCGCTGCCAGGCGAGGGCACCCTGCAGGCTGCCCAGCGTCTCCTGCAGCTGCTTGGGGATTTCGGCAAAGAGCAGCTTGATGCTGCCTCGCGCAAGATCACGTGGGAGAAAATTCGCACACACGCGCAGGGACACGAGCGCGTTCGTCGCAGCTCGGCAAAACGCACGTCGATGAGAATGACGGAGCGAAGGTTGATACCGAGAAACGGATTGCGTCCCGTGCGAAGCACAAAAAATAAAGTGGCAGTGCAATTCCTACCGGGACACCGCCTCGTGCTCAGCTGGAACCTTGGCCCTCTCCGCTAATGCGTTAAAGCGCCTCTGCAGTTCCCTATCGGGGACGTTCCTCTGCTCCTCCTTTGGCGGAAGTGGAAAGCGCACACGACGGGAGACAACACAACAAGGTGTTTGAGCGTTGGCGTCAAGAAATCGCGATTAGGTCGAGAGCCGGCGGGGGAATTGCGCGGTGCGGTGCGGTGTGAGCGCCGTGTCCTCCCCCCGGGCCCCTTGCCTTGCAGTCCTCCAGCAGGCTCTCGAGGCGACCCGCGCTGGCCGTGCGGTCACAGGCGTACTTGCGGCCGATCGCCTCCTTCCTGGACCGCAGCGACGTCTCGATCTCTCCAGCCTCCTTCAGAAACTGAGGGGGGCGCACAAAGTCCCCGGGTCGGGGGGCGTGTTTACGCGATCGCCTTCGCGTCAGCAGAAGTTCGCCTCCCCAAGGCAACGTTTGCAACGGACTGGATATTGGGAATTAAATTAAAAGGTACCCAATTGTATTAACAATAGTTATACACGAAGAAATGCAAGCGAAACCCCAACGGAGAATGAGGATTAATGAGAAGCCCTTCTTGTGTTGGCGGTGACTGCGGGGTACGACGCACGACTCGCTTACGATGGGTTTGACACAAACCTAATCGGAGAGAAACGACGCGTTTTTATTCAGACATCCAACCAACCTCATCGGCACGGAGCGGTAAAATTATTCCGTTGAGGAATTTCAGATATTCGTAGATCGTCGTCTTCAGAGATGTGAAGCGGGTGTAGATGTCCACATACTGCAGCGTGAACACACAGACTTTTTAGCTCTCTCGACAACTTAAACAACATGAAACAAACCGCGGGTAAATATGACACTGTTATCGTGCAACAGCTCACACATGTGCCGATTTGAAAGCGGTGGCTCAAGAAACACATCGATATTATTATTTCCCAGTGACGGTTGCCGTGAATAGGCTTTTACGTCGTTAAAAATGTCCCAAAAGTGAATGTGCCGGACGATGTAACATCCCACCTGCTTGATGATGTCATTGGTGGGCTTCTCCCTTCGGCCTTGAAGATCTTGGCCGCCTGCCACTCTCCTGAAGCTCATGAGGAGCACCTCATGGTCCTGAGGGAAACGAAAGCCAGAAACCGCCACTGATCCTGCAACCCACGGTATTCACCAATCACATGGCCGGACAGCTGGGCCTTTCCTGAGGCCGAAAAGAAATAGCAGTAAATCATATGAGGACCTTCAAGGACATGCTAATTTCATTGCAATGTTAACTGAGGAAAATGCAAGGTAATTTTTGTAAGCACAGTCAAACTCGGAAACCCTAATAAATGAATTGGAGTTTGCAAATTCGTGGCAATTAGGCCAATAATCCCCTCAAGAGGTGCTCCCTAGACCCTTCTGGAGGACCTGGAGAAAAATCCACGCAACCACAGGGAGAGAGACGTGCAAACTCCAAATATACAGCAGGCGTCAGGGTCAGGATCAAACCCACAACCTCCTCCATACCAGGTGAGTTAGTTAACATCTCGCCACCACGGCACACCTGTGTCATGCGTGCCAAGTTTACCTTGAGAGTGGCCGCAAACAGCTCCGATAGCTCCTTGCACTTATTCAACTTCAATTCATTCTCTTCGATCTTCGGCAGGAGTTTCTGAAACGTGGCAGCGTCACTGTCTTTAGGAAACGTGCACAAAAGTACCGCCCTTTTGTCAGCGCGCTACTTCATTGTCGTGCTGTGTGCGTCGTAGGGGGGTTACGTGACCATCCTCTAACGTGCTGGTTGCTTGCAGGGGTTTAGAAACTGGTTCCGATGTTAGCCATGGCCGGGAATCGAACTCGGGTCGCCGGGTTCAGTAGCACAGTGAAGGCAGTGGAGTGCAGACTTGGATTACATTCAGAAACTTTGCACCTTACACATTCCAAATGACATTAAAATCATGCAGCGGAGGAAATGTTCAAGACACCTTGAGCTGTTCAATGGTGTCGTTGATGACCTGACAGTTGTCAGGCTTCATGTGCTGGATCTTCTCCTGCCAGATGGAGTTCTCAGTCCAGCCAGCGGTTCAGCTCCTCGTGGCTACCACGGAACGCCTGCAGGATGCCGCGCATCTGCTCCAGGCTCTGCCTCCTGGGGACGGGAGTGGAAGGGCCAGGCGTGTGCAGAGCCACCACCGGCGCAGCGTCCAGAGGTCATGTTTATGAATTGAAAACTCATTCCTTTAGAACTGATTTTTTTTGTCTGCAGTTTGTTGTCCTTCCCCCGCACCTCTGATTAGCACGGTTGGCTACGCACGGTGCGGAAGAAGTTCAACACACAGACAGACAAACGTGTGACGTGAGTTGCGAGAGCAAGCGGAGATGATAAAGGGGTGAAAGGCCAAGGTGCAGCCCTGCAATTGCTGACTCACGCCACTGCTGGTGGAAGGGCATTCACAAGAACGAGCTACAAGAGTGCCGCTATCATGAAACCCGAGGTGGAGCTTACTGCCGATCTGACCGGGTGCCATCGCACACCACTGGCTCGGGCTCAATCGTACCAGCCAGCCAAAGCTTGTAAGCCCCACGGAGTTGCAGCTGAACACTTTCATTACGAGCCACATTCACGTCAAACCGTACGAGCGAGCTCAGGATTTCCCCTTAGCACTCACAACGGGCACGACCGGCGAACGCCGGCTACAGAACACGCACGCCAGGGCCCACCACCTGCACAGGCCTTCTCAGACACGCGCCACACCAGACCAAGGCCGACACGTTGCGGGCGCGATGGCTGTGCCTACGGCACCGCGCCGTGCGTGCGTGCGCGTGCTGCACCTGCTGTCGATCTGGGTGCGCATGGCAGCCCAGCGGCGCTGGAAGTCGTCGGCGCGCTCCCGCACCGCGTCCGGGTTGGGGTCTCGCTGGCCGCACGCGTGCATGAGCTCGTCGTTGGCGGCGCGCGCCTCCCGCACGTGCCCCTCCAGCCGCGGGAAGCCCTCCTTCTCCTGGTGCATTCCTGTGCTCCATGTCCTGCGATCCACGTGTACGGACGGGTGAGCGACGTGATGCAATCGCCGCTCGGCGAGCAAACGTCACCCGCCGTTGTGTCGGGTAGGTGGAGTTGCGGAGGAGCATAGGCCTTAGAGCGTGGTACAGTACAACATCGGCCTTTGCTGCACCGCTCTCTGCTGACAAAGTAGCACCACTGACAACGGCATGTGAATATCAATAACCACGCTGTGTGGTTATGGGTCGTAATTTTGCGTGAAAATAAATGCCAGCAATTCTGTACGGTTGTTGTGGGTAAAAGCACGGGTGCTGCTGGTCAACCCCGCTTTTGTGTTGCTTTCCCACTGGCGCAGCCAACCCGTGCCAGCACGGGTCCCTCACACTCCGTGTGGTTTTCTATTGGCTTCTTGCCAAACCAAATCAGAACTAAACTGTGAAATGCTGGCCTCACAAAACATCTCATAATTTTGTTTTCTTTGCAACTCAACGCGAGCCCGATGCAAAGCGCTGATCACCAAACGGAGGGGGGGGGGGACAGAAATTCCCGCGAACAGCAAATCCGAGCTTGACGATACAGGGCCCAGTGAAGGGGGAAAACTGGGCTCACTGCCGCAACCAGTTGGGGAACACGAGCAGGGATATGAAAGTTTACATGTGGAGTAGAAAAGGGTAGGGGGAAAGATAACTAATATACCGGGGGGGGGGGGGGGGGGGGGGAAGAGAAGGGGTGCAAAATATGTTTTCTTATCGAATCGTAATTTATACAGCGCCTTGAATCTGGCTCGGGCCAAGCAGGGCCAGGGGTGCGGGGTTAATCGTCTCGTCCGTCGCGTGCGACTTTCAGCGGCGCGGCCCGATAATCTGCGGTGGAAAACAAACCGAGCCGTGCCGGGGTTGGGTTGGCCCGGCACAGCCTCGGCGCGGCTCAGTTAGCTCCGCGGCACGAGAGGAAATTCTTCCGAGACGGCGTGCACCGCAGGAGGGCCCCCCCCAACCCCTTACCTTGAGGCGGTCCAGCGCCTTGAGGATGGAGGGCACGTCCCCGGGCACGACGCTCTCCTCCGCCAGCTTGTGCTCCTGCTCGGCGAGGCGCGGCTCCAGGCTCTCCACGTCCTGCAGGGCCACGTGCAGGGCCTGCACCCTGCCACGGACAGGAGGTGGGTGGGGGGGGGGTGGCACCTCGAGTGAACGGCGCTTCCAAGTTTCCATCAGGCGAGCGCTGACACCCCCCCCCACTTGCCCCCCCCTTGCCCCCCCCCCCATTTTATGCAAGGTAAGCGGTGGCTCTCGTTGCCAACCAGGCCAGTGGTGACTGTGCATTTGGCTCTCAGGAGGGTGTCGGGATTGGTTTTGAGCTAATAATCCCGGGGGCTTATTCGTTCGTCCATCACCTCTGTTTAGCACAGGGGAGAGTGATCTCTAGCTGGGTTTCTGGTGTTGTCCCCTCGTACATGTGTGTACGGGTGTTCTCCGGGTATGCTGCTCATAATCGAAGTTGGCCAAACACCAGAATGTAGACACTTCCTAAACAAACAACAGTCTTGAGACTCGGTGTGGATTTCATGAAAAAAGAAAACTACTCCCATTACTTTCAGAATTTATTCCAGTTTTACTTATAAATGACCACTAGACTATTTGGTGCATTACCCTCCCCACACAACTCCAATTATAAACACTCAGCGGATGCCAGTTTGAAGTCCCTAAGCTTTTTATCTTGAGGCAGGCCCTGAACCAACTGGGCACCTAGTTGACATCTTGCCATGGTGGCGAGATGTTAACGACCTCACCTGGTATAAAGGAGGTTGTGGGTTCGATCCCGACCATGACGTCTCTATATTTTAAGTTTGCATGTCTCTCTCCCAGTGGTCACGTGAATTTTTCCTTCGGGTCCTCCGGCTTTTATCTCTCCACATTTTGAATCAACGCGCATTTACAGCATTTGGCCTCTATACATTTCCACGCGATAAGCCACTTCGTTGAGCTATCAGTTGCGACAACCGGGTCGCCTCTAAAAAAAGATCTATACAGCTCAGCGGGGCCTTAATTGGTAAAACATAAAAAAAAAGTTTTTTTCATTTTCGAGTGAAGAGACTCACTCTGAAGTGGCGTGGGACGAGAGGTTCAGGATCTGGTGGAGCCTCTGGGAGGCAGCGCCCAGCTCTGGGGCCAGGGAAGCGGGGCCGGGGCCCCCGAGACCCGGGGAGCGCACGTCCTCCAGCGATGCTCGCAAACCCTCCACGTCCTGGTGGACCCTCTGCGGGTCGCAAAACGCAGCGGCGCAACGTGGGTCGTCAGTGTGGACACGGCTTTGTCAGTGCTGTACTGCCACGTGAGTTGGTGGTGGTGGTGGTGAGTGGCCGGAACCATGCCTGTTAGTCAGTCACGGTTGTTCATAATCAACGTTTTTGGGTTTAGATCGCGTTATTTATAAATGTGTCGTAACCCTCCACCACCCGACACGGCCAATCAGTAAAAAAGTGTCACGTTGACAAAAGACAAATAGTTCACTGCTTTAGCCCACCGGTGTGTTGAAGCGTGAAACCACAACATTTACAATTTTTGAGTACGACGTTTCGCTGGTAATTGCATCCAGCATCATCGGGCAATTCGCCAGAATGGTGAGGCTCTGCTCTGTCTCCCGTTCTAATATAGAGCAGCAGCAGCAGAGTGACGTCATCATTAACTCATCAACTCATCAGGTGCAACGATTTGAGACGGGGGGGGGGGGGGGGGTATTGTAATGATATACTAGATTAGTAATCAAGCAGTTGTGTAGTAACGGTTGGCTACGCACGGTGCGAAAGAAAGAAGTTCACCATATCATCTTCTTGGTTCTTTGGGTAAAGTCACGTAGAAGGGAAGTAATAAAATAATAAAAATAAAACATAATAAAATCAAATAATTCTCACGACGTTTCGGCTACAACGTATATACACATACATTTATTTTTGATGGTGGCCCAAGATAAGATGATCACAATGTACTTCTTCGCGTACTGCTGAGTCGATTTGCGTAATGCTAAAAGGCTGAGTGAATCGTACACATCGTTGATGTGTTTGATTGACACGTACGGTTTTCTGTCCTGTGCCATTTTTCTGTGAAACTGCACGTGCGCCCCCCACAATTTAGAGATTTCATTGAAAACCATGACTGGCTGCCTCCTGTCACCTCAGCCTCTGTGTGTCAGCGGTAATCATCCTCTTCGGGCATACATCAGAAGCAGATGAGAATGGCGTACAATCTACAGCGACCAACAACCGCAGTACGTTTCACGTGTATCCCTCTGTGAATCGGTATTTCAGTCACAGCACTTACTCAAGTAATTTTCATTTGCAGGGAGTGGGTGCTCAATCTTAACCAGAAGAAACCTGGGACCTATCGTATTGATGATGATTCATGTAACACGCTACAACCCTTGACTACAGTAAAATACAACTCTGTGCAACACGCATTTCACAATGCTCATCTTATTGTGGGGTTTAGACAAGTGTAAACACTTCTTCCCATTCCTCTTGTGTTTTTGTAGTTGGGAGTTGAGAATAGATTTATAACACGAATTAATTCTGGGTAAAAGGTCAGGAACAAACTGAGTATTTAAGGTGTGGAACTTTCAACTGCAAAAGTTCGGCAGATATTTCACACTATCGCCTATAATAACATTACATGAGACCATGGTATTAGCGTTACAGGATAGTTCACGTGCTGCACTACACACCTGCAGCTCTGGCAAAGCAGGTCATACAGTCGTTGCCAATTTTCGCACTCATATAAATATGAGCACAGAACAATGTATATTTATAAAGCGTCCAAATGTAACCAGCGTACCTAGACCCTTCAACAAGAAACTAAAAACATGAAAAGAGGTTGGGTATAAACAGCGCAATAGGTACAAGAGATCAAATATATTTCTTTAGGCATACGCCAAGCGGACCACACCGCTTCATTCAGACCGAGGGCTCACGGTTACGAGGCCACACCTGCAACTCTGAGATTCGCTGGGCATTTTCCGAGCAGCGGGTGACCGGCACGTGGATCTTCTGGACAATGAGCCTCTCAAAGTCCTCCATCTTCTGCCGATTCCTGCTCAGCTGCCTCACGAGCTCCTGCAGACGCTGCTCCTCTTCGGACTCTGGGCGGACAGAGTCGAACGATAAAGAGCCGCACAACGCAACGTCGCACACCCAACTCGCTCGGCATCAACCGAGGTATCCGACGGATACGTCAAAAGATCGTACGTGTGAACATCCGTAGATGATGACAGTCGCACACCGTGCAGGGCAGGGGGAGGGTAGAGGGGGGGGGGGTACCTCGGCGGAGTTTGCCAAGCAGCGCCTGGTAGTGCTGGCGCGCCGTCTCGGCGTCCTTCTCCACCTTGAAGCGCTCGCCCACTCCCACCCAGCCGCCCGCTTGCGCCGCCGCCGTGAACTCGGCCAGATGCTTCTCCAGCGAGGCCATGACGCGCGACTGCTCGTGCTCCGGGACCAACTTCAGCTGCGTCGTCATCAATCATCATCGTCATGACGCCACAACGCCACTCGTTAAACGTTAAACCTGACAGGCACAGGCTAAGTGTCCTCCTGTTAGAACATTCTAAGTGGGATAGCCCCAGTAATGCAATTGTGACCGTGCAAATAAAATTGTGGAACATATAGTAAACCCATAGAGACACATCGACCCACAGAGATATTTTTATAGGTGAATAGCGATACACAGATACACGTGGTGATATAGACCAATAGAGACACATCGACCCACAGAGATATTTTTTATAGGTGAACTAGCTGTACTACCCGGCTTCGCCCGGGACTTGTATCTACCACGGCCGGCCGCCTTTGTCTCCCCAGTGGCGATGTTAATACGCTACAGCAGTTACTCGTTTGAGGCAGAGTCGACCTAGGGGAGGTTAAAATAATCGTCACCGGTGGTGGCCGTGAGCGGGAATCGAACTGGGTTTGCCGTGTTGGTAGCGCAGCGTAGCGTTAAGCACTACACCCACCGCTCCTCACACACCACACACGCACACACACAGACACACACACAGACACACACACAGACACACACACACAGACACAGGCAGCACGCTAAGCACTACACTACCGTTCCCCCTACACAACACACACGCGCGCGTCCATAGGTACACATACACGCGCTTGCTGCAGACACACACGACTTTCAGGGTGCGTACGGCAGTAAACGACTGAAATAATAAAGCGGCAATGCTGTGTAAGGAACGCCTTAGACCCGCATTACACATTTGTGTAATGCGAGCGTAAACACACAAACACACACGAACACATACACAATACACACACACATACATGCAGACACACAGACAGACACATAACACACATACATACACACACATACAAACACAGAAACACATACACACACATACATAGACACACACATACACATCCACAGACGTACATACACACATACATACAGGCACGCAGACATACACATAAACACATACAAAAAAACCCACATACATACACACACACATACATACACACAAACACATGCACACACATACATACAACACATGCATACAGACACACAGACATACACATAAACACATACACACATACACATGACCCGGCTTCGCCCGGGACTTGGATCCACCACGCCCGGCCGCCTTTGTCTCCCCAGTGCCGATGTTAATACGCAACACCAGTTACTCGTTTGAGGCTGAGTCGACCTAGGGGAGGTTCAAATAATCGTCACCGGTGGTGGCCGTGAGCGGGAATCGAACTCGGTTTGCCGGGTTGGTAGCGCAGCGTAGCGTTAAGCACTACACCCACCGCTCCTCACACACCACACACGCACAGACACACACACAGACACACGCAGACACACACAGACAGACACAGACAGACACACACACACACAGACACACAGACAGCACGCTAAGCACTACACTATCGCTCCCCACACACCACACACGCACACACACAGACACACACACAGACACACACACACAGACACAGACAGCACGCTAAGCACTACACTACCGTTCCCCCTACACAACACACGCGCGCGCGTCCATAGGAACACATACACGCGCTTGCTGCAGACACACACGACTTTCAGGGTGCGCACGGCAGTAAACGACTGCAATAATAAAGCGGCAATGCTGCGCGAGGAACGCCTTAGACCTGCAACACATTTGTGTAATGCGAGCGTAAACACACAAAGACATACAAACACATACACACACACACATACACACAAACACACACACACACATACACACACATACATACACACAGACATACACATACACACAAACACACACATACATACACACAAACACATACACAATACACACAGACATACATGCAGACACACAGAGACACACATAACACACATACATACACACACATACATACACAGAAACACATACACACATACATACACACACACATACACACATACATACACACACACATACACACAAACACATACACACACGTACATACACACATACAGACACACAGACATAGACATAAACACATACAAAAAAACCCACATACATACACACACAGACATACACACAAACACATACATACACACATGCATACAGACACACAGACATACACATAAACACATACACATGACCCGGCTTCGCCCGGGACTTGGATCTACCACGCCCGGCCGCCTTTGTCTCCCAAGTGCCGATGTTAATACGCCACACCAGTTACTCGTTTGAGGCTGAGTGGACCTAGGGGAGGTTCAAATAATCGTCACCGGTGGTGGCCGTGAGCGGGAATCGAACTCGGTTCGCCGGGTTGGTAGCGCAGCGTAGCGTTAAGCACTACACCCACCGCTCCTCACACACCACACACGCACAGACACACACACAGACACACGCAGACACACACAGACAGACACAGACAGACACACACACACACAGACACAGACAGCACGCTAAGCACTACACTACCGTTCCCCCTACACAACACACGCGCGCGCGTCCATAGGTACACATACACGCGCTTGCTGCAGACACACACGACTTTCAGGGTGCGTAAGGCAGTAAACGACTGAAAAAATAAAGCGGCAATGCTGTGCGAGGAACGCCTTAGACCAGCAACACATTTGTGTAATGCGAGCGTAAACACACAAACACATACAAACACATACACAATACACACACACATACATGCAGACACAGACAGACACATAACACACATACATACACACACATACATACACAAAAACACATACACACACATACATAGACACACACATACATACACACAAACACATGCACACACGTACATACACACATACATAGAGACACGCAGACATACACATAAAGACATAAAAAAAACCCACATACATACACACACACATACACACAAACGCATACATACACATACATACACACATACATAGAGACACACAGACATACACATAAACACAAACACACATACACATGACCCGGCTTCGCCCGGGACTTGGATCCACGATGCCCCGCCGCCTTTGTCTCCCCAGTGACGATGTTCACACACGACAGCAGTTACGCGTTTGAGGCTGAGTGGACCTAGGGGAGGGCCAGGTCCGTTTCAAATAATCGTCAGCGGTGGTGGGCGTGAGTTGGAATCGAACTGGGGTCGCTCAAGCAGCTTAATGACTGTTTGTACAAAGAACATATAAAGAATCGATTATAATAACCAGGCTACAGTCCACATTATAGACTGCCAGTACACGCAGTCAGCTTCATAAGCAGGCTAGAGTGTACATGATAGAGTGGCAGTACGCTCACCGAGCTTAATAAGCAGGCTACAGTGTACATGATAGACTGGCAGTACGCTCACCCAGCTTAATGAGTATTTGTACAGTGAACATTAAAGTAATCGATTGTTGGCGCGTTGGGTTTAAAAGTAATATTAATAGCACACATTGTGGTGGGGGTGTAGTGAAGAGTAGGAAAAACTTTGATGAATTTACCTCAGAGTGGCGTGGTGGGTGTCGAGGCCTAGTAGCGTGCAAAGCCTGCGGCCTCGCCTAAAATTGTCTGCTTGGAAGAGGCAGGGTACGGGTGGCGTTCCTTCCCCCCCCCTCAGCGCTCCAACAATACTGTGTAATGGCTATTATTTAATTAAATACGGAGCTTATGAAAGTGGCGAAGGCGTGGCTAGCCGTTGGCAGGGGCAACCGCCGTCCAATGAAACTGCAGCCCTTGACGAAGGCGTCGCTAGCCGTTGCCAGGTCCAATGAAAGCGGCGAAGGCGTGGCTAGCCGTTGCCAGGGGCAACCGCCGTCCAATGAAAGTGCGTATGGGCCGAAATACACACACACACACACAGACAGACAGACATGAACGATTTTATATATATAGATAGCGATACACAGATACACGTGGTGATATAGACCAATAGAGATACATAGAGACCCACAGAGATATTTTTTATAGGTGAATAGCGATACACAGATACACGTGGTGATATAGACCAATAGAGATACATAGAGACCCACAGAGACATGGATATACATGAGAGACAGACCATAGTGGTGTGATTGTGGCCATGCAACACAAGCTATGGACCACTTAGCAAACCTTCCCCCACACCTCCGATGAGCATGGTTGGCTACGCACAGTGCGAAAGAAGTTCAACAATCATAAGAAAATTCACCCAAAATGCACCTGATCTCACCAGATCTCAGAAACTCTAGCGGGGATGGGCCAGAAGAGTGCTTGGGTGGGTGACGCTCTACACACAGGAAGGCTGACATCGGTGTTACAGCGCTACGCGGTGAGCCGTAGGGAGCAGTGCTGCAACACTCATTGTTGTATCGTACTTCTGCACCTCCGTGTCTATGCTCTCCACCTTTACTGAACCTCACTGACAGGCATGGTCAAGTATGTTCAAATAACCTCGACAGCCTACATGGCATAGGGAGGGTCTTCATCCAGTAATGTATTAAAAAAAACGGGATTATAAGCACAAATTACCCTTGTAACCTAAAATATCCAAAAGATTTATAGTTATCCTACCGAGTTTTTTTTTTAAATGATTTTTATTAAGTTGCTACCGCGTGCTTTTTGGCATGACCTCCAACATTTTTGCACCCGGAACGAAACGTCGGACATCGTGCCGAACGACGCACAGCGCAACTCCGGAAAACACGTCGGAGACGCGTTTACATTCATTACGAAGCGACGTCGAAAGTGGGCAGGGGAAGGGCGTCTCACCGAGTGCTCGTTCCAGCTGGTGACGGTGCAAATGTCATCCTGCAGACGCTGGATCACCTGGTGGCCCTGCAGCCCTGCCGACTGGCGCTCCCACTGAACCAAGAGTTCTGCATGCAGCTGCTGGAGTCTGCGCGAGCCCACACATAGACACATGGGGTAAATGACAAAGACATATTTTTTGGTTCTTTCGGTAAAGTCACGGAGATAGAAAAAGAAGAATATTTGTACAAATTTTTTTAATATATTTATTTTTATTCACTTTATTTTTTTTTCTATCTACGCGACTTTACCGATAGAACCAAATAATATGAATTCCTGCAGTCACGAAAGTTTTAAGTAGAAAATGACAAAGACAGTCGCGCGCTACGACACACGCGTGCATTAAACGGTTAGGTGCATTCACAAATACACATGCGGACATGTCTCCGTATACGACACATATATGCAAACAGATACGCACAAAGGCAAATACACACACGTGCAGCAAACACGTGCGCACACACACACACACGTTCATGTCCATATATACAAGACAAAGATTCCACGTATAGCCTCAACAGACTGTTGGGGTCAAGTGCTGTTAGCGACCACTCATGAAGGCCGGTACGGCACACAAAGGGTTGAGTGGCCAACATCACACCTGACCGCCTTTGTCTCCCCAGTCGCGATGTTTACACACTGCACCAGGTACTCATTTGAGGATGAGTCGATCTAGGGGGAGGCCCAGGATCACTTCAGATAAGCATCACTGGTGTTGGCCGTCAGCGGGAATTGAACGCGGGTCGCCAGGTTCGTAGCGTAGCGTGCTAACCGCTGCACTACCACTAACCGCTACACTACATGTTCAATAGGTACAAAGACAAAAATCCCCCTTATAGCCTTCATGGACTGCTGGGGCAAGTGTTAGCGAACAGCTACTTATGTCAGAACAGCAAACAAATGGGTGGCAAGGCCTGCACGATGCCTGGCCACTATGGTGAGCACTTTGCTTATTTTCACACAGAGCACCAGGTACTTATTTGAGGCTGAGTTAACCTAGCCTCCTTGACTACGTGGTGTGACCAAATTTGCACAAATACCTTAATTGCTAAACTGCTAAATGTATCTTTGTCTCCTTTGACAGATGAATATAAAAAATGTCACGAAAAAATGACAGGATGTAGTTAAGACACCGGTGTGTTTCAAGGTAAGATGTGTCAGCCAACAGGACATTTAACATAGCCTCAAAGTGTTAATAATGTGTTTTTGTAGGGTCACACAAACATGTATTGGCAGCAGCGCTGCAAAAAAAAAAACGGACAAATGTAAGCCCTTGTGAATTTCAATAAGCTCACGCTCACATCTCTGCCCACCTTTGCTTATGAGGATGGACAGCGAACACAGACAGCGAGGGAATGCCTTTAAAATTCCGTTTGAGAAAAAAAAAATTCTATCAAGGCAAAAAAAAGAAAAATTCATCGCCACATAAAAGAAATCCACAAAAGTAAAACTGCATGAAATGGCAATGGTCCCCGAGGCAACGACACATTATTGGCGCTGGCGGTGTGACGATAGCTCAGAGGCGTTATTATTTAAGCACGTGCTGCGAACACTAACTGCAACATCAACGTCTCTATTTGTTTCCCGAATGTTACCCCACGTTGTGCTATCGGCGTCATGTCTCGAGACGAAGAATCCGTGCGGATTTTTCGCAGGCCAGAGTAAAAACCCTTCTTGTCTTAAAAACAAAAACAAAATCCGAGATCCTTTCGAGCGGCTTCTGGTGCACACTTTGTTTGGCCGTTGATGGCAAGGCTCACACCGTCGGCTCCCTTCTCTTGAGAACCTGGCATTGTCGTGACCCTACGGCTGCCTTGATTAAAACCCAGCATCTCAGTGCTCTGACCCCCGAGCTAACCGGCCGCCTCCAACAATAAATATCGTTTCTTAAAACAGCTACAATTTCACATTCACGTGGTCAAGCCAGATAATCGCGTCAGGAGCTGTCATGTCTCCTTTGTATTTGTGGATCGGGCATTGCATTGTCTGTTCCAGATGACCACGGTCGCACATTGGAGAGTTTAACATTTTCCATTTGTGCATCAGGTATCCGCATCTGCCATGATTTGTACACATGCGGTTTAGGGTGGACCATGGCGATAGATCTAGAAACTGCAGCGCGGTGGAGCGAAGCTTTCACCTGTGGGCCTTCTCCTGTTGGTCCTTACTCTTGGCTCGGCCGGGAAGCAGTCCCACGCGGGGCTTGGTTTCCTGCAGACGCTGATGCACCACCTGAAGCACGCACACAACCCCACTGTCGTTACCCCCTTATGCGTCACCGTGGCGAGGTGGTTAATATCTGGTATACAGGAGGTTCGTGGCTTCGATTCTGATCGTGACGCCTGCTGTATATTTGGAATGTGCACGTCTCTCTCCCCGTGGTCGCGCGGATTTTTCATCGGGTCCTCCGGTTTTTCCCTCCACTTTTAAAATCAACAACACGCGTTTAGAGTATTTGGCTGCTAATAATTTGCACGTGATAAGCCACTTCGTTGAGCTATCATTTGTGGACAGGTCGCTTCTGAAAAAGCTATGTAGCTCAGTGGACCTTATCTGGTTAAATCAGAATAGATAAGTTTCGTTTTTACCCAACATATGCCGTTTCAAGCTCTCCATTAGTGTTTTCTGGTTGTTCTCCGGCTTGTTCAGCACGATGTCCGATGTTTCGCCACCCTTTTTCCTGGAAGAAGAGACTCAGATTCTGGCTAACCCCAGGGTGACACTAATCTTGAGGCTCGTAAGATGCTCAATTGCAATACGCACGACCCATCATTAACTGAAGCTCCCAGCTCCCGAAGAGGCTCCCAGCACGTGCAGCGAAACGTCAGACATCTTGACAAACAACTCGCGGTGCATCCTAAAAACACATCGCAGAGATAGACGGCTACGACCGCAAACATAATAATAATAAACCCCTATGCGGTAGTCGTATTACCGAGTGCTTAAGTGACGTTGGTGGCTGCACGCTCACCGCAAACTGAGTCGCAATACGGTAAGGCGCGCGCCACAACGGAGCATGCGTCCCGGCTGTGTTCGCGGTGTGTGCGGTGCGGTGCAGTGTGAGCAACACACGGCCATGTCGAGCAGCAGCTGGTCGAGGCGAGCCAGGCTGCCTGGCTTCTCAGTGGCCGCCCTCCTCAGGGTCTCCTGCACGCTCTTCAGGCCTTCTTCCAGCTCGTGCGCCTCCGCCAAGAACTGCAAAAACAGGTGCTTGTCCGTCAGACGGTTGACATGTTTGAATTATTATTTAGAAACAAAGGCACAGCCTTGCATTAATAAAAATGTGAAGGTACAGCCTTGAATTCCGATGAAGCCGAATGGGCTGCTAACGCTATTGCTGGTGGAAGGGCCTTCACGAGTGGGAGTTCAGGTGAGTTTGTCAAGATCGTACGTTGCCTCCTCTTCCACGCTGTTAGCATTATTTATATAGATATAAAACACCGATCTAGGCGGTGGATTGTGAGCGGTGTGTTTGGGACACGGTGCCAGCGCTCTGATCGTGCATTTAAAAATCGCAGCTGACAAAGTGCAAAACTAGCCTTACCTCAAATTGCAAGGCCTGGTTTGTGGTCGCCAGCAATTCGTTATAGCGGGTGCGTAGGTTGATGTACTGCAATGCAAACACAGACGTTACACGCTTCATTACGTTTGCACGTCGGTCACGCTGGTGTAGAACACCCGAAACGTTTAAGTCATCGTAATTGGCGCCATGTCTCGCCACCGTGTCCGTGGACACTGGTGAACGTGTGAAGCGATGCACAAGCACAAACAATAAAACAACTAAACACATTGCTCAACACCACTGCTCTACAGAGAAAAAAACATATATAATAGGTGACATTGCAGACAATGACCCTACCTTATTGCAATTAGTTTAACACGTTAGGCTTTCGCGACCAATATCATCCATAATAGAGGTTTGTTGGCTTAGATCGCGAAATATATAAAAGTGTCGTTCAAACCCGCCACCACCCGACACAGCCAACTAGTAAGGGTTGTCATGTAAACAGAACGTGGCAATTCGTCACTAGTACAGCACGCCGGTGTGTTGGAGAGCCAAGCCACAACATTTACAATCTGAGTACGATGTTTTTCCAGTAATTACAACTAGCTTCATCAGGCGACAGCCAGATTTGTGGAGAAGTCCACCTGTTTCGTTCCTTATATAGAGGCGTAGATGTGGTGACCACACTTCTGGCCTTTTCTGTTTACGTGACAACCCTTACTAGTTGGCTGTGTCGGGTGGGGGCGGGTTTTAACGACACATTTATATATTTACGAGATCTAACCCAAAAAAACCTATTATGGCAATTAGTACAGACGTTTTTCCTTCTTAGAGCAGTGTTGTTGTGGAATGTGTTGAGTGCTTGGACTGCTTCGGATCCTCTCGTTAAAAGCAGAATAGTGGACACACATCTTTGAAAAGCTCAATATTAATATGGCGACAAAAACTACAATGTTTCCGTACATCAATAGTAATATGATGAAGATGATGATTTGAATTGTGCCGTATCAGGCAACTGTCAATAGGTGTCCCTCGCCAGCAATCAACAATCACCTAATCACTTCATTGCCTGGCTGTGTCTGCACTCCAGGTCAGGACACGCCCTCTACAAATGAAAGTAGGATGCTTCGCCCATTATTGATGTATTGCCTATCCTCGAGTGATCGGGCCGAATTACGAACACCTTTCAAAATTTTAATTTCACCGAGATCATATTTTAACTCAAAGCATCCCCATGTTTAAATGACCGCCGGATGGTCACAGAATTAATCGGAAAAAAGCGTTGACCATTTTTGTTAAGTCCTGAATTGGTGACGGAGATTCCACATTCCTACGGCAGGGTCCCTGGGCCTTCGAAGAAGAACTTCTGTTGAATTGGTAATAAGCGGGCGGTGTTTGTTTAAAAACTAAAAAGACCGTGCTCACGTCCTGCGTGATGCGATCGGAGGGGGAGGAGATCTTGTTCCGGCGGTAGAAGTTGGGCTGGAACTTTTCAACGAGTGTCCTGTAGGTCAGAAGCAGCACCTCGTAGTCCTGCCAGGAAAATAAACCAACATTAACGTCACTCATCGAATGCATGTATGTGTGTTCAATTTATTACTTAGCCAACTGTACTAAACACAAAAACCGGTTCTAAATAAAAGAGTTTTCAATCTAGATTTGAAAGTGCATAGCTCCAGTGGCTTCCTAATATCGGAAGGAAGAGCGTTCCAGGCGGCCGCAGAAGCGCATCTGAAAGCTCGCGATGCAGTGACCTTCTTTGTTCGATGGTAAGCCAATAGGATGACAGGAGTTTGCGTGATGGTTAATAATCCTTGACGAGATCAGCAAGGTATTTGGTTCATTTGTGCAAAGCACTTTGTGTGTAATGAGTACGACCTTGTAATGTATTCATTCGTCAACCGGAATCCAATGCAGCTCAGCGAGCACCGGACGGACACGGTTGGATCTTTCAGTACCCGTCATGACACGTGCCAAAGAATTTTGCAGCCTGCCAATGTTTTTGCTTTTAGAAGAAACTAAGAAGGGGTGGTTTTGTAAAAGCTGCTCGGTAAAGATGAAAATGAAAGTGCTCACAACAAAAAAGAACGAACAAAAACACTGAAAGGGTTGCGAAAAATGGCATGGATGTCCAGTCTGAGTTCGTGATGTACATGCTGCTCGCATCGTCTTAACTATCACGGTCAGGATTTAAAAGTGCTCAGCGCTTAAACGCAAGAGTATCACGAAGCACTCGAAAGTGCTCGCCAAGCAACATTTCACCCGGGCAAATAAGGGGACAACGAGAAATGAATGACGGTATTCGAGACAATACAAATTGACAACATACGAGACCCACGTGTGCAAAACAGAGGGGGGCGGCAAGAACTCCTGTAAGTTGGAAGCACCAGTACGTGTACCTCCAACACAAGAGGGTCTGCCACGTGATTATGACATTCATTCATCATTCAAAGCACACTGTCTGCGACAAATTCACTGGCCGCACCACACATAATCACTGCCTATAAACCAGGTGCGTCTCATGGCACCTATGATGTATTTTAGTCGATCGTGTTGAGAGCCCTTGAGACGAGTATCAATAATGGACTCGATGTAACTGTAATCATGTGGGATTGTCACCCGGATCAGGAATGTGTTACAAGGGAACCGGTAAACCAATCGGGCCACTGGACCTCCATGTGGGACGCATGTGTGCAGAGTGCAATCCTGGTCTGAGGCCGGGTGTCAATTACCTTGAGGTCAGAGCAGCACTGCTCGCAGATCTTCTGACATTCGTCCATCATCTGCTGTTTGCTCTGAATGTCCAATATGAGGTTCTGAAACAAAAACGAGATCACGTATGGCAACCATCCAAGCTCAAAGGTGCAGCGCTGCAATTTCTTGTTCACGCGGCTGCTGGTGGAAGGGCCTCCGCAAGAGGGAGCTCAAGAACTTCCCGCTCGAGGGTATTTTTGGCCTACTCTTCCACACTCCGATCCGCAGAGTTGGCTATGTACGATGCAAGATATATACATATACACTGGCCAGATGTCTTGGAAGAAGTAGGAGTGCCGTGCACTTTACCCTGCCACCCCCGACCTACCAATCACTATACTCATGAACAAAAAGCAAATAACAACCGCCATTCGCCGCTAAGTGGCGGTGACGTCACCACGGCGCTTGTGCCAGGCTATGTGCACGTTAAGACCACGTGAAGTGTCGAACGCCCGCTGGCAGGAGGTCGCGTGGCTGACCCAGATGCCACGTGTCGACTGACTGAGATGACTGGCCGATGCACCACCTGTGCCCCCTACTGTGCCAACCCATGAACACTGCTGGGTGGACAGAGGCCAGGGGAAGGGGAGATTCTAAGAAATCGTCGTTTCATCAACTCCCGCTAGCGCAGGGGTCGGCAACCTACGGCTCCGGAGCCGCATGCGGCTCTTTACGGGCTGCTTCTTGACGATATGTACAGTATGTACAGTATGTACTCAGATGCATTGCGGCTTTTGAAATACTGAATTTTGTACCGAATTGGAAAGAAATGGCTCTTCTTGTTATTTTGGTTGCCGACCCCTGCGCTAGCGGATCCAACGGAAGAGGCAGCACCGCCTGAAGCGCGCTCACCACCTCCCCGTATTACAAAAAAATGCCTTAACAAGTCGTAACTTGCCTTTGAAGGCTACATGCTCTTGCATTCACTCGAGCAAACGTATTGAACGGCACGCCAACAATTGCACGCACGTTGGTGCTGCGTTCACGATGCGCATGCTGCTGCTGCTGCGTGCGTTTGTGTGTGCGGAGCGGTAGTACAACGGTTAGCGCGCTGCATTACAAACTCAGCGACCCGAGTTCGATTCCCGCTCACGGCCAACATCAGTGATGATTATCTGAACCGGTGCTGGGCCTCCCCTAGGTCGACTCAGCCTCAAATGAGTACCTGGTGTGGTGTGTAAACATCGCCACTGGGGAGACAAAGGCGGCCGGGCGTGGTGCTGGCCACTCACCCCCTCGTCTAGCCGTGCCGGCCTTCATAGGTGCTCGCTAACAGCACTGGCTCCAACAGTCCGTCAAGGCTACATGGGGATTCTTCCGTCTTCTGTGCAAACTATTACCATTACACCACGGCAACATCCTGCAAAGAACGTTATGACCGATTGAACGACTTGAACGAATGACTAAATGATCGAGCGACGGGCGTAATCACCTTGAGATCATGGCCATCGTCGCCGTGCAGGGCTCCCTGCATGGCTTCGTGGCGACGCGACGCGTCGTCCAGCCAGCGCGTCAGGCTCCCCGAGCTCTGTGCGTAGCTGTGCAGCAGCTGCCCCAGCTCCGCCAGCTGCCCCACGCTGCGAGCAGCACAAAGCAATCGGTCACTCACCCCCCCTGTCTGCCTGCCTGCCCGCTCGGCATGCAGGGAATAGGACGCCGTGCGCTACCCCACACATAGGCCTCGGCAAGGTAAGGTAATTTACCCCTTTTTACTGGGTAAAAGGGTAAAAGGGTAAAGGTGTCGACATGCCAAGGGGTAGGGTAAAGGTAGCGCGAAGTATTATCCGGTAATTACCCTGCTTACCGCTCGCTAAAAGCTCCGTGGCGCAGTCCGTGGTGCAGTCCGTGGCCTCCATTTAAAATTTGAATCATCGAGAGTATTCTATATGAATAAAGCGCTCTACCTAGCATTTACCGTTATAAACCTTGTTCATGTGTAGTACTCCAGTAATTACCCTGTAATCGGGTCATTTGTATGGAGTAATGGTAAAAGGTAGGGTAAAGGTAGGCTCGTTGTTTTTTACCTTTAACCCTACCTTGCCGAGGCCTACCCACACGGCGGGCAAATTGGTAGAAAACCGCACGCGATCGTAACGACGGGGGCAGCTCTCCAGCCTGTGGGGGAGTTGTTTAGAACCGCTGGGGATATACTAATAAGGTTTTTCCCCTTTTTTTATCAGAGTATTGTTTTTTGTTTGCATTTGACTGCAAGTATTGTGGTTAATGTAAGCATTATTCCTTGAAAAAGGTGTCAGTTTTGTTGCCAGAAAAAAGGGGAAAAACCCTATTAGTATATTTTGGTACTGGCAAAGGAGGTCCCATGATAAAAACCGCTGGGGAGTTCTTTAGAAGACGGTCAACCGGCATCGCGCTCTTTCAAATGCGCTTCTGCATACATCTGGAACGCTCTTGCTTCTGAAATTAGGAAGCCGCTGGAGCTATGCACTTTTAAACCGTCTAGATAGAAAGCTAATTTCTTTAGAATTGCTTTTTATGTTCAGTTTGTTGTCCTTCCCCCAGCACCTCCGATTCACACGGTTGGCTACGTGCGGTGCGAAAGAAGTTCAACGTATACACGCACAAAACACTTGCCAGAGTGTCGGGTGCCGAGAGGTTCCGAGAGAAGGTAAGAAGACGCAGAGGTGGACAGTGGAAAGAGACAGCGGTCAAAGAGTTCGGAGGCCACGACTGGGACAGCAGCAATGACGATGGAGAGGAAGTCACAGAATACAACTGGGGGGGGGGGGGGTTTGGGAGGCGAGGGCTTTAGCCCACAGTGAAAGTTACCGGCTGATAGCAGCAACAACAACAACAAGATGCCCCATTCGGAAATTTTACTTTGAAGAAGGGTAATGGGTTTTCATAGGAGAGAGATCTTTGTTTTTTGGAGACTTCTCTGCTACGAAGAAGGGCCATTGTCTGTGAATGCCACCTCTTCGAGATCTCTCTGCAACGAAGAAGGGAAATTTATAATTTGTCCTCTTGAGGGTGGCGTGATTTATTGAGTTTTATTTTTATTTGTTGTACTGTACTCTTGCGCAAACCGCCAAACTCGGCATCAGCAGCTCGCGTTGCACGACGGACAGCGCACCGCAACGCGCCATCCCGAGCCTCTCCACGAGCGACAACGTCAACAACAAAGGGGGCGAAGGGGGCCGCTCACCGTCCGTCCAGGTGGTGCCGCACGCTCCTCCAGCGCTCCAGCAGCTGCTCCACGTGCTCGCGGCAGCGCTCCACATTGGGGTCGCGCTCCCCGTGGTGGCGCGCCAGGCGCTCGTTCACCTCCCTGGCGGCCTGCAGCTCGCGCTCCAGACGCGCGAACGCCGACTCCTTCGCCGTCGCCACCTCGCTCTGCCTCTGCTGCGAGTGGCGGGAGGAGGGGGCAGGGGGGTTACGGAGCTGACGGCTGGCGCGCGGGCACCCTTCGTCAATGCGCTGCTCGATGGAGACCTTCCCTCCGCGTTCAGCGAGATTTGGATTATTTGGCTGCTGTAAATGTCCACGTGATAAGCCACTTAATTGAGCTCTCACTTGTGGCCAGGTCGCCTCTGAAAAAGAAGCTAATAGCTCAGTGGGCCTTACCCAGTCAAGTTAAAAATAGTTTAAGTTCAGTTTAACAATCCCCTCTCGTCCGTTGTATTTGCTTACCTTTCGTACAATTGCAAGAAACGTTCTGACCCACCCCTACCGCCCATCTGTGAACGGAGAGTTTTATAGCGCATCGGAATCCTCCAGTAGAAATTTTCTGACTCCGCTTTGTTGGCCACGGGGGTTATTTATACTTCACTTCGCCATGATAGCCAATTCAGGTGGGTGAGGGGGGCGGGGGGGTTGAAGACCGGATCAGATATGACTTGCCCACTGATGTTAGCCGTCGCCGGGAACTAAATTTAGGTCGCTGGGGTGCTAGACCAGAGTGCTAACTGCTGTGCCACCATTCCCATGACTGAACAGCTGATGGACATTTGAATCCTGCTCTGGAAGGATTAGAAATCTCAAATAGGGCGCAATTATTGGCACGTCCATGCATCTAGCTATGAAAGTATAAAACCAACAATTTAAAATACTGGCTGGAGGTTGATTGATTTAATTCTTATGGCAAGGCCTAAAGTTCTTAATCATATATACATAAACAAAGTCTTATGCTAAACGTTTAAAATGCACACAATCTCGAATCAGGAGTGAACCAATTAATTTGCCTCCCTTGGAGTGTGATGCTATCAGTTTCTAGAAGTGCACACACGTAGTGGATGGGCACATGAACACAATCCATGCAACACATTGAGAGGCAAATAGTTGAAGCACGTGGATTAGATAACATGCGCAGGCTCATGGCAAGATTCTAAACTGGGATTCGGGCTGATGTTCAAGGACAATAATGGAGTGGCAGCTAAGGAATGGCACTCATCCAACAGGATTCCAACCCGAGAAGATGCGGCAGTGAAATCAGTTCATGGACAGGTTCTGGATGTTGCATTTCAGGCTCGTGAGAGGTTGTGGCAGCTTGAGGAGGCCTTCATCCAGCGGTGGATTGAGCATGGTTGCTGCTGCTGGTGATGGTGATATATGTACGTATGTTGAACTTCTCTCACACCGTACATAGCCAACCGTGCTAATCGGAGGTGTGGAGAAGGACAACAAACTAAACACAAAAATCTGTTCTAAACAAATTCGTTTCCATTCTAGATTTAAAAGTGGCTTCCTAATATCGGAAGGAAGAGCATTCCAGACGGCTGCAGAAGCGCGTCTGAAAGCGAGCGACGTGGCAACCGTCTTTGTTCAATGGCCGGCCAAAAGCCGCTGCGAGGATGAGCGGCGTTCGCGTGACGACGGGCGCACACGTCAGTGAGCGTGGTGAATACAAGTTGAAGAAGAGGCATAGCCAGGCGACCTGCAGGCAGGAGCGCATGCGGTCGGCCTCATCGCGGTCGCCCGGCACCACGTCGGACTTGAGCAGCTCGCTCTCCAGTGTCCCCACCACCTCCTCCGCCTCCTGGCAGCCCTTCACCAACACCTCGAGGCACTTGAGGCTGGAACGCACGCAAACGCGTGCACGTGAAGACGCGTGCACGCAGGACGCGCAATGAGAACGCGCAACGCAAAAGACAGAGGCGTGGATTTGCATTTCAGCCTCGAAAGTTACCGAGCAGGCTAAGGCACAGCTCTGCAATTGCTCGCTCACACCACTGCCTGGCGGAAGCGCCTCTGCTGGTTAGAGCTCGATAGAAGCCCTCGAGAGGGTGTTCGCCTTACTCTTCCAAGCTGCCTTGTAATCGGTGGGAACACTTACACTCAACCCCATTGCACGTAACCCGCCAAACGACTGACGGTTGTTGTACCCGTTCACACTGTGGGGGCATGAGGAAGGAAATCCCTTCTCCCGTGCCTCCGATTAGCACGGTTGGCTACGTACGGTGCGAAAGAAGTTCAACATACACCGCTTGGTGAACATGGAGTCTAATGTAGTATTTATATTTCCTAATTTCGTGCATGGCTTACTGAGATCCGTGGATGAATTGCGCCTTATAAATGTCAATTATTATTATCATTAATGGACCGGTGTTTCAAACCGCTGCGGCGGAAAGATGGAGCCAGCGTGCAACCGTTCCACCAGGTGCCGGCACTCGGACGCGCTGCAACTGCCGACCGTGGCGAGGAGGGGGAACCCACTCGTCGCGGCAGTCGGCGGAGAGGCTGACGATGAGGTCGAGGTGGCGCGAGGCCTCGGCCAGGTCGGCCTCCAGGCCGGGCAGGAGGGGGCAGGACGAGGGCTGGGCGTGCTCCTCCACGCAGGCCGCCCCCACGCGCAGCGCCGTGTCTCGCAGGCTGCGAACTTCGCAGTCGAGCCTCTGGGCACGTGGCAACGGAGATTGGGGGGTGGGGGGGGGGGGTCGCGCAGGAGCGGGGGGTCACACACAGGGGGTCACGTGCGCCGCTCGCCGACACGTGTGTAGGTATGAACGTTGAACTTCTTTCGCGCCGTACGTAGCCGACCGTGACGATCGGAGGTGCGCGAAGACACAGCGCGTCCGCTCGCTCAGCCGAGAGCGGCTCGCTTTGTGCGGATCGCGACAGGACTTGTCGCCGTCGAGAATGGAGCGGTGGGACGGCGGTTTAGTGAGATGCGCCGTGAGCACGACGAGCCGACCGAACGCTAAAGGAGCGAGTTTTCGATCTACATTTTCAAAAGAGTGCATAGCTCCCAGTGGCACGAGTCGGCCAGGTCACCTCCTGCTCGAAGATGCGCGTGGAGATGTCCTGGGCCGCGTTGTGCTCCAACGGGGCGCGCACGCGCTGCAGGATCTGCTCACGGAATCCGTCCGCCAGACGCATGAACTCCCGCAGGCGAGAGAGGCTGTCGTGGCACAGCTCCTCCTCGCGGCACACTGCTCGCCAAAGCCCAAAAAGCAAAGGTCACCCCACCCCCCCCATACTCGTCATACTCTCCCCCAGAAGTCTGGCCAGTGGCTCTTGCTCACGAAGGTGCTGTACTGGGAGTCTAGCTCCTGCACGGCGACCTTCCGGCTCCTCCTCGCGCAAACTTCTTCATCCGCTTGCCGCGGTTGGCCACGTACGGTGCGAACAAAGTTCTACGTACGCACGTACATAGCCAGACGACGGTGGCGCGCGCCTCTAATTCAGCACTGTGAAGGTGAGTGTTGGCGGATTGCACAAATGTTGCAAAACTCCCTTCCCATGGGTGTCGAGGTGTCAAAAGCCTGGTTGCTAATTGCATCACCGGCAATTAGCGCCAGCGTTGCCGTCGGCGTTGCCATGGGCACCACCACTAACGTCGCCAGCATCGTCATCAGCATTGGCACCTACGCCAGCAGTATCTGCACATGTACAGTAATCCCTCGCCACTTTGCGGTTCAAGTTTCGCGGCCTCAGTGCATCGCGGATTTTTCAGTAACACCATCATCATCATTCATCATCACATTCATCGAACTGCACAGGTCTGTCATCGTCGTCATTGTCATCGTCATTGTCATCGTCGTCATTACTGGAGTCAAGTCTCAAGATACTACTGTCATTGGTGAGTGTAGAACACCATAATACGTGTCGTATGAGAGAGAGAGTGAATGTATAATATTAAGGTTTTATAATTAAATAGATTTAAGTAAAATATATATATAAAGTATAAATATACATATTTTAAACATTCTGGTACCCACACACACATATACGAAAATTCCTAGGGGGCCAATCCTACTTCGCGGATGTTCACCTATCGCAAGGGGTTCCGGTCCCCATTAACCGCGATAAACGAGGGATCACTGTACAGCCCTTTTGTCAATCCACTTCTCGATGAGGGCCTCCCCACAATCTGGTGGATTATTTGACAATACTTCACCACCTTCGATAGTGAGGCTTGGCGAAGGCGGGCAGCATAGACGCACAGTACAACAATGGGTTTGTCTGCACTAGCTTCTTACTGCACACTACATGGCCCTGCAGCTCTCGGTAGCATCCCGTTGGCACACTGTGGTCACCTATCCTAGCAGCTGTCAGGCTCAACCTCATGGGGCGCAATGCACGTGATTTGGTCATCATATACAGGGTTGCCATAAAGTCAGGGCACATTGGCTTATATTTATTGGAACACTGGCATTAAAACATTTTTCTTGTTCATTCTTTAAGTTCATATTTTGTCTGTAATAATTATGAATATCACCTTTTATTTTTCCTTTTCACGGTAACGTTTCAAAATGTAAGAAAAATGTACTGAATTCAGGCAAAACATAATTGATGACTGTTCAAAGATTACACCTGTAATCATAAAAAAAGAGTTATAAATTCATATCACAATATAATTCATGCACGCCTTAATATTAATGGAAGTCAGTTTCAGCATTTGTTAAAATAAATTAAACAACCCTATATGATTTGTTAAAACAATTCAAATGACCCTCAGTTCCTGTATTTTGGGCCATCCAGTACGTACAGCAATCCTGGCCAGAGTTGACAGGATCAATAAAAATGAGTACCACTCGCTGCACTAGGAACACTCAAAAGCTTCGCAAACTCACTGACAAGACGGTTCAGTCAAGTCGAGCTGAACGGAGGCCACCACTGCACAGCAATCTGAGCGGCAAAATCCCACGAAATTCTTCTTGTGCGAGACACTGCGAGCTCACCTTGCGTGAGGCGGGTGAGAAGCATGTGGTAGTGCTGCTTGCAGCCCCTGACATCGCCCTCCGACTGCGCGCAATCGTCCGGAAGGATGATCTCTGACCCGTGGCTCTTGCTCACGAACGTGTTGTACTGGGAGTCGAGGTTCTGTATGGCCCCGTCAAGCTCCTCCTTGCGCAACGTCTGGATCTAAGCGTACGTGCGCGCACACGCACACGCACGCACACGCACGCACACGCACACGCACGCACACGCACACGCGCGCACGTTTTGTACCGCGTGTTGCTCGGCGTGATGTCTCACGTTTATTTCCCCGTGCTGTGGGCTTTTTGAGAAACTGAATCGAGCGGCTCCATCAGAGAGCTGTACAGCAAAGATCCCCCGTGCAGCCTTAATAGGCGGTTGGGAGGGCAAGTGCTGTTTGCGAGCACCTATGAAGGTTGGCACGGCACACGAGTGGGCGGGTGGCAGCGCCACACGCGGCCACCTGTGTTCTCCCGAGTGGCGATGTTTACACAGCGCACCAGGTGGAGAACCAGCACCGGTTCAGATAATCGTCACTGATGTTGACTGTGAGCGGGAGTCGAACTCGGTTTGTGTGGCGCTGTGCGTGAACCAAGTTGGGCCACCACTCCACAGAGCTCTACGGCACAACCATCAACACCTCGGCAGTGCAGTACTGCTCGAGTAGAATATTCTATAATTTACTACTGGGACCCTCAGTGCCGGATTATCGTAGTAGCAAAAGTAGCTCTATTACTAACGTACTATACTGCCTTCAACTTTTATGAACGACTGGGTGTTTAAGGTTAGCGATTTGTCATATTATCTGGCTGTACAGCAAATTAACAAAATACAATTACTTTACTATGTAAAATTGTGTGTTTTAATATTTACATGTTTTATTGATTTAGGGCCCCTTTATAACATACGCTACAGGCCCCGCACTAGCTTCGTCCGGCACTGGTGACCCCGTTGTGTTTCCACTCGTCTTGTGTTTGCAATCTCAGGTCAATAATATAAAAAATTGCTCGGTTACTCGAGTGCCACGCCACCGAGTTCAATAAACATTTCCGTTCCGCCGATAGCGGCAGTCCTCGGCAATGGGGGCGGCCGTCCATCACAAGTCGGGTTGAATTGATCCTCCAGTTCAGCGGTGGCCAGCCCGGCGTCACCCGAGCTGCATGCGGCTCTTCAATGCGCCACGTAGCGGCTCCATCGAAGGGGTCTAACGTAGAACGCGACTATCGCAGTAGAAAAATAACAAACGTCTCCCGTGCTGCACTGTCATATACACTTGGCTCTTTGCACCTCTCAAACTCATGAATTGTCTGATGACACCTTTATATGTGGGGGACGGCAGAGCTTGGGTGGCGTTTGGTACCGGCTCACCGCGTGGGGCTGCCGTTCCCACTTGTCTGTGCTTCCTCGTGCCTCGGAGCTGCACTCTCTCTGAGAGTGAGCGAGTGCTGTGCGGCACGTTGCGATGTTGCAATTAATAATCATCGGGATGAAAAGTGAGTGGATCGATTATAGTTTCTGAAGAAGCTCCCAGCATGCGGAACGAAACGTCGGACATAAAGTCGAACAACGTGTGGTACAACCCGAAAACAAAACCGAGGTCTTGTTTTTTTTACCGTGAAACGGATAATTGCCTGTAACTGTATACACCTCATCCTGTGTGCGACAAACGCTGCCACGCAATGTACCGTGGGCAGGGTCCACCCCGAGATGGTGGCCACCGCCTTCTGCAGCTGGTGCCAGGCCAGCAAGCTCTGCAGATTCAGCTCCACCTGCCTCCACGCCTCCTGGATCTGCTGGTACAGCCGCTCGATCCTGCGGCACACAGCGGTGTCAGCGTCGGCGTCGGCGCAACGAGTGGGCGGTTGTGGGGGGGGGGGCAGCTGGCGGGTGGGCGGTGGTGCACGCGCCCATTCGCCTGCCCTGCCGTGCGTGCGTGACCTCTACCTGTCCACGGCGTCCTGGTGCTTGGGGGTCTTGCTCTGCTTCTGCAGCGAGTCCACGGAGTGGCGCTCCCTCGCTATCTTCTCCGCCTCGCCCTGGTGTTACAACGTGCGTGCGCACACGCGTGTGTGTGTGTGTGTGGTCATGCTATTAACTGTTTGAATCTTTTTTTTGCTTATAAGCTGAGAGTTCGTTTTTGCATTTTGCCTTCCACTGATCTCTTTTGCGCAATGGCTTTATTCATCTACTAACGCAGGTCCCCATTTAAAAAAATATACCTACAGTCTTAATGAGCTCTCACCTCGTCGAAATAAAGGGTCATATCAAGGCTTAATTTCTGCATGAGTCACCGACCCCGAAAAATATATTTCTTACCCGGTACACCACGCCAAGTATACCTATCTCGCTATGGCTGTGGCTACTCGTCACACGCCCGCTCCCGGTCTCACCGGCGACCCAGCGACGTTTCAGTGAGGAATGAAGCCCTGCCTGTGACATGTGGTCCCACGTGGCTCTGCGTGTGACCTCACCTCCGCCTCGCGCACCAGCACCTCCAGGCGAGAGAAGCTCATGCACTTGTCGCAGCCGTACTTCCTGCGCTGGGAGTCGAGCATCTCCTTGAGGAAGATCTCAGCCTCTTTGGCCTTGAGGAAGAACTGTAGGGAAGAACGGACAGGGCGATAGGCGATGTCTTCCAAAGACCATAACGAGCTGCTTTTGTAAGTTGTTCATCATCATCGTCGTCGTCGTCATTAGCTATGATCGTTCCACTGCTGGGTGAAGGCCTCCCTATGCTCTGGCTATCCCGTGACCCGTCTCACTCCTGCACGTGAGCTGTTCTCATCCCTCCATCTCCACGGCGACTATAGTCCCTGGTGCATTCCCTGCACTGACTGCTACTCTGCAATCAATCACGTCCATCCATCATCATCCCGTCCCGCGACATATCCTGCCCAGGGCCACTTACTTCTCTCAACGGCTTGCATCATGACTTTAAACTGTGCATGTTCTCTAATCCATGCGTTCCACTTTCTGTCTCTCAGTGTAATTTCAAGTGTGGATTTCCCCCATTCTTCTCTGCAGACTTTTCAACTTTTATTCCAAATTCCGTAATCGTTTCTGATCCACTATGAAGGTTGAAAACCATTGCCTTGTTGATAACGGTTCGTTCATTTTCGACACAATATTCGAATTTAAATGTGTTTGTTTTCCCCTCTCCCATATATATATTCACGTTATGAATCACATTTTATTTGTTTGTGGTTGAATTGAATGCACGCGCTTTCTTTTATGGTATTTTTTCTTCCAAAAATGTTTATCCATGCAGTAGAGAATGTGGAGTTTTCAGTTCCAGTTCCAAGGGACAATTCATGGTCGGTGTACAGTAAGCCTATCGGCAGAGGAGGGGCACAAAGCCCCATTCCAGATCAATACAGTCTACCCCAGGCACACGTTTATTGTGCAGTCATCACTGACCAGGTTGAGAGCATCAATATTCTGAATGCGAAGCCCCCTCTAGACCAGGAAAGAACCTTCATTTTTCAGCTCTCTGCCCCAAGGCTTTAACACCGCATCTCACACGGGGTCATGGGCTGGTGGCTCAGTGCCCAGAAAGGAGGCATTATCGACCGAGTCCACCGAACTACGGTTGAACAAAGCTGATTCTGAACCAGTGGCGTAGCTAGGATATTTTGCGCCCGGGGACAAACTATAAAATTGCCCCCCCCCGTTTAATCACGTACCAAAATGTAATTACATGACATGTAGGCTGTGTGTGGCGGGATATATAAACTTTTAGGTTGAGGTGTAGATTTGTGCAGTAGTTTCAGGCTGCCGCGCTCGCCGCAATAAGTTTTAATGTAATGTTTTAAGCCTCATTTTGGCGCCCCTTTACCTTGGCGCCCGGGGACATATGTACCCCCCTGCCCCCCCTAGCTACGCCTCTGTTCTGAACACAGGCAGTAACGAACATCAGGCCGCATTTTTTGCTTGTGAATGTGATCGAACAAGACCCGTTTGAAAAACATGCAATTACCACATGCTGACGAACGGTCACGAAAGCATGCAAACAATGTCAAGCGTAAAGTGAATGTAAATGCAGTAGAAGCTGGATGTGATCACACCTTACACACGCACACTTTTGGTATAAGTAGTGCGTTGTTACATGAAACTGGTAGGGGAAGGTGATGGGGAACTACTGACACAAGCACTCGACTTCTGTGCCCCCAAAGGGGTCGTGCCTACATCCAGTCTCTACTGTGTAGAGAACGCCAATGAAACGTCTTCATAGAGGAGCGATGTTTCAACGAACAGATTTCATAATATGAGAATACGAAATTGTTAAGAGTGAAAATGAGACCAACTGCTATCGTCATAGCTCTACAGCAGTGTCGCGACGGCCAGCTACGAATATTAGCAAGTGTAGGGACATCCATTCACACAACGATAGTGAAGAGCTGTGCCCTTTCCCATTCTCATGACCTACGAGTACATCATCAGTTTTTCTTCCGATTCCGTTCCGATGACGTTTATGTACGTAATTACTTTATCGGTACGTCTTCAGGTTGGAAGACATACCGAGGCTCCCACAAGGCTATGCGGGAGGGCGTGTGTTACAGTTTGGCAGCAGCTATCGTAGAGCGCGGTCGTGTCACTACAGTTCTCCGCGGTGAGTTTGATGCCTTTAAAAACAACGGCGCCATGGCACTCGAAATACAACTAACGCGAACCGATTACGCGTTCCGAGATTCAGCGGTAAACGGGACACACACACCCTGCAACTTGCAGACGTCTCGGAACGGGAAAGGGTTAAAAGGGAATGTGAGCAATGGACGGCTGCAACTCACCTCCTGGTCGGTCTCGTTGATCTTCCGGCGAGTGACCAGCAGCTGCTGAGCACTGGCGTTGAGCAGCTCATTATAGCGATTGAATATGTCCTTGTACTGTCGTCGGGAAGAGATGGGATAAGGGGGCAGGGAGGTAACAAGACGGCACGCCGGATATTCATCGCACGAGCAGAGAGGGTGGAGAGGGAATCCAAGAGTGGCTTTCCAGGCTCGCCTGCTTGTTGGGCTTTTCTTCTCTCAAGTTTTTGCCACACGCAACTGCGTCACTCATATCATCACACCTCCTGGCTTTGGCATTTGTCCTCGAAGACACTGGCGGAACCATCGGCTACATCAGAACATCCAGTGTCCACATCTCCTTCATGAATGGAAAATTAAAGCCACAAGCCACAGTCGTGCGATTGTGGCCACGTAACCCAAATTATCGACCGTTTATTAAACCACTAACGTCTGCGGCTCCTTCAACAGAGGAGGAGGGGGATGAACAGCAACACGACACAAACTCTTTCATGAAGCCCTCTCATTGTGGCAAGCAGACCTCGACATTGGCATTTAGCTCCTGAATATATTGCTGCCATACACAAGTATAGCATATTATTTTTGGCCAACTTTCAGATGCGCTTCTGCGGCCGTCTGGAACGCTCTTCCTTCCGATATTAGGACACCACTGGAGCTATGCACTTTTAAATAAAGATTTAAAACTAATTTATTTGGAACTGCTTTTGGTGTTCAGTTTGTTGTCCTTCCCCCGCACCTCCGATTAGCACGGTTGGCTACTTACGGTGCGAAAGAAGTTCAACGTGCATACATACAGGATACGAAAACACATGTTGAATCACTGAAACAAAACGGATTCATCAAAAGTCACTGATGTGACATGTTCCCAATACTGTTTATAAAGGGGCGAGGGAGGGGGGCATACAATACTACGACGTTTCGATCGCAACACCACTATCGACTTTACCGAAAGACCCAAGTAAAATTAATGCAAGCTTGGGCAAGGCAGCAAAACAACAACAAGAGTCCCAAAAAACACATTACCAATTGCACAACAGCCATGGAATTTGGGGGTGGGGGGGGGGGGGTGGAAGGGGCAACGAATAGCAAATCAGATGCGATCGGTGTCCCACCTCCTTCTCGATGGTGTCGGCCATGCACTCGTGCTGCATCTCCAGGTGTTTGTTCTGGAACTTCTGCACGACGTTGCGGTAGGCGGCCAGGTGGCCTTCGTACTCCTGCACGCGGGGCGGCACGGGGGAGCGAGACGCCGGGGCGACGCGCGGAAAATTGTGCCAGGCTCGCTAAATCATGTTGTGCAATTTCGATTTAAAGCTATCGTGACTGCAGGGATTCATCTTCTTGGTTCTTTCGGTAAAGTCACGTAGAATGGGGGAAAAATATATTTATTTAACTATTTTAATTTTTATTATTTTATTATTTCCATTCTACGTGACTTTACCGAAAGAACCAAGAAGATCATGTTGTGCAGTTAGAAAACGCAGCCTGTTCTCCTATAACGCGGTAGTTGCGTTCCTGAAGAACACCGCGTAATAGAAAAATTGCGTTGTAATAAATTAAAAATGTATAATACAGGATAAAGCACAGTCCGCGATAGCGCGTGGGATGCGTATGCAGGTTGAACAGAGACTGAGGCGCGTGGGAAACATCGAGAAGCATCCAGCAGCATCCCGCTTTGTGCAATGCTATGCCGAGGCAGCCGTACAACCGCTTATTCCTACTCGTGCGACGCGGTTACGTTTGCTCGATCGCGTTATATCCAATTCGCACCCGTGTTATAAAATGTTCCCACATACATTCATCGAGTTATATCCAATTCGCGTTATGAAAACACGTGACATTATAGGAGAACGGACTGTCACTGAATGGTCAAATAAATACGTCAGTTTTCTTTCTTACATCCCTTGGAGGACAGTGCGAGTAATCCCAGTGCATCCTGGGGGCTTGTAATGAGTCGTGAACAAATCCGCGACGAATCAGTGGATATCAGCCGTGAGGATGGTCTAGGCACGGCATTAACTTGAGCTCTTTGCCATTACGTGAAGCAATTTGCCGCAGCCTTTGTTACGTTAAACTAAACCCAGATTTTTAAGGCAATAGCATGTCACAAAGCCCTCATTCAGGGCGAGCAGCAAAAATAATAAATTCATCACACCGTATAAAAATCTCAGCAATTCAGCATCGTGCTGTGATTCGTGTGCAATAATTGCATACATTCATAATGATTTTAAAGAATAACTACCGATAACACCACAATAACTACAGCAATGGTTTTGATTACACTTTTCTATACTTTTAGAACATTTATTGAAATGTTATCAACTATGGCAAAGTAAAACATAACGATTACGTGCAGAGCGGCCAAATTGAACGATGCAATCGACCGCGAGTTCGGCGCTCTTAACGATTCGAATGCAGCACAAAAAGGGATGCATTACCTTGATAGACTTGATGCAGTCTTCTGAGAACGTGTGCAATTCATCCACTTTGGCTTTGTTGCGTTCCAGATCACTCACCAGCGCCTGACGGGGGGGATGTTCGCGTCGTTACGTTTACATGCCACGCGTCAACGCAGCAGAAAGATACCCAACACAAAATCAACGACTGTGACTTATTCACGAAACCTCGAGTTCTAAATCAAACGCTTACACGTTATTGTGTCAGTGTTAACCCTCACCTCTCAAAGCACCATTGGTTGTTCACTCAGCGCATGTGCTGTAACTATGACAAATCGTCAGTAAATAGAACCGTGAGTTATACTCTTAGGTTTTTTCGGTAAAGTCACGTAGGTAAAAAATAAAATTACTAAAAGTAATAATAGAAATAAAATAATAAATCACGACGTTTCGGAGGCAACACAAGTCTCCGTCATCAGGTGGGACCGTCACAGCTAAAATTACTGCATCAAGAACCGTGAGTTTACGTTGAATTCAAATTTTACAATCCTTTCGTTAATCCACTGCTAGATGAGTGCCTATATACCTCCGCCGTGCAGGTCATGGGGATTATTTAACCACACTTCTCCACGTGGTCAGTGCCGATTGAATGCAGCGAGGAAGCTTAGACGCGGGAGCATAGAGAGTACAGTACAACAATGAATTGTGTTGCCCTTATTCTTAGGTTTTTTCGGTAAAGTCACGTAGGTAAAACATTAAAATTAATAAAAGTAAAATAAAATAAAAATCACGACGTTTCGGAGGCAACACAAGCCTCCGTCTTCAGGTGGAACCGTCACAGCCACGACAGCTGTATCAAGTAAATGAGAGATTTCAGGAGCTACCACCATTATATAAACGGAGTGGTAGCTCCTGAACTCTCTCATTTACTTGATACAGCTGTCGTGGCTGTGACGGTACCACCTGAAGACGGAAGCTTGTGTTGCCTCCGAAACGTCGTGATTTTTATTTTATTTTACTTTTATTAATTTTAATGTTTTTACCTACGTGACTTTACCGAAAAAACCTAAGAATATGAATCCTTGCAGTCACGAAAGCTTCAAATCTAGAATTTGTGTTGCCCTGGCTGCTGCCGCGCACCAAGTAGCCACGCGGCGGCTGCAACGACCTCTCTTTAGTGCAGTGGTCACCCATCGAGGGACCACCGAGCGAGCTCGATCCCGCTCAGCTTCCGACTTGCCGATGAGATTGGGGCGCATTCCGAGCGGTTTGGTCATCGGCGACTGAATGTTGACTGGATACGAAGGTTACCTCCACGCTGCACACAGCGGTGGTGCTGGCGCAGTGAGGACCTCAAGCAAGATTCAATTTACAAAGACCGCAGAGAGACGACAGACAGAAACTAAAATATACAGAGGCGAGAGAAAGTAGATGTTGTGAGGTGCGTGAAAATGTAGATCACAATGGAGACATGGCATGAGTGAAGAGAGCTGGGGACACGTGAGAGATGAGAGAGATTAACGGGCTCGTTTAAGTTAATTATCTTGCTACGTTTATAAGTACTGTAACATAAAGCGTATATTTGATGCACCCACCCCCTATCATCGGTGACACAATGGAGACATGGCATGAGAGAACAGAGCTGGGGACACGCGAGAGATGAGAGAGATTAATGGGCTCGTTTAAGTTAATTATCTTGCTACGTTTATAAGAACTGTAACATAAAGCTTGTATTTGATGGCCCCCCCCCCTCCCCCTATCATCCATTAATCTGGGACTCCTTAAGCCAATTGGGGGCCCTAACTTACGCCGAGCGCCGCCACTGACGCTCAACGTAGGGGGGCTGGGTGGCAGAGGTTACAACCGGGTACCCGATACCCGTACCCTACCCGATACCCGGCTACCCGTACCCGGCCAGGTACGGGTACGGGTAGGCCGTGAATCACTGGTGAGTAACCGTTTGTCACTCATTTCGGGTAGGGTACGGGTAGTGTATGGGTACCCGTACCCGGCCGGGTACGGGTACCCATTTGCAACCCTGGTGCGGCCGGGTACGGGTACGGGTAGGCCGTAAGTCACTGGTGAGTAACCATTTGTCACTCATTTCGGGTAGGGTACGGGTACTGGTAGTGTACGGGTACCCATACCCGGCCGGGTACGGGTACCCATTTGCGACCCTGGTGTGGCCGGGTACGGGTATGGGTAGGCCGTGAGTCACTGGTGAGTAGCCATTTGTCACTCATTTCGGGTAGGGTACGGGTACGGGTAGCGTATGGGTACCCATACCCGGCTGGGTACGGGTACCCATTTGCGACCCTGGTGCGGCCGGGTACGGGTACGGGTAGGCCGTGAGTCACTGGTGAGTAACCGTTTGTCACTCATTTCGGGTAGGGTACGGGTAGCGTGGGTGGTGGGGTCAACTGGGTGGGGTCGGTCGCTTCCCTCCCCTCCTACCGTCTGCTGCCGGATGCCCTCGTCCAGCGAGGCCGCGTCGCTCGCAGCGGCCGGCAGCTGCAGGCGGTCGTTGCGTGCGGACGCATCGTCGAGCCAGCGGCTCAGCGAGCGCTGCCTGTCCTGGAAGGTGGGCAGGAGCCGCGCGCCCAGGCGCTCCATGTCCCGCAGCCTGGGAGGGGTGGAGGGAGATTTCGCGACAAGGTTGCCGAATTGGGTGGTGCGGCCAAGTGGGTTTTTAGGTGTCCGGAAAAATATGTTTTGTGATTTGCGCTGGTTCAGCAGTGGGACTGCTGGATTATTTTTGTTCTGCCTGAGGACGACCGCTTGTGTTGTGATCGAAACGTCGTGATATATATATTTTTTCTACCTACGTGACTTAACCGAAAGAACCAAAGAGTTTGTATTTATTCATCGAGTTTCCCCGTGTTTGAGCGAACGCATTGTTTTCTTTCAAATGAATGGTCGCTGTTAATTGTTTTGTTTTACAATATGACAGTCGTATGAATTTCTGATCGTAGAATTAATGACTCAAGTAATTTTTCTATTCGGCTATCAGCTAAGAGGTGTTCTTTTCATCAGCAGTGCATTTTTAATGCTTTTCATCTAAGGTTGAAAGTGTCCATGCATTAGCTCGGTCTGTCCATCAATCCATCTGTCCGCAACGAGGGGGCGCTACGAATCTCGCAAAGATTACCCAATGTGAACCAAATTTGCGGTGTAAAGCTGCGTTGCCATACAGGACACACCCCATGAGATACACCCAGGACTGGATTCAGATTCAAAAGGAAAACAAAGTGAACGGAAAATAAATTTTTATTTTACAAGGCTAACAACAAATAAAATTGAGCATTCACAAACGAAATTACTTTTCACTTCATCTCTGGAGGGCTTCCAGCTGGCGGAGGCCCCTAGGCTCCTAGCCCCTAAAGCCCCCCACGCCTTAGCCCGGCCCTGGATACACCCCATTTAAAACTATCCAATTGTTGCAAGGGCTCCCTAACACTTGGAGATACAAACCAGAGCAAAAGCGACTAGTTACGCATAAGCAAATGCGTTTTCCCCCGATAGCCACAGGCGGAGTTTGACTTCTATACTTGGGCGGGGTGGGAGGGGGTTCGCTTTGTGCTTCACATTAGCAATCGCGGGTGAATACAATCGATGCAATTTTAATCTGAATTGTAAACTACTGAAAATTAATTCATGAAGGTGTCCAGTTTGGGGGGAGGGGGGGGGTGGAGGTGGGTGGGGAAATTCCCCTCCTCCCCCCCCCGTCCACCAAAATCTGCCTTACGCTGACAGCCAGCTGCGAGCCACCTCCAATGTTGCTTGGCGTGGCCTCACCTGACTCCCATCTGCTCGTGGAGCATGTGCCATCGCTGGGTCAGCTCTTCGGCCCTGCGCACGTGTCGGCCCAGCTCCTGGCCGCCGCGGTGCGAGCCCTGCTTAGAAGGCCGCCCACAGCCGCCACCACCGCCGCCCAGCAAGTCCCCGGCCTTCTGCAGCTCCTCCTGCAGCCGCTGCAGCAACCAGCCCTTCTGCTCCACCTCGGAGACCCATTGCTGTGCGCGGGAGAAACGCCCGTTGGTCCGTCGTCACGCGTGAGTCTGCAGCGCTCTGCGCGTTTCGTGCGTCTCGACTGTAACGCGGCATAGCATTGGCGAGAGGCTGCTCTGTCTCTTTCTTCGTGAGGATACATTCACTGCTTTTATTACGGAACATTGGCATTTATTTGGATTTATTTCCCCCCCCACCTATTTAGCTCGATTGTGCTATTGGCATCACATCATGAGAGCAGTTGCTTCCACCACCATTCGGGAACGACCCGCAAAAGAAGATATCATAAAACTGCTTCTGAAATAATCATCAAGTGATTGTTAAATATGCACGCGGGGGGAGGGTAGCACTTCCCAGTGGATCTCTCTGCCTTCTCTCGTTTGCTCTGAAGAAGGGCCACTTCCAGAAGCGGTAGGCTAATTATACATTTCGATTTAAAGCTTTCGTGACTACAGGCATTCATCTTCTTGGTTCTTTCGGTAAAGTCACGTAGAAGGGAAATAATAAAATAATAAACATAAAACATAATAACATAATTCTCACGACGTTTCGGCCACAACGGCTGCTTGCGTTGTGGCCGAAACGTCGTGAGAATTATTTTATTATTTGTATTTTTTATTATTTTATTATTTCCCTTCTACAGGACTTTACCGAAAGAACCAAGAAGACTGCTTGCGTTGTGGCCGAAACGTCGTGAGAATTATTTTATTATGTTTCATTTTTATTATTTTACTATCTCCCTTCTACGTGACTTTACCGAAAGAACCAAGAAGACTAATTATACATCTCTATGACATACGGCAGCTCTACAAACGCGTGCGGTGGGTTATTTTTGTTGTCACCGTGAGTACGCATCGGGGGGGAAAGCCAGGGCACCTTGAGCAGGGTGACGTGCGACTGGATGCCGGGGTGGCTGACGGGAACACAGACGCTCTCCACAAGGCGGCCTTCAAACAGTTCCACCTGCGATTCCACCTCCCCCAGGCAGCGAACCAGCCCCCCCAGTCCCTTGAGTCTGGCGTAAGAACACAGTACCGCATCACGTGCTCACGTGTCAGATACACACGATGATATGAACCTTCCTTATTTGACATCCGTGCATGATTCTAAACACGTTTCTAAATGTGCAGGGAAAAAGCGGAGGACCGGGTGCAAAATCCACACGATCACGAGGAGAACATGGAAACTCCAAAATTACAGGTGTCAGAATCGGGATCGAACCCACAATCTCCTGTATACCTGGAGAGATAGTTGGCACCTCGCCACCATGGCATCATATAAATTCTGATGACCATATGTATGTATGTATATGTATGTATGTCAAACGTCTTTTGCGCCGTACGTAGCCAACCATGCTAATCGGAGGTGCGGGGAAAGGACAGCAAACTAAACACCAAAAGCAGTTCTAAAGAAATTAGTTTTAAATATAGATTTAAAATTGAATAGCTCCAGTGGCTTCCTAATGGGCAGGCGATTATGACATGGAGGTCACGTTGTTAACGCGTAATGTAAATTTAAATAAAGTTTGTGAAATCGTGGAGATGGCGCTCCCTTCCCCCCCTATATAAAATGCCGTACATTGCGGTAGGAGAGGGAGGGGGTACCGCTGTGACCTTTCCCTGAATAAAAAAAAAATGTCAGCGGCTCCTCGGCCGTGAATTTTACTAAAAATTACCACAGCAAAATGGTAGCCTTAGTAATCACATTTGGCACCGGCTCAGTTTTTGCAGTAATTGCCCCACTCTCGCCGAGCCCCTGCCGCCCCGTGTGTGCGTGTGTGCGTGTGTGCGTGTGTGTGTGCGTGTGTGTGTGAACGTGTGTGCGTGTGTGCGTGTGGACGTGTGTGCATGTGTGCGTGTGGACGTGTGTGTGTGTGCGTGTGGAACAGTGGTGGTGTGTGCGTGTGTGCGTTGTGGCAGTGTGTGCGTGTGTGCGTGTGTGCGTGTGGACGTGTGTGCGTGTGTGGCGTGTGTGCGTGTGGACGTGTGTGCTGTGTGCGTGTGGCCGTGTGTGGCGTGTGTGCGTGGTGTCGTGTGTGCGTGCAGTGTGTGTGCGTTGCGTGCGTGTGTGCGTGTGTGCGTGTTGTGCGTGCGTGCGTGTGTGCGTGCGTGCGGGTGGACGTGGGTGCGTGTTGTGCGTGTGGACGTGTTGTGCGTGTGTGCGTGTGTGTCGTGCGTGCTGTGCCGTGTGTGCGTGTGGGACGTGTGTGCGTGTGTGCGTTGCGTGGTGTGCGTGCGTGCCGTGCGTGCGTGCGTGTGGGACGTGGTGGTGCGTGTGTGCGATGTGTGCGTGCGTTGTGGCGTGCGTGCGTGCGTGCGTGTGTGCGTGCGTGCGTGCCAGTGCTTGTGGTGCGTGCGTGCGTGTGTGGGCGGTGGCGTGTGGTAGCTGTGTGCGTGTGGCGTGTGTGACGTGTGTGCGTGCGGACGTGTGCGTGTGTGCGTGGTAGCGTGTGTGCGTGTGTGCGTGCGGACGTGTGCGTGTGTGCGTGTGTGCGTGTGTGCGTGCGTGCGTGCGTGTGGACGTGTGTGCGTGTGTGCGTGTGGACGTGTGTGCGTGTGTGCGTGTGTGCGTGTGTGCGTGTGTGCGTGTGTGCGTGCGTGTGTGCGTGTGGACGTGTGTGCGTGTGGGCGTGCGTGTGTGCGTGTGTGCGTGTGTGCGTGCGTGCGTGTGTGCGTGCGTGTGTCCAAGTGTGCGTGTGTGCGTGCGTGTGTGCGTGTGGACGTGTGTGCGTGTGTGCGTGTGTGCGTGCGTGCGTGCGTGCGTGTGTGCGTGTGTGCGTGTGTGCGTGCGTGTGTGCGTGTGGACGTGTGTGTGCGTGTGTGCGTGTGTGCGTGCGTGTGTGCGTGTGTGCGTGCGTGTGTGCGTGTGGACGTGTGTGTGTGTGCGTGTGTGTGTGCGTGTGTGCGTGTGGACGTGTGCGTGTGTGCGTGTGTGCGTGTGTGCGTGTGCGTGTGGACGTGTGTGCGTGTGTGCGTGCGGACGTGTGTGTGTGTGCGTGTGTGTGTGTGCGTGTGAACGTGTGTGCGTGTGTGTGCGTGTGGACGTGTGTGTGTGTGCGTGTGTGTGTGCGTGCGGACGTGTTGCGTGTGTGTGTGTGGACGTGTGTGCGTGTGGACGTGTGGACATGTGTGCGTGTGTGCGTGTGGACGTGCGCGATGTGTGAAGCGACACCCACTGCTGATGGCATTTCTCCAGAAGGCGCATCAGCTGTTCCAGCCTCTGGCTGGCACTGCTGAGCTCCGAGTAGCCCAGCGAGTCGGGCGGGTACTGGTACAGGCGCTCGAGTCTGGAGCGTGCCACCTCTGCCTCGGAGCACACATTCTGGGGCCCCGGCAGAGACACATAAGAATCAGGATTCTAGATTTGAAGCTTTCGTGACTGCAAGGATTCATACTTTTAGTTTTTTCGGTAAAGTCACGTAGGTAAAAAAAAAAAATTGAAATTAAAATTAATAAAAATAAAACAATAAAATCACGACGTTTCGGAGGCAACACAAGTCTCCGTCATTAGGTGGGACCGTCACAGCCAGATTTGCTGCATCAAGTGAGGCAGGGATTCAAGATGCAAGCCCTTAAATACAAGTTAAGGGGGAAGAGAGAATTGGCTACCACATTTTGATAAGCTCCTCTCCTCCCCCTTAACTTGTATTTAAGGGCTTGTATCTTGAATCCCTGCCTCGCTTGATGCAGCAAATCTGGCTGTGACGGTCCCACCTGATGACGGAGACTTGTGTTGCCTCCGAAATGTCGTGATTTTATTGTTTTATTTTTATTAATTTGAATTATAATTTTTTTTACCTACGTGACTTTACCGAAAGAACTAAGAGTATGAAGAATCAGGATGTGTATTCGTACTCGTTTTTTACAGATGTCCAGTAGTTTTTTCACAAATGTCCGAAGCAACAGACGTCGGGAAATGTCAGTTCTAGACTGCTTACAAAATAAATGAATAAATAGATACCACGATGGGCAGGCTTTTGTGTTTGTCTGCGCAAATGTGAATGGCATTTTATTCGGCTATCATCCTACACACTTTCCAAGCCAATATTATCCACCAGCATGGGTCTCAGGAGTGTCAGGTTAGTTATAAGGAAGAACACTCACCAATAACAGCCCAGCAGTATTTGTTAACTTTAACAAGACAACATTGGAGGTCTATTTATCTGTTTTATTACACGATCAGTGTTGCCACTCTTGCACAATCCGCTGGTTTTTAACCTGTGGTAGCATCTTCTTGGTTCTTTCGGTAAAGTCACGTAGAAGGGAAATAATAAAATAATAAAATAACCTGTGGTAGCATCTTTGCGAAACGAACCCCGCTAGAATTCCAGATGGTCAATGGCGAGAGGAATCAAAATCGGCCCAAGCTTTTGCCATGTAACAAGGCCAATGGTTGCGCTGTTTACGCAGTTCAAGCAGGAGGCAGGGCCCGATGGTCGACAGGGACGTGGCATACCTGGTACTGGGACATCTTGTCGTCGACCTCGCGGGAGAGGTTGTAGCCAGGCAGCGGCGTGCTCGACAGCTGTCCGACCGTCTCCTCTATGCGCTGCAAATTCTGCAGCAGGAGCTGCACCTCCGGGACGATGTCACGTAGAGGTGCCGGAGGAGGTGGCGGTGGCAGAGTAATGGTTGGCTCCGTCACCAGCACTGCAAGCGGAGATGGCTCAACGGTTATGGAATTCTCCCACCTCTTAGACCTTCATATTCAATAATAATTGTGATCACACAATACCATTTATACAAGGGATGGTGCCACGATGTAATGGTCAGCACATGGGACTTGCAAGCCAGAGGTTGCTGGTTTGATTTGATATCCCGGCAGGCTAGTTGAAACAATAGGGGGAAGTTTCTTAAATCTCCCCGCCTCTGCCCATGCAGCAGTAGTAATGGGTACGCGACAGTAGGTCGATCTGCAGGTCGTGTGTGGTGGCGTGAAGTCTGGGCTTCCACCTCTTCCAAACATCTGGTCAGCGTGGAAGAGAAGGCCAAACATCTCCTGGAGGGGCTCTCGAGAGAGCCCACTAAAGAAGGTCCTTCTGCCAGCGGCGGTGTGAGCAAGTAATTGCGGGGTTGCACCTTTATAGTTTAATTATCTATTTAACCAGAAAGGTCTCCCTGAGTCCCCAGACTCATTTTCAAGAGGGTACTGCACATTGGTAAATTTGGCCAACTCCATTCGTGAGTGTATGTGATGTGGGAATATGAGTGCCAGGAGACAATCAACAGGATGGTGGTGCAGTGGTCAGCAACAGGTCCTCTGGAGCTGGTGACCTGAGTTTGATTCCTGGCTGGGGCTAACATAGGGGGCACGTGATATCAGTTCTGACCCCCCACCCAGTTCCACCCCCACCTGCCCCCCCAATATGATCAACATGGTAAAATGAATCCACTGCTGGCTGAAGGCCTCCCTGTGCTGTGTCAGTCATTAACAGTTGCTGGATTGCAGTACTTTTAGTCCATCAGTCAATTAGCTTTCCAAACCAACATTAACCAGCAGCATCGGTCGAAGCAAGAAAATTCTGGACCAGTTCTGACATTCTGAGTCTCATCAGTGGAGCCAGGTTTCTTAAACGAATGCTGCCGAGTCACCCAATGTTAGTTTAACACGTACGCTTTCGCGACCAAGATCCATAATACAGGTTTTTTTGTTATTTACGTGATCTAACCCCAAAAATACCTGTATTGTCGATCGCCCAGTGTTATTGGCAAGTGCACTCCAGCTAAGCTATGGGCCTATTTTCTCATCAGAAAAAAGCAATATTTGTGTGCAAACTCATCATGCATTGTTGAGGAGCATTTACAAGTTGTCTCCACGTTTAAATATATAAAGGGTTGTAAACCTGCGACAAATCGTATGTGTGTGCATGTTGAACTTCTTTCACGCCGTACGTAGCCAACCGTGCTAATCAGAGGTGCGTAGGAAGTACAACAAAGTAAACACAAAAAACAGTAAAAAAAGAAAATTGAGTTTTCAATCTAGATTTAAATGTGCATTGCTACAGCATCTTCCTAATATCAAAAGGAAGAGTGGTCAAGGTGGCCAGCCAAAATCTGCTGCGAGGATGACCGGAGCTCTCGTGACGGGACGTACCTGGCACCGTTTGGCGCTGCGTCGTCTGCGACACGCACGTCTGCGGGTCCACGTCGCTCGCGTACTTGAGCGCCTGACCAAACTCCACCTTGATCTGGTTGATGTCGTTGATGTCAAACATCTGGGCGTCCTGGCTGAACTTGACGAAGTTCTCGTAGTGCGACTCGAGGCTCGCGATGAGCCGGCAGTACTCGTCGTGCGAAGGCATCTGCGGTCGAGATGCGTAACAGAGACCAGAATCAGATTATTTATTTATACTCGAGGAGGAACCCGATGAGCTATGAGGCTCTTTTTCCGGGATGTCCAGTCGGGGGCAGGAGGTCAGAAAGTTTTCGACAGACAATGCAAAAACACGAAAGGAGTGCAAAGTAGAACAAGCAAGCATGCAACACACGCGAATTCAAGGCTGTCGACGTGAATGAAACGTATTTACTGTTTCTGTTGAATGATTATCATAAGGCTTTTTACCCAGGGAAATTTCAATATTCTGTTTTAGGAGGGTCCTACCAAGTTTTGATGATTGCTGCGTAGAATCCCAACCTGGCAAAGTTTGGACCACGATTCCGACGCGTAACGGCCTCCTACCCTTGTGAATGACGTCACAGCATCTTTACTGTCCACTGTGAGGTCGAAACCATGAGAGGGAACTGTGAACGCACCTTCTGCACGCTCCACGAGTAGATCTTGCCCATGTCTCTCAGCATGTAGCGCCAGTACAGCAGGCACTTGAGGCTGATGGTTACTTGGCACCACAGGGTGAGGATGCCTTCGTAGAGGTGGTCAATCCTGCACAATACAATTCAATCAATCGACAAAGAGGGTTTGCTAAGACATACAATTACGATTAACCCTTTCCCGTTCTGATGACGTACCGAAGCTCCCACAAGGCCATGCGGGAGGGCGTGGCACAGTTTGGCTCCAGTTACCGTAGAGTGCGGTTGTGTCGCAAGCTGGCACTGTCTCTCACAATCCAGCTGTCTAATAACAGCACCCTAATGAGATGTCATTATAAGGTATTATTGCAATGTGCCTCTCTCCCTAATCTTTCTCTCCCTAATCTCCCTCATTAACACAACTGACGTGCTTGCGTGCGGGGATGGAATTCCTTTCCAGCTCAGACCCCGCCTGCTTGCCCTACGCCACATTTATAACGTCTTGTTGTAGCAGCGCTCTCAGCTGTGTTCTTCCTGGATCAGCAGTTCCACTGCTGGATTATTTTTTCCGCCTGAGGACAACTGCTTGTGTTGCGATCGAAACGTCGTGATATATTATTATTTTTCTACCCACGTGACTTTACCGAAAGAACCAAAGAGTATGGATTCCTGCAGTCACAAAAGCTTCAAATCAAGAATGTGCCTCGGAGCTTTATAAAATATCAATGAACTACAATCGTGCGTCAATAATGGTATAATCTATTACTAAATAATTGTAATCCACTTGCAGTTTGAACTGTGGGGTAATTTTGGTAATATATTCCTTGTACTCTTAATTTTTTTTAAACCGTGCCACTTGAGTGATTTTTTTGCAGTACGCTGCAGCAGGACTGTTGCTTTTGTTTGCACAATGCTTGCTATTGCAAGCAGCCCACAGAAGCATGCAAGTGTAGAGGTGTTACGGGAGGGCAAACAAACACACCGGGTGTGATTATGCCCGCACGTGAAAGGATGCTTACATCCACGTCCGCACCGTCTAGCCTGGGGGGCTAATACGGCGCTGGGATCCCCCACGGCCCCACCCCTCGGTGGGGGAGTTGCTATATAAGGCGGTGAGCCGGAGGGCTCGGGGTTCAGTGTTTAGCTTAAACCAGCGAAGAAAAAAGACCGGCTAGATAGGCCCTGGGACTCCCTTGGATCGCCATCCTTCTCAGGACCGACCAGGGCAAGCCAGTGGCGTGGCCCTGAGAGCCCAGAGCCGATGTTCTTCTAAGAGCCGGTCTGGGGACTCAGGGTGCCGTAATCCCAGCTTGACCAGAGCTGGGTGAGCTAGCCTCCCCTAGTCCTGTAGTGGAGGACCTGGGAGTAGGCTAGCCGGGACAGAGATTGTGGGATCTCCCTGTTAGACGGGTGAAGGGGCCGATACCCCTTCAATTGTTGTATATCTCGGCCTGTAATATACAACTGTAGTTCAATAAATAAGTGTGCCTCCGACTATGTCGTCCAAGTCTCCTTGAACCTACTACACAAGGAGCCCCTGCTGGACATCTGTGAAAATTGAGCATCATAGGTCATCGGATTCCTTGCAGTCTAAATATATAGGTTCTGATTCTGACTCAGCCTCAAACGAGTCGCTGGTCAAGTGTGTAAACATCGCCACTCGGGAGACAAAGGCGGTCGGGCGTGGTGCTGGCCACCCACGCCCTCGTGTACCGTGCCGACCTTCACAGGTGCACGCTAACAGCGCTTGCCCGCCGAAAGTCTGTGTGGCACATTAGGAATGGATCACTCATTTAATTATGTCCTTGTGCAGCAAGGGAGTAAAGTGTGGTTCTGTGAAAGTCCTGATGTGCTGTGCAGTGCATCAATGCATGTGTGTACAGCAGCATGTGATGATTGGGCCTGTAGGTGGCTGGCAAGGTTAATGAATAACCGCACCTGTAAACCAGCCACGTGGTTAATGGCGACTCGGAAGAATTGCTGCGTGTAACACACGTGATGTTGCATTTTACAGAGTGACGGTGCTGTTCTTCACAAGATTAATGTTAACCACAATAAATAAATGTGCTTGCCCTCGATTTGGAGCACCTGCCCTCGATTTGGAGCACCTGCCCACGTCCTTCATTTCGAGTGTGCAACATCTGTCCAAGGCTACACACGGGGGTGGGGGGGGGGATCTTTGTAGCTCCCTGCACCTGTTTGCCATCTCCAGAGCGTCCTTGTTGATGGGCGGGATGATGAAGCAGAGCGACAGCGGCGCGACCTCGCGCCCGCCCGGCCCGATCACCCTCCAAGTGACGCGGCGAGAGTTGTCCATCAGAATGCACTGATCGTCAGGGGCGATCATCATCTGAAGCAACGTCAACAAAACAAAGAAACAATAAGCGGATGGAATAACAATTTGAAGCCGCTCGCACACTGATGAAGCTGGTTGTAAAGCATAAAAAAAAACGAAATGATGAACGAAGCAAAGTGCCGACTACACCGAGCATCTTCTTGTTTCCTCTGATCGTAAAAAAAAAGAAGCTGGTTGTATTCGCCGACGGAACATCGTACTCGATTGTAAACGTTGTGGGTTTTCTCGCCATCGCACCGATGTGCTGAAGTCATCGCTAATTGGCTTAGTTTTGTTCACGTGATAAACCTTACTAAATAGCCTATTTCCAGAAAATAAAATAAAACACACAGTGAGATGCTCACCGGACATATTGGTCGGCAAATGCGTGCACAAGACAAAGTTTCACGCGGACAAGATCTTCAAAATGGGGCTCGAGATGGGCATGGCGATGCTGCCCGCGCTCGTGTTTGTTGTACTGCATCTCAGGCATCGCTCCTGGACTTTGCCGCTTGACTTAACGATGAGCTCGCAAGCGCGGTCCGTACACCATTGGCAACGCGCTGGGGGGCCCCGTTATTTCAATGATAGTGCGCGCATGCCAACAATAGCTCATCTTCTTGGTTCTTTCGGTAAAGTCACGTAGAAGGGACGTAATAAAATAATAAAAATAAAACATCATATTATTATAATAATATTATGTTTTATTTTTATTATTTTTTTATAATAATATTATGTTTTATTATTTTAATTTTATTATTATAATATTATGTTTTATTTTTATTATTTTATTACTTCCCTTCTACGTGACTTTACCGAAAGAACCAAGGAGATGAAAAACATAATATTATTATGTTTTATTTTTATAAATTTTATTACTTCCCTTCTACGTGACTTTACCGAAAGAACCAAGAAGATGAATCCCTGCAGTCACGAAAGCTTTAAATCGAAATCCAACAATAACTGTCAATTAATCTAACGCGCTCTTTCAAATTCGCGTTACGTAAACGCGCGTTAAACGCGAGTTCGACTGTACTGCGATCTCTCCTTTCAATCTCCCAAAACAACGTTGGATGCGAATCAACGCATTGCAAGTCGATTTACGTTCCCGAATGTGTTGGCGATGTTGCAGTGAAACAGCGCAAATAGGGGGCGTGCTGTAGCCTCCTCAACATGCAGGTTTGTTTTTTTGAAAGAGCATCACCTGACCCCCAGCAATTAAGCGACAGACGGCTGAATTGCAATGTTTTTTTCAAAGCATTATAATTATACTGCAATAATAATCGAATGAAATGTGTTTGTCCATCATTCCGCTTTGAACTCAACAACTGAAGCCAGTACAATGACGAGCCCCTGTATACACAGCTACGGTGATTAAACTGCGCAAAATGCCCCTCTGAGCCTATATTGCATGATGAGCACAATGTTCGTTTGCTTAAATCTGCACGCACACATACGTACACTCTTCCTGATCTGGTATCAGATGGCTGGTCTCTTTAAATACCAATTGTGATGAGCTGGGAGCATCTTCGGGACCCCCCTCTGCCCCCGACTCCCTCCCTGCCCCCCATCCTCACCTTCCTTCCCTTATTTCTCCCTTCTAGTTTCACACACACAGTTCTACACCGTTTCATACTTCGCCAAAGTTGCGGAACCGCATGGCGTGCGCACGACCAACAGAAGTTGCAACCTCAGCGCTCGACAGATTCCGGATGCTTCGACCGTCGAATATAAACCCACAAAGACGTACGCGTACTCTTTGGTTCTTTCGGTAAAGTCACGTAGGTAAAGTCACGTAGGTATGAAATAAAACAAATCACGACGTTTCGGGCGCAACACAAGCGTCCGTCATCACCTACGTGACTTTACCGAAAGAACCAAAGAAATATGGATTCCTGCAGTCACGAAAGCTTCAAACCAAGATTGACAATTACGCGTCAGGGATCAATTACGCGAAAGTCCACGGAGCCCGCCTCTGCTGGAGAGCGAGGGAAACCCCCCCCCTTCCCTCCCGAGTAGCTTCACGGCTTATTCAGGTGAGAAAAAACTTGGCCGAGGATGAGTGCCCACCCCCTCACCCCTACCTCGTCGAGTTTGTATTCGCACAGGGCCTTGATGGGCAGGGCGCCGTGCACGGGGTGGTCGGGGTGACGCGGCTTCAGCTGCACGACGCTTTTGGCTCGGCCGGCGACGTTGGCCACCGTTTGTCTGTAATTCATGTAGGAGTCTCTCTCGTCCTGCGGCGACAAACAAACAACAACATAACGAGAGAGGCTCCACGACGCGAAAGAGGGGTCGGGCAAACTGCACGTGAGTAGCGAGCCTGCGACCAAAGCACCAGGAATGCGTCCCTCGGCAGATCTCAGGAGCTGTGAAGGGTCGAGTGCTGGGTTGCTGCTTAGGGATGGGTGGCCGCTGCGCTGTACTACCAGGTGGTAGAGGTGGCTGCAAGGGGTCACTTTGTGGGTAGCGGAGAGTTAGTGCAGCAATAGAGATTGTTTCATACCGTGCTGTTCTACAATAAATATGCTCATTGCCTTAACCAGCCCTCACTGGCCATCGTGGTGAAGTATGGTCGTCTCACCCCCATTACCCACACGATATGCTTGACCTCGGAGCACTGATATGAGCCAGCGCAATTTGGGCGATTTACTAAACTAAACAAATTTTTTTTTACGAGGTAAGGCCCACTCAGCTATGTAGCTAATTTTTTCAGAATTGACCTGACCACAAATGATAGCTCAACAAAGTGGCTTATAATGTGTAAATCTTTAGCACACGACCACAGGGAGAACATGCACACTCTAAACATACAGGCGTTCGGGTGGGGATCAAACTCACGACGTCCTGCATGCGAGGCGAGGGAGTTAACATCTCGCCACCGCGGGGCTTTATTTTGGTGATTTTTGAAAAGTTTTTCGGTTTGGCCATGTTTGTTTGTTGTAGTACAGAGTTAGACTGATAGCCTTAATCTAAGTTGACTTGTGGTTGTTGTTGTTTGACTTGCATCCCACTGGGATTTTTGCAATATTTTGCTGTCTTTTCTTAGATTTTCTGTTTGCACATAGTCACTTTAAGATGTTTTCTTGTTCATGTTTTTGTTGTTTTGTTTGTTGCGGTTGCACCCGATTCAAGAACCGAATGGCTCACAGGGCTATACTTAATAAATGAAACATAAAACTTGAGTTGTGGGCCATTGAAATGTAACTGGGAGAACTAAAACGAACGAAAACATTTTTTTCGCGGCTTGTTCTGTCGGCGAGCGGCCCTTTTCGTACCGCTCGATGCGAATTTGTGTCGTGCAAAATGTCTCTCTGCTGTTCTCACCGCCAGATTCTGCAGCAGCTGCTCCACGTGCTCCAGGCTTGCGTGCTTGTCGCACGTGTACTTCTGGCGAATGACCTCGTGCTGCCTCTTGAGGAACAGCTCTGCTTCCTTGGCATCGCTAAAGAACTGCCATCCCAAGGCAAGGATCAGCAGCACACACCGGAGCACTATTGTAATAACAAGGTGGCAACAGCCCGTCCGATGAACGGCACGAATATTATTTCCTAAACGAAAATCGTTGGAGCGACCGGAGGTCACACATAGCCTTGTCAAGCACAGGCCGTTGGGTTTTCATTCAACTCCGCTGGGACATGCAAAGTTATCCACTCGGTACATTTCAGTACGCGTGGTACGCAAATGAGAATGCGCACACGGCTTTGCGTTCAGTAAGTGCAACAATTGTAGGAACTAAGCCCAAATAGTGTACAAGAATTGCCCTTTGTGTGCAGATTGCTTCTCTGTTAATAAGAAAGCAATGTAAATCTCGACATAAAGCTTTCGTGACTGCAGGAATTCATATTCTTTGGGTCTTTCGGTAAAGCCACGTAGGTAGAAAAAATTATAATTGTTATTTTTATAAAATAATAATAATAAAGACATTTATTTTTACATTATTGTTTCTATCTACGTGGCTTTACCGAAAGACCCAAAGAATAAGAAAGCAATGTGTTTGTCGTCTATAATGTGCAGTATGCTACTTAATCATTTACAGCCTTTGTAGATCCACTGCTGGATGAAAGTCTCCTCTTAGTGTGTTGGTCATGGGGGTGAGGGGGGGTTATAATTCACCGCACTGGTCAATGAGTGGTTGGTGAAGGGTGGTGAGGCGTGGGTCAGAACCGTTTCAGATATCGCCCGCCACTGATGTTCGCCGTGGCTGAAAATTGTGCCCATGTGACTGGGTTCGTAGCGCAGAGTGCATTAACCACTGCTTCATTAGTCATGCGCAACTAAACAGAAGACACTTACTTGGCTTTCGCATGAAAGAGCTGATTCAGCAGAGAGACGTAAACTCAAAAGTGGACGCTGCTTAGTAACATCACACTAAAAAGACTGAAGCTTTAATTCGTGCATTTAAGATACCCAATTACAGTTATGTAAATCGGGCATCTAAAATTTGTGTAATTGATTCCTGGGCATGACTAACATCAGTCGTGAGTGACACGTGATCTGGTCATGAGCTTCCCTCCCTGCCCTACCACCAACCCACACTGACCAGTGTGGTGAAGTATGGTCAGACAATCCCCAAGATCGACTCGGCATGACGATGCCTTCACTCAGAATTGGACTAAATGAACGCTGTTATTCTACTGCTGGCTCCTACCTGCTGATATGTCGTGTTCTCTTGAAGATGCACCTCGATACATTGCCTGAGCTGCAAAAGCCAACTCCACTGGGTCTGAAGAGCCCCCATGAACCCCTGCACAACCACACACACAAATATATACTGACACATAACGGCAAAGACACCCCCCCCCCCACCCCCATATAGCCTGAGCAGACTGTTGGGGCAAGTGCTGTTAGCGAGCACCTATGAAGGCCGGCAACGGCACACGAGGGGGTGGGTGGCCAACACAACACCCAGCCACCTCTGTGTCCCCAGTGGCGATGTTTCCACACAGCACCAGGAACTCATTTAAGGCTGAGTCGACCGAAGCAAGGCCCAGGGCCGAGTGATATAATCGTCACTGGTGTTGGCCATGAACGGGAACCGAACTCGGTTCGCCGGGTTCGCTGCGTGCTAATACGAAAGTGTTCTTTGGTTGCGCTGCTTACAACATTGACCAGCAGCACATCGCGTACACACGGCCGCACACACACCACCGGCCACTACACTCATCACAGCGAACCTCCAGGCCACGTTGTCTTATGGTTATTGTTGTTGTTTGACTTGCATCCCACTGGGATTTTTGTACACAGCGTTGGTGTACGGTGTTTTTTTTTTTCTGCAATATTTTGCTGTCTTTTCTTGGATTTTCTGTTTGCACTTAGTCACATATTCACTTTAAGATATTTTTTGTTCATGTTTTTTGTTTGTTGCGGTTGCACCCGATTCAAGAGCCGAATGGATCACAAAGCTATACCTAATAAATGAACTTGAACGTGAGTGGCCTATGGCATCGACAGGAGAGCATGGTCTGTGCCTCCTACAGGTCAATCGGACCGATCTCAGATATTTGCAACTACATCGGTTACCGAGTGAATGATCAAATATCGGTGTCCGGCATTTGCCTTGCCTGCGTCGAACTTTTGAGCTCAATTCAGAAATTGGGCTTTGACCGCCCATCGATGCGGTTCTCTATTGTCCATGAGTTTCGGGAAATTTCCCCAATTAACGACGGCAGGTTCATCATGTGCGCGCAGATGGTTAGCGTTACTTTACATGCAGCCCTGTAGGGTTCTGGGGGGTGGGGTGCTGGAGAGGGGAGAGCTACCCCCTCACCTCCCACCCTCATGAAGGTTCAGTCGCCATTCTCAATTCTCACAGTCAGGTCAAAACTGCTGCTACAATATAAACACCAACGGTGGGTTTTTCATCAAGGTTCGCCACTTCAGCGAATACCCGTGACCACGTACAGCCTTTCCTCATGCACACAGGGGGTGCGAGCGAGGGCACAATACACAACACTGTAGATAAAAGCAGATCACAGGATTGCTCATTCCGTTCAGCGTTTAACATTAAGTTGAAGTGTAGTTAACACTGACCGTGTCGTGTGTCCCCAAAGTGTTTGTATCCCCCTCTCTTCTTTTAAGCCAGGTCATGCTACAGGGCCGTGCCGCGGTTCAGGCTGTCCGTGTGTGTGTCTGTGTGTGTCTGTGTGGGTGTGTGAGGCAGACGTGTCTGCAATGCAGCGGAGGCTGGGCGAGTGAGTGGGTGATGGTGGCACCTCGATGGTGTCTACGGCAGGGTGGTTGTCATGCAGCATCTGGTTGCCCAGACCCTGGATGCGGTTGATGGTTATCTCCTTCCTCTCCATCTCCTTGAGCAGCTCCTAACCGGGTCCGATACGCACATCACAGCGTCAACTCCGCGCGCCTCCCCGATTGGCACGGCTGGCGACGTACGGTGCGAAAGAAGTTCAACATATTCTTAGGTTTTTTTCGGTAAAGTCACCGTGTAGGTAAAACATCAAAATTAATAAAAAATTAATAAAAATAAAATAAAACAAAAATCACGACGTTTCGGAGGCAACACAAGTCTCCGTCATCAGGTGGGACCGTCACAGCCAGATTTGCTGCATCAAGTGAGGCAATGATTCAAGATGTAATCCCTTATAAGCAAGTTGAGGGGGGAGGAGAGGGGGGGAGCTAATCAGAATGTGGTAGCCAATGAATGGAACGTATCGGGAGGGATGGGGGGCGGGGCTCAAAGACGGCACGGAGTGCCAACGTACAACGCATCGGGAGGGGGAGGGGGGGGGCAGGGCCAAAAGAATGCACGGCGGCAAGTTCAACATACATATGCACAACTCCGTTGAAGCAGTGACACGGATGAGGCAACACGATGCGTCGTTGACAAATATCTAACAAGAAATTTGTATCCATAATAGAGGTTTTTTTTGGGGTTAGATCGCGTAAATATATAACAGTGTCGAATGCTCTTCCTTCTGATATTAGAAAGCCACTGGACCAATGCGCTTTTAAATCTAGATTGAAAATTAATTTCTTTAGAACTGCTTTTTAGTTTTCGATTTCAAGCTTTCGGGACTGCAGGGATTTATCTTCTTGGTTCTTTCGGTAAAGTAACGTAGAAGGGAAGTAATAAAATAATACAAATAAAACATAATTAAAATAATTCTCACGACGTGTGTATCCTGAGGACGGCTGCTTGCGTTGTGGCCGAAACGTCGTGAGAATTATTTTATTATGTTTTATTTTTATCATTTTATTACTTCCCTTCTACGTGACTTTACCGAAAGAACCAAGAAGATACTTTTTAGTTTTTTTCTTGTCCTTCCTCCAGATCTCCGATGGGCAGGGTTGGCTGCGCACGGCGCAAAAGGAGTTCGACATACACACACTTAAAGCAAGCCACCGCGAGGATCTCCGTGGGCCGCAAGTTGCCCATCACGGCTGCTCTACACCCAAGACAGCCACTGCAACCAAGGAGGCCGTGCGCGTGTCGGAGCCACTCACAGAGTGGGAGTCCTTCTTGGCAGCGAGATTGGGCAGGCTGCGGTCGCTCCAGTCATAGGCGATCTCGCGCTCCTCGTGCTGGTTGAGCCAGATCAGCTCGGCGGTGGCACGGCCGATGAAGTCGTCCAGCTTGCTCACATCCTTCATGTAGCTCGTTGAGATGTCCTGAAAAAAGTGCAGGCGGCTCGTTACGGCACCAGAGGTGAGTCATTGCGCAACTTTGCTGTCCCCTGCTGGTGCATGCACGTCCGCTGCCGGATGAGGGCCTCCCCAAGCAACGCAGGTCACGGCGGGGGCTATTTTTTTAATCAGCGGTCTCCAACCTTTTTGGCACCAGGGACCGGTTTCGTGGAAGACAATTTTTTCACGGACCAGGGGGGGGGGGGTCATCATTGGGTCTTTCCCCCTTTTCAAAGAAGCTCTCCAGCGACGTTTGTTTTTGGCTCATTTTGGCTCGGGGTTAGCAGCTTGTGGGGCTTACCAACACTGTGACTGAGTCAAGTGCGCTGTGCAGGGAAAGAAGTGCGGATGGAAGTGGTAAATAAAATAATGGGGGCGGGCCACGTGCAGACTCACCGCTCACCTCCTGCTGTGCGGCCCGGTTCCTAACAGGCCACAGACTGGTACCGGTCCGTGGCCTGGAGATTGGGGACCCCTGTTTTAAATAACCATACTTCACCATGCTCGTCACCGCGGGTTGGTTACGGCAGGGAGCATAGCCATGGGACCACAGTTGTCCAACGCAACAGGGGATTTGGCGGCACTGTGACCTCTGCAGCCCACCACAGGGTCCTGCAGCAGCCGATGATAACCTCCTGTGCGTGATAGTCACCCATGCCAGCACTGTGCCGGCTCGGATGGGTGGCTGACGAGATCGGGCGCATGCCCGGGCGATCTGATTGGAGACATTTGTGGCGGTAAAAGGGACCCAACTATTTGTTTGATTCTACTGTTCGGTCTCCTTAACAGCAATGTTCAGTTGGATAACCGATATCGACGTCAAATTCTGTATCGTGAATTACCAACGAGTAACAAGTAAACCCGTAAAAACAAAGTTTTTCACTATAAATTCTTTATATGCGTGGCATCGGGGCGGCTAGAGTCCTCTCGTCCTCTGGCTTGAGATGGCTGCCACCTATGGGTCAGATGATTGTCTAGCAGCATTAAACAATTGGTAATTAAATATTTAAAAAAAATTTCCCTAAACAGTGTAAAATTTTGGAATTTTTTTTTCACGAAAATGCATTGTCACGCACAACGAGTCTGTGTGCAAAATGTCAGCTCGATTGGATCACGGGAAGTGGGTTAAAAAACGACCGAAAGATTTGCACGCTCGTAAGCGCGCAAGCGCGCAAGCAAGTGAACTTAATATAAAGGATTTAAAAAGAAAGAGCATTGCACTTGGAAATTGGATTTTAATTTATTTAATGAGGCAGGGCCACACCTTATTAATTGCATATATTCTTCCAGAAGGCACGTAGCCAATGTTTTGAATGTAAAAGTGTTCGGGTGTCACCGGTTCATCATGTTTAAACGCAGATTAATTTCCATGGAAACATATCAGTCACACCTGGTGAAAGCACTCTCAACAAGAAGCTAAGCTCTTTTTCTTCTTTATAAGTCAAAGTGGGTATAATTGTGTCTTGTTATGAGTCAATTTGACTAAATCTGAAATTGTACCGTTTAAGTGTACTTAATACATTGATGAGCCGCATAAAACATGCCTTTGATGTTTTATCTATCTAAAATAGTACAGTATCACATTGTGTAAACTGTCATTTTAAGTACAATTGTAATAATATCGGTTAATTTAGATTCCAGTGCAGAGTGCAGTATTTCTGCACGACTGCAAAAAAGCGCTGTGCATGATATCGCAACCCTTTACGAGAGCGATAGGTGATAACACGACAAAGATGTAAGGCAGGGGGTAGTGGGAGGTAGAACAAAAACGCTGGTCACCCCACCCTTGACCGAGTGGCTCACGCCTGAGCACGATCTGTTCTGAGTTTTCGGATGCTTTTAGATGAGGTCACGTCTAGCGTTACACCTCCATCGCACTGCTCAAGTGCGCCTTGGGGATCTACGGGTCAGCAACACTTGAACCCTACTCTCGATTTCTACCAAGAAACAAAGACCCAGGTGGTGTTCGTTGTACCGTACGGATCAAAACGGACACCACACGCCGTGTAGGACCGAGTCTTGGAGCTGCAGTAGGTGTACCAATGTCTGATACGGCTGTTGTTCACAATTGCACCCAATAAAATGAAACACAAAGAAGGTGTGAGCGTCAGCTAAACAGAAATGGAAACACATGCAGAGGTCCCACCATCAAGCTGGAGTATTTGGAGATCAGTGCCTGCAGTGCCTCCTGGTACTTGCGTCTGTAAGACTGGGGCACAGATGCCTGAAACAACAGATCACGGATAAACAAAGACAAAGATCCCCCGTGTAGCCTTAACAGACTGTTGGGGCAAGTCCTGTTAGCGAGCACCTATGAAGGCTGGCACGGCAAAACGAGGGGGTGAGTGGCTTGCACCACGCCTGGCCGCCTTTGTCGCCCCAGTGGTGATGTTTACACACTGCACCAGGTACTCACTTGAGGCTGAGTCGACCTAGGGGAAGCCCAGGACCAATTCGGATAATCGTCACTGTTATGGGCCGTGAGCGAGAATCGAACTCGGGTCGCCAGGTTCGTAGCGCGGGGTGCTAACCAACTACAATACCGCTGCACACACGCGCCACTTTAGCTACTTCACAGAAACTCTATGACTTGTTAGTTATATTGTTAGGTTTTTTCGGTAAAGTCACGTAGGTAAAAAAAATGTAATTAATACAATAAAAATCACGACGTTTCGGAGGCAACACAAGCTTCCGTCTTCAGGTGGAAACGTCGTGATTTTTATTTTTATTAATTTGAATTTTTTACCTACGTGACTTTACCGAAAAAAACCTAAGAATATGAATCCTTGCAGTCACGAAAGCTTCAAATCTAGACTTGTTAGTTCACAAAGTAATGGCTGACCATCTATGACATATGCAAAGGTCCTGATGGGCTGTTTTTTTTTATATCATTACCATAAGCAAGCATTGTTTATCCACTGCTGGATGACGACCTCCAAACACGGTTATTGTCTCTCACAACCTCGAGATGCCACAATCCATCTCACTCCTGTGCGTGTGTCGATCTTATTCGCTCTATCTTTGCGGTGGTCATCCTCTCAAGTACAATTCTCGTCAATGACTGCCGTTCCATTACTGATCTTGGCCATTGAACACAATATCTTCGGGCGATGACTCTTGCCTGGGGTCATTCAGAAGTCTCTGACTGCATTGGCTCATTGATCTAACTTTGCATCTTTTTAACACGTAGGCTTTCGCGACCAATATCATCCATAATAGAGGTTTTTTTGGGGGGGGGGTTTAGATCGCATAAATATATAAATGTGTCGTTAAAACCCGCCACCACCGACACAGCCAACTAATAAGGGTTGTTACGTAAACAGAACATGCCAATTCGTCACTAGTACAGCACTAACCGGTGTGTTGGAGAGCCAAGCCATAACATTTACAAACTGAGTACGACGTTTCGCCAGTAATTACCACTAGCTTCATCAGGCGACAGCCAGATTTGTGGAGAAGTCTTACTGTTTCGTTCCTTATATAGATGCGTAGATGTGGTGACCACGCTTGTGCCACGTGATCTAACCCCAAAAAAAACCTCTATTGCATCTTTTTTGTCTTTCAGTGTAATTCAAAGTACAAACCTCTGCATACATTTGAACAAATTTCCGCTTTTTTATGATAGTTTGCAAGCGTTCACATTTTTAAACCAAATGTCGTAGCAGATGATATGTTGCAGCTGTTTTAGTGGACACGAACATTGTTCCAAGGTCACAGACAGGATTGGTATAAAACCAGCAGTTTAAAGAAACAAAAAATACTCGTGCTTTTGTGTGCTGGGCCTGAACAAAAATAAGCGAGGTCAAATTACAATGTTTTTCATATCATCCATAAACCCTGGCAAGTCTGAGAATACTCAGAAAGTTGAAGCGATGTTTCTTTTTCAGATGCATAGGTGGGATTGCTGTCAGTAACTGGTTGTAGAGTTGGGATACAACATTCAAACTGCACCTCGAGAAGTTTGGCCTCCTCCACCCGCTCTCCGATGGCTTCGATCATATTGTGCAGGTCCGTGTGGCTCTGGAACTGAGATTCCACAGTTGCCTTGCTATCTCCCCATCTGATATTCTCAATGTGAACCTGCACACATCACAGACACACCACCAGAATGCTCAGCCAATCGGACGATAATAATCCTTACATACATATATGAAACTTCATTTCTCAGCCCTGTCTGTCAATTCGTCACAGCACCTGTGATAGATGTGTCATATATAATTAGGTGAGCGCGTATGCTGACCAGAAATAACAAGGGGAAGAAGGTTTGATAATGATTCATGACAACTTATCATCTTCAACCGAGTCAAACAAAACAGTGACCAATACTAGGGTAGCATTCTTTTTCTACTGCTTAGATTTGCAATGTATCTTTCATTATATTCTTGGGTGTTTCGGTAAAGTCACGTAGAATGGGAAATAATAAATAAGAAAAATAATAAACAATTAAAAAAATATTTCCCCCCCCAAACTGGACACCTTCATGAATTTTTTTTCAGTAGTTTACAAATAAGATTAAAATTCCATTAATTGTATTCACCCGCGATTGATAATGTGAAGTACAAAGCGAACCCCCTCCCACCCCGCCCAAGTATAGAAGTCAAACTCCGCCTGTGGCCATCAGGGGAAAACGCATTTGCTTATGCGTAACTAGTCGCTTTTGCTCTGGTTTGTATCTCCAAGTGTTAGGGAGCCCTTGCAACAATTGGATAGTTTTAAATGGGGTGTATCCAGGGCCGGATTGAGGCGTGGGGGGCTTTAGGGGCTGCAGCCCAGGTGCCTCCGCCAGCTGGAGGACCTCCAGAGATGAAGTGAAAAGTAATAAAATAATAAAAATAAAACATAATTAAATAATTCTCACGACGTTTCGGTCACAACGCAAACGTCGTGAGAATTATTTTATTATGTTTTATTTTTATTATTTTATTACTTCCCTTCTATGTGACTTTACCGAAAGAACCAAGAATATATAACAGACAGTGAGTTAAAAAGAAAGCGTGTCAAAAAAAAAAACACCACGGCAGCCGAACAGGGCGTGTGCCACACAGCATACGGTCACCTCGCTGCGCTCCACCCAGACGAGCAGCTCCGTGATGAACTGCATGGTCTCTGACTCGCCCGCCACTCGCTGTCTGCCCTTGCCCTTGAAACGCTGCCCCGTGTGCAGGATGGCCTCGCGCATCTTCATGGGGCTCCGCGTGCCGTTCTGGGGCTGCAGGCGCGCGCGGTGCTCTTGCAACACCTGCAGCTCCCCACGCAGGCTGCCGATCCTGTGGGCGCACGTGGCACGCGGGAGTTTCACACACAGCGGCTGGCGGGGATTGGAGGGTCGGAGCGCTCGGCGAATGGCTCACAGGGCTATACCGAATAAATGAAACTGAAATGAAACTGAAAACTGGCTCAGATTTCGATTTAGAGCTTTCGTGACTGCAGGGATTCATCTTCTTGGTTTTTTCGGTAAAGTCACGTAGAATGGAAATAATAAAATAAAATAAATTAAACATAATAAAATAATTCTCACGACGTTTCGACCACAACCTTAGGACGGCTGCTTGTGTTGTGGCCGAAACGTCGTGAGAATTATTTAATTATATTTATTATTATTATTTATTATTTCCATTCTACGTGACTTTAACGAAAGAACCAAGAAGACTGGCTCAAATGTTCGAAAATTGTTTTTAAACGCTTCTGAGAATTTGTAACAATACCACGAGAAATGTGCTGCCTCCGGGCTCTGGAGACCAGCTGTAGAAGATTCCAGGCACGCGTTGGCAACGATGGCGAACAAGGGGAGATTCTGACTTTTAAAAAACTATTAACATTACATTTGTTATCATGTTACAGTGTATTATCCGTTATTTTTTTCCATTAAAAACGATAGTTCCATTTTAGTGCTACACTTTTTTTGAAGCACCCTGTACGTATATGTTAGCAGATAAAGCCCACAGCTATATAATAAAAAGAATAACAATACCACGACATTTTGATCGCAACACAAGCAATCGTCATCAGGAGAAAAATATAGGAAATGTGGAAATTCATAGCAGCCAAATAGTCTAAACGCACGTTTCTAAATGTGGAGGGGAAAACCGGAGGACCTAGAGAAAAATCCACATGACCACGGGGGAAACATGCAAAATGCCGAATATACAGGCGTCAGGGTCGGAATCGAACTCGTGCACTCATGACCTCTCACCACCGTGAGATTTTAAGCGCAGTGAGTTGATGAAGCCAGCCCAGTCAACAATGGCTGCATGAAAAACCAACACGTCCACGCCACTGGCACAGCGGGGATCACAACGTGATACATCTGCCAGCGAGCCTTCGAAACTTCACGTGGCCTCAAAAGGGCACCTAGCCTGGCACAAGCATTGTGGTGAAAAGGCAGTCACTCGGTGGCACATTGTGGCTGCTGTCGTTGTAGTTGTGCGCTGGCATGGACGTGCTTGCGGCTGCTAGGGCACGTACGTGATCACGCGTGCGCGTGAGAGAGCGGTCACGCAGAGGTTTGCGCGCTGCGCTGCATACCAGGCCGACACCTCTGACTATTATTTGAACCGGTCATGGTCGACTTGGCCTCAAATGAGCACCTGGTGCGGTGTATAAACATCGCCACTCCTCATCTTGGTTCTTTCGGTAAAGTCACGTAGAAGGGAAGTAATAAAATAATAAAAATAAAACATAAAAGAATAATTCTCACGACGTTTCGGCCACAACGCAAGCAGCCGTCCTCAGGTGAAGAACAGGTCTGTCGATCAGACACTTCCCTTCTACGTGACTTTACCGAAAGAACCAAGAAGATGAATCCCTGCAGTCACGAAAGCTTTAAATCGAAATTTAACATCGCCACCATGGAGACAAAGGCGGCCGGGCGTGGTGCCTGTCACCCGCCCCCCTCATGCGCCGTTCCGGCCTTCATAGGTGCTGCTCGCTAACAGCACTTGCCCCAACGGTCTGTGTGTGATGAGAGAGAGATAGAGAGCGAATGTGCCGGAGTGGCAAGTGCGCGCCCGGCTGGCCGCTACCTGGCCTTCAGGCACTCGGAGTGCGGGTGCTGCCGTTCGGTGAGCACGTGGGCCTCCTGGTAGAGGTTCTGCACGAGCTGTTCCGCCTCCCAGAGGCACTCGTCCGTCTCAGCCATGTGCCACGGCTGGTGGCCCGTCTCCACGCGCCGAATGTCCTGCTCGCACGCCGACAGCGGAAAACACCGCGGGCGAGAAAAAACGTCGGCGTTACCGTGCGGCTCGGGGCGGTCGCGACTTTGCGATGTGTCGCTGCGGTGAACGGCGCGTGGCAATTGTGATATCTTGTGGGGCCTTTCTGCCAGTGTGGAAATGATGAAAAGAAGAATCGACTTTATTTGCCCTTTCTGACAATACAACAGGTGTTAAAATATTATAATCAGAGTATGTTTCTTTGCATGTTTTGCCGACGTAATGCTACAGGTATCTATTTTGTGTTTGAACATCTTACCGCCTCCTGTTTTATTGCCAGAAAGGATAACGCCTATTCGTCGTCATTGTAATGTCCGTTAAGCAACAATTTTTTAAAGTGGTAATTGCTCATTTTCACAATCGTCATCGTCAGACATGGTTAGTGCCCTGCTGGATGAGGGCCTCCAAACAACCCCGTGATGTAATAATTAATTCATAGAGCGCCTGCACCCCAGCTGATTTCCTCGCATCCATCTCCTTGTTGGGTTTCGTCCGACTGGAACGTGTGGCCAAATTTTTTCGGGGGGCTTTTCTACTCCCATCAATATTCATCACCATCGACCACCATCCCAACGAGCGACGCGCCCTGTTCCAGGTCAACTTACTTTTACAGGTAGGAACAACAGTTCCACACTGTTATTCTTAGGTTTTTTTGGTAAAGTCACGTAGGTAAAAAATTAGAATTAATAAAAGTAAAATAAAAATAAAATAAAAATCACGACGTTTCGGAGGCAACACAAGCTTCCGTCTTCAGGTGGAACCGTCACAGCACGATAGCTGTATTACTTGATAAAATAAAAATAAAATAAAAATCACGACGTTTCGGAGGCAACACAAGCGATTGCTGTATCAAGTAATACAGCAATCGTGCTGTGACGGTTCCACCTGAAGACGGAAGCTTGTGTTGCCTCCGAAACGTCGTGATTTTTTTATTTTTTTTATTTGTTTTTAATTTTACTTTTATTAATTTTAATTTTTTACCTACGTGACTTTACCAAAAAAACCTAAGAATATGAATCCTTGCAGTCACGAAAGCTTCAAATCTAGTTCCACACTGCCCACCAGGGATTATTTGTCTGTCGTGCATAGCTCCTCCCAAACATGTACGCTCCCGGATTGGTTGAAGTGCGTCACGTGACCGCGAGCTTTCTGTCGTGCACGAATGCGCTGTCCAACCAAGTTCCTACCTGCCCACTCCGCAGGAACTTACTGTTCTTACAAACTTGGAATTGACGTCATGAATTTCTGCACGTCCTGTCATCCACGTGTTCCCCCTTTTTATTTCTCTCAATGTCATTCTGAGCGTGCACCCGTGAGTTGTTTTGCTTGTTGATATATATATTTTTTTAATTAATGATCGTATTTCCCCGCATAATGTGGATGAAATGATCAACGCTCGAGTGATTCATGTAAATAGCTATTATTCATGAAAAAAAAAATGCTTGGGGCAACACGTTTTCAGAGTTTAGCTTATTATTTAGTTAATAATTCTCGTATAACTGACAGTATGTGCATTGTAAGCGTAACATACTTTAACACAAGACATATGACAGGCATATGTGAAGTGAACTGCAGTTTAAGAACGTTTGAGTAACTTTTATATGAACTGGGCGCACAACAAATCACAAAAACTATACAATAGAAGAGTGGATACTGTAATTTAAATTGTATATCGCGGCAAACCTATCTATAACCCGCTTTAATCCACATGTGGCCAGTGACTAGCCTCCAGGCATGTATGGGCAGCGATGTGGGGGGAATTGATGGAGGGTTACACCCCTGGTTTGAAAGCAGGTGAGACAGTTGCAACAGAATGCACTGACACACAGGCGAGTCTGTGGGCTTGCAGTTGCTTACGTAATGCCCCATTTTAAGACTTTATTAGTTTGAGGTCGCAAAGGTGGCTTAGGCGTGAAGAACACTGAGCCTCGCACTGCTGCGATCTCAGGCTCAAACCCAGTTAGTCATTTGTGATTAAAGTAAGTTCATAAGTGTTGCGAAGTGACGGTCTCGGGCCAATATCCAATGACTGCACGCGCGCAAAAGAAGCAGTCGTTTCTATTGATTTCTTTATTAAATTTCACTTATTTTTTAAAAATCCAACTCCGATAGTTTAAAAGATATCGGTTTGACTGCCATGCGACAAACATCATTACATCGCAGAGAACCATGCATCCCCTAGAACGTGGATAAAAGGTGCCACTTGCAGGGATTTAAGAAGGAGTTATGTGATATCTGCGTCCGTTAGTCCTCAGACAAATAGGTTATCCAGCACTCTGAAAGTGTTCTGAATGGGTGATTTTTCTCACTACATGGTGCCAACAGCAATATTGGAATAAAATAGAAAAAGCTAAAAATTGCGTAATTTCCCCAATAATCTGCTTTTGGGAGGTTAAAGCAACACAAAGGAAAGGGCTTGAATAAATGATACACAGTGAACTAAACAACCAACAATGGCATTTGTAGAATAGATTGTTCCACTAAACTGTGATGCAGTCATTTCTGGGGCATCGTAATTACTTAATCTATAGCATATTTGGGGACACCACAAAAATTAAGTTGAGTTTATTTATCTGCAGAGTATGTTGAACATAATGATCACGCTTATAGATGAACACACAGCAGTATAAATGTGTACGACACAATTGGACAATTTACAAGTTGGGTGTGATTGGGTAAAATGTGGGTACTCCAACCTCGTGGAAGAGTAGGCCAAGCTACCCTTTTGGCCAGCAGTGGCGTGAGGGAGCTATTTGCAGTGCTGCACCTTTATTACGCACGCGTGGCACGGCACCATGCAAACTCTCCGCCAAATGTCCCATCTCCATGGACGAAGGCGGTTCGTCTGGGCGTTGTGTGGATGTATGTGGAACTTCTTTCGCACCGTACTTAGCCAAACGTGCTAATCGGAGATACGGATCGTGGCGTGCGTGACTCACAGCCTGCAGGTACGTGTCAGCGCGCTTGAGAAGATCCTCGCAGCGCTGGACCTCGTGCTGAAGCAAGCTGGTGCACGCCTCCAGAGAGTCCTGCCTGCTTTACGCGCACGGACACGCACGGAGACGTTCGCTCGCCGGAGAACACCGACAAATACCGCGCAATTCACGCAGCCTCGGCATCGAGCGGTCGCTTGGCGAAGGGCGAGAGCAATGAACATGGGTCGTGGCACCAGCGACCGTGGCATTTAACTTTGATAATGACGGCATCGGGGCAAACTTGAGTCACCACCCACATGCAGACTTGTAATGTGGCATCTGATCTCGCGACTACCAGTTTGTTGTTGACCCTCCCCCATTGTCGTTATTGCGTGCCGCGAAGGCCACAATTCGTTGACACCCCGATGGAAGCGGTAAGCCATTTACCTTTAATTAATTACGGTACCGGTAAGACTTGTATGACCCACCCACATTTTGAATTAATGAGTAATATGGGATCTGATCGGTACATTACACGAGACTAAAGGTGAATTCGTTAATCCTAAATGAAAGCAGTTATTTGCACCTATAAAATGCTAATCGGATGTTGTTTTTAAAATATATATAGCTATAGCTTTCAGTTTAGAATGGTGACCAAATCGTTCCACAAAACAATGGACATAAATACACAGCGAAAGATGTATCCCACATCTTCTTGGTTCTTTAGGTAAAGTCACGTAAAAGGGAAATAATAAAATAATAAAAATAAAACATAATAAAATAAATATTTTATAATTTCCATTCTACGTGACTTTACCGAAAAAACCAAGAAGATGAATCCCTGCAGTCACGAAAGCTTGAAATCGAAATGTATCAGATAGTTCCGCAACTTATTAAAACCAGTTTTTTGCGTTTTTCTAAATTAAGTATAGTGCTTTACTGCTCACAATAGCCCTGCCCTTAATGTATCTAGGAGTGCTTTACCGACTCTCAAGACTGCTTTGCACGAGAGTCCCGCGTTGGGATGTTTGACCGATTCCATCAATGAGTGGCTGCGTGTGGCTGGAAACCAGAATCGTCAGAAAATGGCCATGCAATTGATGGGGAAGTGACGCTAAAATATTTGGACATGTTGATTCGATACATTTTTGTACGACCATTTCCTGCCCACTTTTCAGCCCACGGCTACTACTCCGAGACACTCCCCAGGCTCAGGCCTTGCGTAGTTTCCAAGACTGGATGAGATCGGGCACAACTAAGGAGATATTGGTCAGTGGCATTTGGTTGGAAATTTGTGCGTCACGGTCTATTGTTGTGAGGCATGTTACAGGCGTTTAACATCCACTTTACGTGGCTGATGAACCACATGCTCATAACTGACTTGTGAAATTACCAAAGAGTTAAGCTGGCAGCCACGTTAAAATAGAAATGTCGATCTAAAAAAATATCCCACAGTACAGTGTAATGTGGGAGTCGCTGCTAAACGAACTCTTCGCAGCCTTCCATGTAAACACGGAATAGCGTGAGTGTCCGAGACCAGTGCGGATGTTCAACCACTGCGATTCAATGTGCATTGAATTGTAGCGTTCTTCATCGCAAGGCCCGTGGGTCACTGTGGTCCCTGGTGGCCTTTAGTGCGGCCCCTGGCGTGCGGCCCCCGATAATAAACAAAAAGTGGAAACACCACCCCCATCACTCTTTGGTTCTTCCGGTAAAGTCACGTAGAAAGAAATTTTAATTAAATAATAATAGAATACGACGTTTCGATTGCAACACAAGCAACCATCATCAGTCTTAATTTGGAGCTTTCGTGACTGCAGGAATTACTCTTTGGTTCTTTCGGTAAAGTTACGTATAAAGATAAAATAATAAATTAAATTAAAATAAATTAAATTAAAATAATTTCTTATTTTATCTTTATACGTGACTTTACCGAAAGAACCAAAGAGTAACCATCATCAGGTACAAATGAATGAGAAAACAAACATAGTAAACTTGGAAATATAATGCAATCGAAACGTCGTATTCTATTATAATGCAATCGAAACGTCGCATTAAATTATTATTTAATTAAATTTATTTCTACGTGACTTTACCGAAAGAACCAAAGAGTAATTCCTGCAGTCACGAAAGCTTAGAATCTAGTTTTTACCACCCCTATCGTTGTGTTGGCAAACTCCAATGGTGTCAAATGTGTGCGGCGACCCTCACACTGATGATGTCTTATCGGCGAAAGTGGCCTCCTTCTGAAAATTAGTGAACACTGGAATATGACATTTACAGCAATTATTGAATTTCTTGAGAGTATTTTTAAATGCTTACGAGAGAGTGAGAGGTGGCGCGGCAGTTAGCGTAATGCGCTAAAAGCCTCGCGACCTGAGTGGTAATCTCGCGGCTAACGTCAGCGGCAAGTGATATCTGAACTGCATTTAGAACCCCCCTCTTCACCAGCCCGCAGTGATCAGCGTGGTGAAGTATGGTCAAACAATCCCCATGACAAACACGCATGGGATGGCTTCTTTGAGCAGTGAATGAATAAAGGGCTATGGAGTGTTTTATTTTAAAGTACAGTTTAAAGAAAATAACGCCAGCGCCTATTCTTTTGAAACTGTTTGTGCATTTCTCATTCTTTAAAGATTACATCTACTTTTGAAATGCTAGGCACGAACAAAGCATAAACCACAAACAAATTAATAATATATCAGTAGAAGTGGCAGCCTAGAGGCTTGGATGGAATAAAAATAGACGAACATTTAAATGCTATATATATAAGCTGACATCTGTTCTGTGTCTCCACAATATGAATAAAATATGTTTAGCCCAAGGGCTAAACATCGAATTTTCAACACCAATATTTTCCCGCAGCATTTGTTTAAGCAAGCAAAGCTCTGGGTCAGTGTCAACCCCCTTGAGTCTCATCAGCAGAGGCATCGTTGAACAAATGCCGATCCACAACACCGCGTGACTTGGTGTGCTCGTGTGTGTGTAGCAAACGCAACACTTTACAAAGCTGTCACGAGGAAGACAGCATTTTTCACTGGCTGTGCAGAAACGCGTGTGTAAGGTGTAGCAAACGCAACATTTTACAAAGCTAACACAAGGAATCCGTTTCAAAGACAATGCACAGTCTGTCAGAGCATGTTTTTCATTTTCACCACATTATATGTGGTTAATGCAGACATGATTCCTTGCAAAGGTTTCAGTTTAGTGTTTTAACATCTTAACACCTGTTTTATTGCCAGAAAGGGGAGAACCCTATTATCCTAACACAAGGAAGACAACATTTTCCACTGGCTGTGCCAAGGCATTTGTGTGTCTAAGCTGTATCAAACGCAACACTTTACAAAGCTGTCACTAGGAAGACAGTATTTTTCACTGGCTGTGCCAAGGCATGTGTGTGTGTAAGCTGTAGCAAACGCAACACTTTACAAAGCTAACACAAGACAGCATTTTTCACTAGCTGTGTCAAGACATGTGTGTGTGTCTAAGTTGTAGCAAAGGCAGACAGCATTGTGCCGAGTTGAGCGAGACTTGCCGGAGAGAACTGCCGTTGCTCTGCTGCTGCTGCTGGAAACATTCGCCCTTGCTCCTCGTGCCGTTCCCCAGCGCCTCCATGCGGCTGCTGGACACGGAGCGATCTTGAGTGGTCAGCGTGCCACTGCGCATGGCCACCAGGTGCTGCCTGAAGGCAAACTCTTCTAGCCGGTTCATAGTCATCGTCGCAGAGGGGTCCAGCGAGGCCAAGTGAGCCCTCACCCTCCTCTCTGCCTTGTCCGCACCGAAGTGGACAATTTGTAAACCCCTTTTAACGACTCGCCTTGCAGATGTGCCTATAGATGAATAAGAAGAAAAGCCCCCAAAAAACCCAAACGCACTGCTCTAAAGGTGAGCACAGAATGATATGGGGGGTGAGGGGGGGGATGCAGATAGGGGCAGCCGTCAAGAATCGTTGTCTTTACCTCTCCTCCCACTTTGTGCCGTGGAGCCAAGTCCGGCCCTTTACGTTGGGGGGGGGGGGAGAGGGGGTTATTTAATTTATTTATTTTAAAACTCGCGGATGAAATCCACTGAGGTGCTGATGATGACGATGATGTTGTTGCTGCCGCAAGTTCGTGAAGTCATGGCACATATGGGGGGTGTGTGTGGGTGGGGTAGGGGCGGTGAGAGACGTGGAGAGTGTGTGGGGTGGCCTCACGAATTTCTTCCACGAGGTGTGCCTCCACCGGTTTGCGGGCAGGCAAGGCACAGACACTGACTCATGGACACGGGGGGCGGGTTGTGTGTGTGTGGGGTGTGTGGGGGTGCGGTGCGAGCAACGTGCAGAGAATCGAGATGAAACGAGAGACAACTCCCTGTTGCAGGAGACCCCCCTAATGTGGCGATGACCACATTGACCACGGGCGAAACGCTGGCGACAGAGGCGAAAGTTTTGAGAGAATAACAAAGTGCCAACGCGATAAACACGAAACAGATCGTGACGATACAACTCACAGTGCTAGCTAGATTAAAGGTTACAATCTGCATTGCATGCCGTCAATAATCTAAAACAACAACAGAAACCCACACGTACCTACAAACTAGGGCAGCTGTAATTTGTGTGTTTGCGAATGAGCATTAAAATTGCCCTAGTTTATTTTTACGACTATTTTAACAGTTCACACTGGGCGCTCTTTTCTTTTCTTCCCGGCACTAATAAATCCCATCTCTTCTCTCTACACCTCGCGACATTCCGAGCCCACGTGCCGTATGTGGCAGGGGATCTCGGTGATGAATGTGTTTGCGTTCTCTTACGTCCCGTCTAGCGAACCTCAACAACCCGCCGAGTTCGAGCGCGCTCCCTCGGGAGAGCTTGTCCGATTCTGAGACCCATCCCATCCCATCCACAACCTCCGATTATAGCACGGTCGGCTACGTACGGTGCGAAAGAAGTTCAAGAGATACACATACGTACATCGCACGGCTTACACCGGCACCACTCCACTAGGTTCCATCAGGGTAATTACTCTCGGCGCAAGGAATATGATGAGAGCTTACGCTGAAACTCATCCCCTGTAAATATTCCATTGTTTTTACAAAGTGATATCTTAGAAACAAACTCATATTTTTCGGTACGTATGTGTTACTCCACATATATATGTTTTCATTGTTAATAATACGGCTGTATTACAAATGACAGCGTTCGCTGAACTACTTAGTTCAACGGATATCGTGGTGCGTCGTGTTTGCACACTTCGCTCTGAACTTGGCGACTTGAGTTCGACGATTCTCGGTCACGGCTAACGTCAGTGACGAGCGATATCCTGAACGGCTTCCAGGGCACTCCCTGCCTACCTCCCCCCAAGTCAAATAACAATGACCAGCATAGTGGAGAATGATCGACAGGTCGGGGGGGGGGGGGCTTTCCATCCAGCAGTAGATTGCCAAAGGGCCGAACAAGATGCATGAGTAACACTGGTAGTACTGTAGTCGCATAACATACAGTTCATCTGTTTAATTCATCTTGAACATTAGTAACCGTGCTCACTGATCAATCATAAAGAAGTAGATGCATAATTTTTTTAAATGTATGTTGAACTTCTTTTGCACCGTACGTAGCCAACCGTGCTAAGCGGAGGTCTTGACTATTGTAGTAGTAGTAGCAGCTAAGACCCGTGTTCATAAAATCCAGAACCTTTACAGAACATTCGATCGCATATCCGACCATCATTATATCTGCCGCGACCAATGAACCGCCACCCACCAGTACAGCACTTGTGTATGGTTTCATGGTCATTGTCAATACTGATTGTTGTCAGCAAAGGTAAAGACCTCCCAAAGCCGCGACCATCTTCCACGATCATGCGACGTATCACTCCGTCTAGCACCTGCACACGAACGGATCGTCATGGTGCTGATGTTCACATATCGATGTTCACATATCCGACCTACACGCAGATCGAACTACATACCTCAGTCGTCCGCGAGTCGGATATGCGACATTGCGCTGTGTTCAAATTCTCAACGCACGAACCGACTGTTTTAAGGCGTATTCCAGCCACAGGGCTGTCGTAAGCCACGTGAGTTTCCCTTCTGGGTTAACTCAGACACGGCCACGCCTGTCCCTCTCAATGTTTGATCGGCTTAGCTGTGTCTAATCGCAGGGTGTGCTCTTGCGGTGAATATTCCGCCGCACGACAATTTCTCTCTCCGTATTGGCTCCTTAACAGAATGTGGGTTTTAATCCCAGAAGCACGATTCAAAGCCTCTTGCACGTCTCCCACAAATCTTAACAGTGCACTAAAAACATGCAACTATATTATTAAATCCTATTCTTAGGTTTTTTTCGGTAAAGTCACGTAGGTAAAAAAATTAAATTTAAATTAATAAAAGTAAAAATAAAATAAAAATTACGACGTTTCGGAGGCAACACAAGCTTCCGTCTTCAGGTGGAAGCTTGTGTTGCCTTCGAAACGTCGTGATTTTTATTTTTATTTAATTTTTATTTTATTAATTTTTATTTTAATTTTTTTACCTACGTGACTTTACCAAAAAACCCTAAGAATATGAATCCTTGCAGTCACGAAAGCTTCAAATCTAGAATTATTAAATCCTACTGAGAGACGACCGGGTCACACATGATAACTAATCGAATTGGCCTATCATCATCATATTTTGGAATTCATGGTAGCAGCCGACGAATCTTAAAACATGTTTCTAAAGTGTTGGACAAACCCAGAGGACCCGGACAAAAAGCTACGCGAACACGGGGAGAAGGAACGTGGAAACTTGAAATGTACAGACATCAGAGTCAGGATTGACCCCACAAGCTTATGCGTGCCAGGCAAGGTAGGTAACGTCTCATCCCCTTGTCGCCCCGCACACTTATTAAATCTCCTAACAATGTCCTCTGTAAGATATGGAGCCAACAATATCAACATATGCAATCGCCTGTTGAGAAATAAAGTGGGTCATTGGATATCAGTGGTGTTTATACAAATGTATCACACTGTACTCTCCAGACCATAGATAGCACGATGGAAAGAAGTGATTCCGTGAATTATTTTAGCAATGATTAGCTCTCTTGAATATACACACACTGCAACCTTTGACATAATGACACAAGCCTTAGGTCTCTGGAAATGTGTACGGCATGTTACAGAATGCTGTTAAACTTTAAGTAATGTGCGTGACAAGCGTGTGCTGATAATTACAAAATCGTGTGTCTGTTCGTGCTCATAGCGTGCAGCAGCTAACATGGGAGTGTGAGCTTGCGCGTTATGCAGAACGATTTCTGATTAGACGATACTTACAGAGAGCATGCGTTGATACTTTCCATGCGCATTAAAACAATAATTTCCTTTCATTGCGTATTTGAAAAGAAAAACATTATTCGAACGAAATGATCACGATAATCTATTTTGGCGATGGGGGAGATAGTGGTGGCCAAAGTGCATCTAAGCATGAAATATCACATTCTGAGATTATGCGTAACATTTGCAAAGTTCAGCAGTAGAGAAGGATTATGAAGTGTATTTGTCTGATGGCACTAATACCTTCACAAAGGACATGTCATGCTCGGGGTGGGATTAACGCAGAGACATTGGGCGAAGCCTGTGGCTCCCCAAGTATATATATGAAAACTGTCTTGCAATAGCTTCTTTATAATACATGACTCAATAATGGAGCATTGATATCCTACAGTTATAGACAATTCTCTAATTAAAGGGCATCGCTATGTTTTGCTATGAGTTATATGCGCAGAAATCAAAAAGTTGTGTTCGCTTTAACTATAACTTCGCATTTAAATACGTACGCCACATTTGATAAAAAGTAGAACTTAAATAACCGACGTAAATAACAATGAAGAGTTTGGTATCATGACATGTGTAGTGGTAAAGCAATGCAGAGGGGCCCCCAACACCATACCAGCGCCAGGCCCTCGAGATGAGGCTCTTCCGTTAGCAGTTGCGTGAGCAAGACACTCTGGGGCCTAAACTTGAACCTATTACCGCATAGCTGTGGGACTCCAACCGTTAGAACTCTCTGCTCGCTGGTCTTGTGGATAGTGTGCACACTGCTGTACCCGCTCAGCGACTTAATGGGGTACATGAAACTAAAGTTAATGTGAACAGTAGTATTGTGACACTAGTTGGCTGATAATTAAACATGACATTTTCTTAAAGATTAAGCAACTTTTTTCACCAGTTGTGCCAAAATTATGGCCCTGCCCAAATTTACAAAGAGGTAATGGGAAAGTACAATCCTGTAATGGGCTGTATGTGCAATATGGTGTTGGAAAAAGCAATGAAAGGTAATTCTAGCAGGCAGAATTTTTGAAATAATCTGTGTAATCATTTTGGGGTTATACGACTGAATGTGAATGTCCAGTCATCGCTTATGAGCCATTTAAAATGTGGCCATCCAACAGTTTTCAAAAACACACATGTATTTACGTGTGCGAATTCTTTGGACGAGATAGAGTTGCTTGACATGCTATTTTATCTGTGATCCGTTCCATTCTGAAATGGAGCTACTTATTGCTTGTCTTAAATGTTTCATTTTAGAACAAAGAATGTGCCACGCATGCTTAGTCAATTGTGCTAAATTCTAACTCAGTACATGTACAGCCAATGCATGCATTACGGTAATTGAGAAGCGGCAAGTTAAACCGTCTGGACAAGTTGAAGCAATTCTTAAAACCCGATGTAATGCGTGGGTGGAGCTGTCATTATTACGGGTGATGTCATGTGGACCGTATGACAACTTACAGAGGTGTGCTCAAGTTTCCATTCTCTTCAACCAGGATTGTAACATCACATAGAAGAAATGTCCATAATGAGTTTGTAATTTTGTCAACTGTATTCCTACATTTTATGGAACCATTTAAAGTTACGGACCTGAATACGATGTTGGGAAAAAAATATACCTATATATAAAACTGAGAATAGAATAAGCTGTGATAGAATTGGATGTATATACCCTTTAAATAGTGATGTGATTAAGGTGTATAAAACAAGGTGAAAAGGCGTGGCAATTGGTTCCACCACTGCTGGAAGATGGGCCTCCACTAAAGGGCATTTGGCCTACTCTTCCACGTTGATCAGACGTGTTGGAGATGGGCGGATCCAAACTCGACCACATCACACGATTTACTGTGGTGCACTCAATTATATTGCCGGGTGGACAGATGTGGTGGGGTGGGGGGGTTTAGAACTTGCCTATTGGTTGTCAGGTAAAGATGAAATTGAGCAGGCCACCTCTGGAATGCAAGTCCAGTGTGCTAACTCTTTCACCACTGCAGCATCCCACGCAGTGCATAAACTCAAAATACAAATATGCAAAATGTAAAAAAATGTAAAAAAAAAACAGTAAAAAGAGCCCCAGAAAAAAGCACAGTGTGAGTCGTTAATATATACTTTTTTTTATTGAGTGATGGGAAAACATTCTACCGATGAACGGTATTTTGCTGCTGTTGTTTAACTTTCCCATAAACAGAAAAAACAAGGTTACACAATTAATACTGTATGCGTTCACACAGCGACTTTTACATCATATTAAACAAAAATCTGTCATGTGATAGCGATTCAGCGAGCGACTTTACTACCTGATCCAAGCCATGCACCACAGAAAAACTATTTCAACCGCCTTGTGCTGGACAAGTTATCGTTACATCAGTTATCAGTACACCATTTACCTGGCCAATGACGTCAGAAACGTGTTAGAGCCAATACACATCACGGGACAATACAAGCCAATGCAACATTCTAACCGATTGGCCATTTCAAAACTTCACCATCAATCTGTTCAAACACAGCTCAAAAGCAAATAATATTGTCTACGTTCTGCACAATTATAAAACACTTGGCTAATATTATTACATAAGCAATATACTTTCTAATACATACCGACGCCGGATTGAGTTTTTTTTCAATAGCACCATTTAATCAGTTCAGAAAAATTTCAGAGCAGTATTACAAACGACGCAAATGAGAATTCATGCCAAAAGGAATGTTTTTAAACTTCAGCACATTTCTCAGCTGTCAAACTGCACAATTAAAGGTTTTTTTGTTATAAACTATTTTCAATGAAACACTATACACACATATATTATATACATCCAGTATATTCACTTACATAGCACATTTACGCATCTGTAATTCTGACTATATAATTTAATTTTATTGTTAAAGCACGCACAACACTAACCATACTGTTGATGTTTCAAGTCTATAGGGACTTTAGTTATTATCCTTTATTGTACAACAAGAGAGAAGTCCTGCAAATTAGTTCGTCTTTAACCTATCTAATTTGCATGTGGCCACGTCAATGGCAAGGCAGCAGAAATCCACAAAACCACCAATGTATTGCAAAAAAAAATGCGCACGTGTCCGCACATTTTAAGATTCCGTATGCCCTGTTTGTTTAACAACTGCGAGTAAGTATAGCAACGTCAGCTGAACTAACTGTTCTACTTTTTTTTCTGCACTCAGAAAAAAAACAATGCTCACGTTAATTTTGTGTTCAAAAACATTGATGGATTGTGTGGATTTCCATTTGATGTGGCTTTAGACAGGCACCCTGGTGTGGGGCATTCTCAACTCCTCTGCCAGCCTACAGCATGCTGATGCCCACCCCAAGCATTGTGTTTCTACTACCGACACCTTACGTTGCTCTCCGATGTGTTTTCGGGAGATTGTACCGCTTGTTTGGTTGACAAGTCGTGTCGCTGCCATTGCTTAGAGCTTCTTCGCGAGACTGAATTCAGTTCCCGAACGAGCTCCTTTGCACGTGAAAGTGAAGCTCTCGGCACGTGCAGCGAAACGTCGGACATCGTGCCAAAACGTGGTACAGCCCGACAGCACATCCAACAGCTCTACAGCACCACGAAAAGGAGTATGCAGTATACCTTATGTTATCTGCTTCGTATCAAGTGATTTAAAGTTGAATTCCCACATTAGTCTTGAAACGATAAAGACTACATCATTAAGATGTCCTTAGTAACAAATTTTTGTTTTAACTCATCACGTGGCCTATGGGTAAAATTAGATCTCATTGTAGGTATTTTTTTAGTTTTACATGATAAAATAAAAACACGTTTCATCAAGCTTTGGGTCATATATATTAATCATTTATCCCAATGTGATTTATGTATATAAAATATGAATAACAATGTTACGTCAATATTCGTAAACATTCTTTTCAAACAATGTATTTAAATTATAAAAAAGCATGTAAGTTGCGAAACGGGATAGCATTATATAAAGCCCGATGCTTAGAAAAAGATGTGAAATCATTAAGAGGGCTTTGGTGTTGAATTCTTTCTCCCTGCTCACGGAAAACAGAAAACAGTTAAATGAGACTCTCAGCGCAACGTATTCTGTCCCAATAAGGTTATTTTTTTTACCTAATCCTGAATTGTGGTTATAGTGTGTTTGTCAACAGTAACCACGACTTTCATATTTTGGTATGATAAATCAGTTTCACCGTGTCCCATTATGAATGAAAATATATGCTCATATATGCTAAAAACCTATAAAACCTGTTTGAGATATAGTACATATATTTGTTTTGTACGTGTAACCATGCACCGTCAATATATTTTGCATGTACAGCTATGTGTAAAATATTTGAGTGATTTACTGTTTCCATTAAACATGTACATATATATTCATTATAAGAAACATATTTTCTTTCCCACATTGGATCGGCCTTGTAGGCGAGGATCATATGGACCACAGTACATGTAATTCAAAATCATCATAACCCTATTTCCCAATGTATTCCTTGTGCTCTGTACAGTAAACTGCAGACAACGTGGATGCACTTTCCACATCAGCACACTTTGATTTGGAAAATTATAGGTAACCCCAATCAGGACATCAAGGAAAATAAGCTAATAGATAGGTCACCCACATAAGGATAAAGTGCTTATAGAAATGCAGCTGTGTCACTGGAATAGCTGCTGTGACTACCATCATATCGGTAAGACAAAGATATGGTAAGTACTGTTTAATAATATTGCTGAATCAAATCTACCCTTAAGTAATAAATTCATTTACTGTGTGAAGCAGGTCTTATGCATTACGAAATGAAGTTTACAATTTTCCAAACAATGTCGGCAAAAAGAAAAGCTAACAAAATTCATGACAAAATTAAATGTTACATATAAAGTGTATGAGGTAGATTCATCATGTTAAGGTAAAAAATATTTTTTCTTAAATGCACGCATACACCTTAAATCTTTACAACTAAGTATTTTATTTCACTGCTGTAAATTCTAATTAAAATGTCTCGTAACTAAATTGTCATCCTGAGAAGGCCTGCTCAAAGAGTAGTCAGGGTCAGACCCCATGAATCGGGCCCTGTTAGTGACCCCAAGGGGCCCTGGGTTGCCTAGACAGCACAAGGAAGGACTGGCGAGTGCTAATTTAAATCAATATTCTTTGTCATCGCATCAGCATTTTTTTTACAGGTGTGAAATAAAAGAGTGATACATGGCTTAATGTGATGCAGATGGAGGAGGGTAGAATATCAAACATTTCTCAGAGACGACTGTCATCTGAATAGCATTTTGAACAATGGCTCTGTTGTGCAAGGTTAACAATCTATTGGTCCATAACACAGGTTTTTTGGGTTAGATCGCGTAAATATATAAAAGTGTCGTTAAACCCGCCACCACCCGACACAGCCAATTAGTAAGGTTTGTCACGTAAACAGAACGTGCCAATTCGTTACTGGTACAGCACACCGGTGTGTTGGAGAGCAAAGCTACAACATTTACAATCTGAGTACAACGTTTCGAAAGTAATTACAACTAGCTTCATCAGGCAAACAAATCTTAATACCAGTTTCATCAGGCGACCTGATGAAGCTAGCTGTAATTACCGGCGAAACGTTGTACTCAGATTGTAAATGTTGTGGCTTGGCTCTCCAACACACCGGTGTGCTGTACTAGTAACGAATTGGCATATTCTGTTTACGTGACAAACCTTACTAATTGGCTGTCGGGTGGAGGCGGGTTTAACAACACATTTATATATTTACACGACTTAACCCGAAAAAAACCTGCATCATGGATGATATTGGTCGCGAAAGCCTACGTGTTAAAATAATATATTGGGTCATAGGGTAAATTCATGCTTTTATGTAACCGTGTTTTCAGAGATCAATAAGGATGGTTCTATAGTTTGAACTCTCCCAAGTTTCACACACACACACACATTGAGCCTATGCTCTGATTCAGTATAAATGCTTCACTGCCTACAAACCTGTATGTAGCAAGTTGATTAAAACACCTGCAGGGAATTGCCCCTTGGTTGTCATTTAGCAGAGTACAAGAGGGGAAAACATACTCAAGGTGGTTTATGCAACCAGTTAGCAAAAGGAGAGACGGACCATGTATCATTCCTTCACCCCTTTAGCCATGCAACCTTTCTCACCTTGAAGTGTGAAACACATGCCATTTTACTGAAATGTTTCTGAGCAGTTGTGCAAGACTGAGAAAAAAACATAAATTGATCAAAATGCCACTTTCATTTTTTACGTCTTGCGAAAATGTCACTTCTGAACGCATTATTACATCAGGAGTATTTTATTATAGAAATAAACTTAAATTTATCATCAGGGTAGCAGGATAACCATTGGAGGTATGAACTTGCAAAAAGCAACTTCGTGTCAAGGTGAAAAAGTGCAGAAACATTGGGAAGAGAACGTCTGATGTTCTGACACGGTTTTGAGCATGGTGAAAACCGACTTGACCTATTTTATATTTATACAGCGCCTTAACTCAAGGTGCTTTACATAGTTCAAAAAGTGGTAACAAAAATAGAGCGATTGAGATGGCAGGAGCGTACAAGGGCCGAGGAATGAGTGACCGTGGCAACGGAGGGCACGTGGAGGTCACAAAAGGGCAGGGGAGGGACCGAAAGGAGTGGAGGGACGAGGGAAGAGGAAGGGAATGGGCAATGGAGAAGAGATGTGCACAACACAGTTTCAAGTAACGGTGAACATACAATGAAGCATGTGTAAAAGGTTTGTTGTGTGGAACTGTAGACCAGGAAGATGTTGTAAATGAGCAAGCTTTATAAATAGTGAACAGTCACGTCTAACATATTAGTCCTTAAAAATTGAAATGGTTTGGCTTTTAAGTCCAAAACCTTTACGGTTTTTCAGGCCATCTGTGTTGGCTATAAAATAATGTATTTCCTTATGCCTATAAGAATGTAATATTTCTGCTCATAAGGCTTTAGGAATACAATCGGCAAATTGTACAAATGCATCGGTAATTTAGCACCATCGGTCTATGGGTATAATTTTCCTTTTTGCGTGAGCACTTCTGGAAGAATGAACCACACTAATACTCACATGAGTCACAATTGTTTTCTACCACGTGTATATCCCACTATTCACCAGTATCTAAAGTAGAAAGTTATACTCGTAATGTAAACAACTACCTAACACAGATTTGAAATACACTCAGAAAAACAGAAACGCAACTGCAGTACTGCATTGGGTTTAAACAGGGCGATTGATATCCCCAATTCCCCAATATAACAATTCTATTATACCAATTCAGACATGACCTCAGTTTCCATTTACATTATGTGCACTTGGAATTGAAGTCGGTCTGGCCCTGGTTACACAGGATTTATTTTCCATCAAATGATTCTCATTTTATGTTAACACCAGTTGTCTTCTTCTTGGTTCTTTCGGTAAAGTCACGTAGAATGGAAATAATAAAATAATGAAGACCCACCGATCCCAAAGGCTCCTACTCAAGAGTGCGAGTAAGCACTCAGACCAGCCTTACATCACTTTTCCACGACCAAGGGGAAGCGTGTTGGCCAAATTTCGCGAGAAAAGTTTACTGTCTTGTCGGACCGAGTTCCCACAGCAGCCCTCACATGCCGACCCAACCCAACAGGGCTGTGCCGAGCCGGCCCGGTACAGCTGGAAGGTGCCAGGTTTTTGTCCACTGCAGTAGCAGAGCCATACTGCTGACGTCACATGCAATGCATGTACGACATAAAGCATAAAACTTGCAAGTGCATTAACTCGTGCAACATAAGACGAACGTGATTAGCTCCACCTTTGGCCTTGCTTGGCCTCAAGCCAAATTCAGATATCGGTGGGAGGCCAGTGGTTCGGCTACGTAATTAGCCAGTGGAAAAACCATCCATACCTAGATGGTCCCTGCGCTGGCGTGACTTAGATATGCCAGTGGAAAAAGGGGTACAAGTGAGTCTGCGAAGTGGGCCTGGAAGATCGCTTTCATAAGGAAGCCACGCACTGTTAAGTGGGCCAACCTCGGAAGCAGTCGTGACATCGCAGGGTTAATGCAGAAAATGACGCACGGTCAGTAACATCTCTGGCAGAGTGCAACTTCACAAGCCGCGCTATTCTTTAGAATGGCTTAACATTTTACAACAAATTTTTATTTTAATTTGTACACAATACCTTGTTAAACGGGAACTTTATTTAAGACAGCAGTTAACAGTGGTCGTGGAAACAAAGTAGGCTGTTGCAAACTTAAGTTTTTGCCTCAAACTCAAGATTCAACCTTCACACCAGCAATCCCCCCATCCACTCTTAAGCACCTGATATTTAACACCAACATTGAGCACCATTGAGCACCATTGGTTTAATGTACTGGTGTAATTGGTAACAGGGGGGTGGAGTGGAGAGTTGTAGGTGGGAAATAACAAAAAAAAACACCAAAGGTAGTCTTAGTTTATGTCTGTGGTTTCTTTGAGCACTCTGTCCTGTATCACAGAGCACTTCTGCTAAGCCTTTCACACGTCTGGTGTAATGACTGCACAATACAAACAGATAGAAAGCAAAGTACTAACTTGATGTTGTTCTATGTACTTTTGAAGAAAGTTTTAGCACCATTGGATTGTATAATGCTCTAAAATCGAACTGTTTTACATGATGTTATTGCTTTAGCAGATATACTGTGCTTGTGTGTGCATGTGTGTGAGTGTGTGCAGTTTTCCACTTGATCACTTATCATTTCACTATGGAATATTTTAAGACCAACTTTGTAAACATAACATCAAATGAAAATATATTTTAAATACACTGTAATAAAGATTTTAGAAAATATGTTTGTACAAGCATAAGGTGTGTTTCGTATTCACGATAACATTTAAACAAAAATAATGCTGAAGTATTGCATTGTAAAAGTAAATATAAAAAGGCACTGCTAACACCACAACCATACTCCAATGCACACTACACTGGCACCTTTGGAGTTAAACCAACCACACCACAAGACGTGTCTTTAACCAATGTCTGCTATGGCTTAGTGATGGGTTGATTTTACGGTTTTAGGTTGGCATGCATTTCTAATCAGGCTTGCTAGGATTTTTTTTTTTTGTCACACTATATGCTTTTCCAGGAGAAAATGTAGCTTCTCTTTAAAAGTATAGTAAGTTTTTATTAAGATTTTGGTCTCATAATAAATAAAAATTAAATTTTTGTTTTAATTTGAAGTCATTTCTAGCAAGCCTGCACAGAACCAAATGATCTGGTTGCTTCAGCAGCATTTGATAGTTTGCAAAATAACTAGGGAATATTTCAAACGATTAAGGTTTATTGAGCCTTTACCATTTGCTTTTTTTATATCGGTGAAATGTGATTCCCTACATTTTGCTAACACTAAAACAAGAGATGTGAATGCAGCTGAACTGACGATAATCCCTATATTGGCAAGTAACGATTTACCTACTACAAACTAGCTGTCACAATTCAGGGGTCATGATTCCGGAATTGATTTCAATATTACTTTGCTAACATATTTTATTCACTGCCTCATTTGTACCGTGTAAACTGTACTCTATTGTAAATACTCTCCTGTTGGTTAAGTTTTCTTCATCTGATCTGTTTTTTTGTAATATCTCATTTATAATGACTCAGTCGAATTTTCTATCTTGCAAGTATCCTCTCAAATGTACCCTTTTTTGTCCATCGAATTAGTTTTTTCTTATCCATCGGCACCGTCTCGTTTGTTTTGTCCATCTAGTTTCTACGGTCTGTCTCATTACTACCATTAGCCCAAATGCAACATTGCAATATCATTTTCTCATAACGTGCATAAATCAAAAACTACCTGATGCACGTATCGCGAGTGATTTTAATTGGTCAATCGGTGCATCGTTACATGCCCACTATCTGGTGTGGCACCCAATACGTGTGTGAAATGGCAGTGGCAGATTTAACTTTGGTTCACAACACTGCATCACTCCCAATGGAGATTAAACCCACCATGCTGGTAGTTGGTGGACAGATAATTACATTTGGAGCAGACTATATTTACTTCATGGGATTATCAAGATTCACGTTGATTTTAAAGTCTATTTTGTTTAACCAGATGAGAACTGAAGTGGTCAGGATAGTCTCATTGCAAGTGTGACCTGGGGCATTAGTCTGCCAGTAGCGGTCGATGATTGCTATGTATAATCACAAATAAGTCATTTGTGATGCATTATGTTGCACCATTGCTAGATCTGCCTTTTTAAGGAAAAATAAACGTGTTACAGATTGATAAATGGGTTTTAATGCTTGACAGTGCACGTCAGACATTATAAAGTAGACATATATGAAGTGTAAGAACCCATATCTGCCTAAAAGTAACGGATCATATTTATATCGTGTGAACCTACCAAGTAGTGCTCAACAGAAGGTTTTAATCTTCAGAGCAATGTATGCAATTTTCTCTGAGCATAAAGTGTGATATGTATGTTGAACTTCTTTTGCACCATACATAGCCAACCGTGCTAATAGGTGCAGATATCTTCATGACATATACTGTATATGTGAAATGAAAAGACTGTGTGCTTGTGTATTTTATTCATTTAAACTCAGTGTAATCATATTTTACTGGAAACCCTTAATAGAGTTAAATAATTGTTGTAAAAAAATGTTATAGATTTTTTTTATAATTTCTTATAACATTCACTAAAGTGCACTGTGAAATAAATATAACTATGCTTATTCTGCTTAAGCGAGACAAAAAATATAATTTATATATACTGTATGTTTTATAAAATAGCATTGTTAATAAAATTAACTCTTCATATTTTTTTTATCTAACCTTTTTCAGGAAAAAAATAAAGCAATCATCACCTGGCCTGAGATAGTAATGAGGCCCTGCCTGGTCTAGTGTGAGGCACAGGTGATGAAACCTATGCAGCACATTCTAATTCATGACACCACGCAATTGAAATCAGTATTTTGCACCAACATTTAAATCCTGCACAAACACATTTTTACCAAGTAAAATTCAGTTAGCAGCATACTTAATTTAATAACAATATCGACGTCTAGAAAAGGCGTTTCTTTTAAAAAACAATGGGGAAGAAGGAAGAAGTGGAAAACGTTGAGAATCTTGTTGGCGCAGACAACCGTGATGACAGTGCTTCATTGACAACAGAAGTGTGTAAGAGACTGCGGCAGAGATCATAAAAAAAAAGATCAGATCAAAATCGGACAATTCCAAATTGGTTTGGATTAAGCTTGCCTAGCACATACCTCAACCATGAACATATTCCTGCTTATTGCAATAAAAATTTCAAACGTCAAAAAATACCAATAAAATATAATTAGACGAAATGCGCAGACAACTCCGGACACCGCGACAGCTCAGACAGTCGTCTCGTACTCGTACATCTCGTATGAGAGCGTGACGTCACGGTACTGGATGGCGGTGGCAGTAGGAGTGAGGAACTCGAGGACGTAGATGTTACCCCGCAGGCGCCGGTCGATGAAGTGCGCGTCCCACGCCGGGTATTTCTTGCGCGGGATGTCCACCCTGATCACGGGCCCCTCCGAGCGGTACTGCATGGCGGGCGAGGGTGGAATGGGCGACATCCGCACTTCAAAAACGGGCGTGTAGCCATCCGCTTCGCTCAGCTCCCTGCTGCCCCGTAGCGCGGCATCAGACAGCGACACTTGGGGCCGTGGCACCAGGTGTGGTGGGCTGGGCGGCCGAGGGATGGTCATGCCATTGAGGGCGGCCGAGCAACAAGAGCCAGGCATCCCCTGAAAGCGTCGGCCGCCCGGGTGAAGGAAGCCATAGTAAACCATCATTATGGCCATCCCCAGCGAGAAACTGATCACACTGAAACAGAGGAGAGGCAGAGCGTAGGCGTCAGTTGCCAAGGGGTCTCTGTTGAAATACCACAGTAGCATCATGGCCGAGTTTTCTGTCAACACGATAAGGTAAAACGCAAACATTCTCCGATGGGTCTTTCCCTCCTTGACGTTGAACCAGCAGAAGATGTAGATGACGCCCATGAGCATGTCGACCAGAATCTCCTCCCACTTGGACATGCAAAAGTCGGTCTCCTCTGTGATGATCCAAAATGTCATGATGCACCAGTGCACCACCAGGAAAATGACAAAGTACAGCTGAAAGATGGAGGCGAACAGAGCAAAGGAGAGGACGCGGGAAAAGATGGTGAAGGCCCTCCAGGACATCTGCAGCAAGGCGCCTCTGTAGCTCATGCGGTGCTTATCATCTCGCGAGTCCCGCAGCGCCTTTTGGTAGGAGGCCAGCACCATGGTGAGCGACAGCAAAGAGGCAGCTGATGACACACCTGAGTGTACAAATAAACATCAGAGATTACCAAGAGGACGTCAATATAATGAAGGTTTGCGTAAGAGACGCTAAGTAGCAGCGGTGGAATGGGCCATTGCTCAGAGTTGGCAGGTTAGTAGTTTTAAAACAGGGTACATAATGACAAATACCTTGTTTCGACAGACAGTAGGAACTTTTCTAGTGCTAGCTTGGGTCTGGTATCGGAGAGCTGCATTGTCATGGCAGCTTAGACCTGCCAAACACATCCCAGACCTTATTAGCACGTGGGCTCCCTTGTCAACCTGTACTCTGCCAGACTGACCCTGAAGCGATTTGTGATGTCATATTGATGTGCACCACAATGCACCTACTTAGTTTAACTTCCCAGCTGAGTTACTGCTAAAAAATACAGATGGAATATACTACTGCGTAGATTTTCACGATTGCGTTGCATAGCTCTCCTGCATATTTTCAGGTTGTACCACATGTTGTTCGCCATGATGTCCAACATTTCCCTCCACGTTGCTAGGAACCTCTTTAAAATCTGAGAGCTTCTACAGGAACTTATTTGAGTTCCTGCTATTCAATTCCCGAAGAAGCTCACATGCATGTGGAGCATAACATTCATGCTGAACAACTCCCGGTACAACCTGAAAGCAAATTGAAGAGCTACAGATGTAAAATTACAAAAAGACTAGAGTTTAATTAAAAAACGTGCCTAAATTAACAATTAACTATAATATATTTAGTTTCAAGTCACTCCCTTGACTGCTCCCCTGCTGCTGGTAGGGGACAGATGAGGAGTCGGCGGGTACAGAGCTGGGGTTGACAGGCCCGTGGAGCCCCATGGCAAATCTAGCTGAAGCACCAATGTCCCCAGACCATGGTGCTGTTCCTCAGCCAGTTTTGAGCCAGCAGATCCTAGTCCCTCGTCGTTTTGAAAACTAGGCAAAAAATGGGCGCACTACAACGATAACGTTCCAACGTTTAAAGTGGCGCTTGTACACCGTTCTTCGCTCAGAATTGCTTAAGCTCACTTGAATGCTTCAAATGATTTGCATGTGCACGATGGCGTGTGTGATCTATTACACTGCGGGTACTATATCGGACAGGAAGCAGGTAGAGGGAGTATCCAGTTGGAGAGCATCTGTTGGCATCGGGAATTGGACTGGGTCACGCCTGCACACGAGCTGGCAAGCGATTGAGATCACCGGCCTTAGGGGTGCTCCTTTGTCACGGGTAAGCTGGGCAGCTCGTGGAGACAGACAAATGATGACAAATGAAGCATGTTACTAACAACTGCTCAGCTCACATGTGAACTTGACCCAATGAGGACTGTACATTCAACATGACTGCATTCATATGAATACCATATTAAGCAAAGAACATAATGATTAAGGACTAGCTATTTTGAAGATATGTTTAAGCCATTCTATCATACCTGCATAACAATTTTAGGAAGTGATAACACAGCACAGAAGCAAACAATGTATTAAAAGTCGGCATGTAAGGATGCATTTATTCAGATTAAAATATATCCTTACGCTCATGACACACGCATTGAATCATATGAAAATCTAAACTTACTAAGCTAAACTTTTTATTTTACCAGGTAAAGCCCACTGAGCTATATAGCTCTTTTTCAGAAGTGACCTGGCCACAAATGATAGCCCAACGAAGTGGCTTATCACGTGGACATTTATAGCAGCCAACTACTCTAAAAGCATATTTATAAATGTGGAGGGAAAAACCGGAGGACCCGGATAAAAATCCACGCAACCACGGGGAGAACATGCAAACTCTAAATATACAGCCATCAGGGTCAGAATCGAACCCATGACCTCCTGTATACCAGGCGAGGTATATTCTTAGGTTTTTTCTGTCGTGGCTGTGACGGTTCCACCTGAAGACAGAAGCTTGTGTTGCCTCCGAAACGTCGTGATTTTTAATTTTATTTTAATTTTATTTTTATTAATTTTAATGTTTTACCTACGTGACTTTACCGAAAAAACCTAAGAATATGAATCCCTGCAGTCACGAAAGCTTCAAATCTAGAACCAGGCGAGGTAGTTAACATCTCGCCACCGTGGCACAATTACAGTATATCCCAGCTGGCCAGACTTTGGATTTCGCCTGACTAATCCCGGATAAAAACAAGAACAAGCTTCAACGTATCTTAAATGCAGAAACATTAAATAGATTTTTTGACATCCAGTATAATTAATCATCTATTACGTAATGTAACATGCATAATAAATTGCACCATCACATGTTATATTGTGTATAATGTAAGATATGTATTATTGGGTGTGAACCGTACTTACCGCAATACATTAGTGGTGGGGTAATAATCACTCTCAGTAGGGTCATTGGGGGCCAACGCGGTGGCAACGTGGTTATAGCACTGTGTTATGAAACTCGGCAACCTGAGTTTGAGTCTGAGCCACGTCAAAGTCAATGGTGAGTGATACCTAATCCAATCCTGCCTTCCCCCCACCTCCCCTTCACCAAAACGTAATGCCCAGTATGGTGAAACATGGTCAAATAACCCACATGACTGGGATGGCATGAGGAGCTCTTCATCCATCTATAGCTCTATTTCAGAAGCGACCTGGTCACAAATAATAGCTCCACGAAGTGGTTTATGTGGAAATTTATAGCAGCCAAATACTCGCATGTTTCCATATGTGGAGGGAAAAACTGGAGGACCTCGAGGAAAATCCACACGACCACCGGGAGAACATGCAAACTCACAATATACAGGCATCAGGATCAGCAGGCTCAGGATCGAACTCACGACCTCCTGTATACCAGGTGAGGTAGTTAACATCTCACCACCGTGGCACCCCTTCACTATTAGATATACAGGTAGGAACAACAGGTTCCACACTGCCCACCAGGGATTATTTGTCTGTCGTGCATATGGGGAGGGGAGGGTGGGGGGTGGGAGGGTTGGGGCTGAGTAGAGAGGGGAGGGTGGGAAGGGGCTGGGTGGGGAGGGAGGGGCTGGGTGGGGAGGGTGGGGAGGGGCTGGGTGGGGAGGGTGGGGCTGGGTGGGGAGGATGGGGAGGGGCTGGGTGGGGAGGGTGGGGAGGGGCTGGGTGGGGAGGGAGGGTGGGGCTGAGTGGGGGGTGGGAGGGGTGGGGAGGGGCTGGTCACCCCGTGGTGTCCTTATAAAACTCAACGTTTAACCTACTCACTACACTATACACGACACGATACACTTATACAGGTAGGAACAACAGGTTCCACACTGCCCACCAGGGATTATTTGTCTGTCTGTCGTGCACGAATGTGCTGTCCGACCAAGTTCCTACCTGCCCACTCCGAAGGAACGTGTTATATACATCTGAGACAAATTTCAAGATTTGAAAATAGGAGCCCCTGTCTGCAATGTGACAGTTGCCCACTGACATAATATCACCACCACACGATGCAGCTATTATAATTTACACTATTTTAGTTATGAATTAGGCTGTTGGGGTGTTGTTTTTTATAATGTAGCACAAATAGAGGTATTTATTTTAGGTTGTGGCCAATCCATGCTGAAAATAGGGTCAGTTTGTATTGAATATCCCAGCATGGCTCAATACTGAATACTTAAGAGCTCAATATTTCCATTTATATATTTTAAAAAGGTCCAAGAAGAGGATGGAAGATATTAACATAATATGCTCTGAACAAAAAGTGTCAGTGTTTTCAGTGGTATTATCAGTGATATTACAAGTGGGAATGTACGTTGAACTTCTTTCGCACCGTACGTAGCCAACCAGGCTAATCGGAGTTGCTGCGCTACGAACCCGGTAGCCTGGGTTCGATTCCCGTTCACAGCCAAACACCAGTGATGATTATCTGAACTGGTCCTGGGCCTCCCCTAGGTCGACCTGGTGCGGTGTGTAAACATCGTCACTGGGGGAGACAAAGGCAGTCCGGGATGGTGCTGGCCACCCACCCCCTCTTGTACCGTTCCAGCCTTCATAGGTGCTCGCTAACAGCACTTGCCTCAAAAGTCTGTTAAAGGCTATACGATTTAATCACACATATACCGAAGTCAAAACATCAAGTAATGAAATTTGTGTTTTACAATCTAATTGAATGCAATTGCATTCATGAAAATGTTCAATAATTACATTATTAATGTGTTGTTGTGATTTGTCCATTGTAATACATTACAATTACTACTTGTATTAATGTACCTGTTGATGTAAAATTAAGTGTTAGCAAGTAATATTACCATGAAAAGGCAAACTTGGCCAAATATAGCCCGATTTGAGTCCAAATACTTAAAGACACAAGCTTATAATAACAATATGGGGAAAATGCCAGAATGTATGCCAAATTAACAAAACCTAAACTACTGGGCATGTTGTGATGGATATACTGCCTTATTCAAAAGTCATAATCTCAAAGCACCATCTAATGCAGATGTCACCAATCATGAATCTTGCAGCCATTGTACAGAAAATATCTGGGCCACCACCACAGCCCTTGGATTGCTAAGAGATTAAGTAGCTCTTCATGTTCTTAGCCTTTGAGCAAGGCAGCCTTTCCTTTCATTTTTTTCTTTCTTTACAACATAAATAAGCCGAATATTTCCCATTTCTTAGCTACTCATCCTCCCCCCCTCCACGAAGCGACCAAAGGAAATAGTCCTATTTTAACTTAACCATTCAGTTAACATCCAATTGTAAACTGCTGCATGGCAATCTGAGAAACCATTATACCACCCAACAATTCATATTACAGTATGAAAGCCTTACAATATTAGAGCAGAATTCATTTACACCCTGTGGATGTGCAGACCGTGCAAATATGCGTGCACAGAACAGAACACAATTGTGAAATCCGCTTTTAAATAAAGGGACTGAAATTACAATGCACGTGCCATATTGTGTTTTACTTTGTTGAATGACACAATATGTAATATACTGACCATATATAAATAAAGTGTGCATTAAAAAAGTGTGAACGGCTTCTAGTGGTTTTAAATATATACCAAATAAAATATATAAATCTCTGTTGATATCATATTTCCACTGAAATTTATTTTAAAGGTTGTGTTTTTGAGTATGTGATATAAAAAAAAAATCACTAAACATATTTCAACGTAGCATTTTGACCTTTTATGAGAACTGCCAACACATAGTGATTGGACTATGTTTAGGCAGTGCATTTCAAATGCCACTTACTTACAAATATACAAAACTTACCTCATACTGTCTTACAATAAATTTAGGTAAATTTAGAAATGGATATAATTTACTGTTATGGAACAAAAATAATAACGGTGATAAGACATGCATTATATGAACATTCTGGCAACGCAGCGTATACTTGCAAGCTGAAATGTTATGTTTTAAATGGGATGAAAATTAAGAGCTAAACTCAGTGCAATGCTGCCACCTGCTGTACTGAGCAGCTCTGGCAACAGACCAACAGCATGCACCAGGAAACAGGCAGCCAAAATAAGTGATTCCAAATCAGTTGCTTTCCCTCTGTTATATTGAAATCCAAGGCAATCTACAGGTAGACTTTTTATAATATAAAATATAAAACAATGATTTTTAATATCAGCTACTATACAACAATGATGGGGAAAGTCTTTTGTTTGGTTGGTTGGTGGAAGGAGTAGTACATTTTGCAAGGCCACGAGGAAGAATCATCAATTGACCGAGCTCGAAATAATTGTGAAATATTTCCATGCAATATTTACGATGTCCCAAAATTGTAGCTCGATCGCAAATAACTGTTATATATACGGGCAGCTAATGAAACTTTGTAGTTCCCCATTTTCTTGTTTTAAGGTCAAATTACCATTTTAGGCCATCTTTCACGTGAATGTACTGCCTGCTTTTCAAAATAATACTTATTTTTTCAGAATGGCTTCCCACAGCCACAGCAAATGGTTCTGGCAACACGGGACGGACGTGTCGTGCACTGAGCACGCCGCGCAGTGAGCAAGACCTGGTGCAACTCACATTGCAGTGGCTCGACGCGATGGCGCTGGAGCATGATGGAGAGCTGCAGCACCAGCTGAGGCCCGCTCTCGAGGAAGCTCTCCAGCAGGCGCAGGATGCTCACGTCGGCGTACTCGTACATGAGTGCCCATTGGAAGCGGCGGCGGTATGGCCGCCGGCGCTGGCTTTGCACGCCCAGGTAGAGCACGCGCACGTACCTGCGGGACGCATGCACGCACGCACACACACACACACGACAGTAGGGCCAGAAGGTCAAGTTAGTGAGCATGTCGCCACCACCATTCATAGCTGTATTCTCTAAAATATAACAATTTTGTTTTTCAAATCAAAAGTTGGAGGTTCAAAACCGGCTGAGGAACAGCAGCAGCATGGTCTGGGGAGGTTGGTGCTTCAGCTAGATTTGCCATGGGACTCCATGGGCCTGGCATCCCCAGGTATGTACCTGCTGACTCCTCATTCATACCCCCCCACCGGCAGGGAAGGGGTCAGAGAACAATCTGAAACCAAATATATTATAGTTATAATAGGTTTTTCCCATTTTTTATGGCAATAAAACAGGTGTTAAGATGTTAAAACACCAAACTGAAACCTTTTACAAGGAATCATGTGTGCACTAACCACAATGCAAACAAAAACATACTCTAATGATATATGCATTGTCCTTGAAACGGATTTGTCCACACCAGAGACAGCTTTCTTTTAAGCCTCGTCTCAAACGGTGTTAGACCAGAGGACGCCAAAAGGCGTACAGCCCAAAGACAATGCACTATCAGAGTAACTAGAGCTCGGGGTGAGCATCTACATCATGGGACCTCCTGACCACAAGCATTGTGGTTAATGCAGACATTATTCCTTGTAAAAGGTTTCAGTTTGGTGTTTTAACATCATAAACACCTGTTTTGTTGCCAGATGAAAGGGGAAACCCCTATTATCATATTTTGGTACTGGCAAAGCAAATCCGATGATATTATAGTTAATTTAGATTAATTTAAATTAAATCATAAGTTGGGAGTGCACCATACAGGGTGTTTGAAAAAGATGGACCCTGTATTTCAAAGCAGTACTGCTTTGAAATACAGCAGTACTGCTTTGAAATTAGGTCCATCTTTTTTAAACACCCTGTATAATCTGGTATGTGGCCTGAAACTAAGCACGATGTGTGGTGAGAACTGTTTGCGTTTAGTTTGGTGTCCTTTTCCCACACCTCCGATTAGCATGGTTGGCTACGTACGGTTCGAAAGAAGTTCAACATACACACATCCAAACTGGGCCCCTGGACATGCAAATTACAATTGAGCTCAGCATCCAATTTATTAGCCATTCGGTCCAATGAAACAATTTGTACAAGTGACTTAAAAAAATGTTTAAGGTACTGTACAGAAACTCATAAAATACACTCAAATAAAGACAAAGTGGAGTTTTCTTAATATATGCTTTAATGGTAATGTAACAGTTTAGAGACGAGCAGCTTTGTCTACCATTTGTAAGACAATGCAATGTTCACACTGAATTTCGTACTGGGTACCGTAATTCGCATGGTCCGTGTAACGTTGCTATTCAATTACCCACGTTCTATGGACTTGCAGAATATTTTTTTCTTTAAAAATTACCAAAAATGTTGAAGGTGTGTCTTAATATCTGGTGCATCTTCTAGTACACATGTCTGGAAGTGTCAATGCAATTAAGCGGTACAAGGGTTATTCCACATCACACCATCACATATAAGTAATATCCTGTAAGTGAAATGTCTTTTATTTTCCTTTAAATTTGTAAGTCGGGTGATATGAGGTGCTTTCACAAATGTTCAGCACTTTACCATTGCCCTCGATCCTACAATGTTGTTCACAAGGGAGAGGAGGGAGGTTAGAGGCACTAGTAAAAATGGTGTTTTCTTGCAAGCATTAAAAAAATATGCACCATGGCAACCAGAAGATTAGAGATATGAAATGTTGTGCATTCGCTTACATACACTAAATAACAAATATTAGTTGTTTTATTTATGCTGCATTGAATTTAGCAAACTTTCAAAAAGAGTTTTATAAAGTCATTGATTGTGCCTTTACATCGCACCGTATTCTCTGTAATATCAGCCTCCAGAGTTGTACCAAAGAAGCAATTGTCTTGGATTCACTGCGCCATAGTCACGTGGCACAAGATTTGTAAATATGCAACCAAGTTAGAATCGTAGATCTAAAGATATTTCCATGGTGTTTGAATGTGCTTTGTATGAAATTAGCAATTCAAAATAAAGATGTTTGAGCAATTTAGTGCATTCGCGAATTACATTGTAGACACAGTATGTTGCTAACTTCATGAAAATAATACTTTTTTGGAGGCTGATATCAAAAAGAATATAAAAACAATCAGTCCAAATGTTCTGTTTTACGAGATAGAGTTCTAATCTCTGGTCGAACAAAAATAATCGTTGCTGTTTTTGGGGTGTAAAAATTTATTCCTAACATATTTATATGGTTTGTCTCCGCAGTGTGCATAAAGAAATGCAAAAAAATGCACATCCTTAGCCCTTCAGGTTACAAAGGTGCAGATTCGTAAAAATTGCTGCAAGCATACACCAGTTGCAAGTGCTAGCAGCCCACACTCCCTTGTATATATCATGTAGGCCTCAAAGTCAGTTATAAGGTTTGGAACATTTGAGAAAGCACCTAATTTATCTTGAACAAAATTACAGGAAAAGCACAGACATGTCACTTACAAGCCCTGGATGATCAGAAGTGGTGGATTCACCCACAACTGAACATAATGCTGCATTGGTAACACAAATTAACTTAAAATCACAAAAAATGTTCAAGAAAACCAATAAAATGTCATACACTGGAATGTATCATAAACTAAAAGATGGAACAACTCGTGTACACTATGAGATCTCTTTTACCAGTGGCAAAATATAATAGTAGGTTTTTACCCTTTTAACTGGTACAAAACTGACACCTTTATTCAAGGCATCATGTTTGCAATGACTGACACCTTTATTCAAGGCATCATGTTTGCAATGACCACAACACAAGTGTTGTGGTCATTGCAAGGCATCATGTTTGCAATGACCACAACACAAGTGTTGTGGTCATTGCAAACATGATGCCTTGAATAAAGGTGTCAGTTTTGTACCAGTTAAAAGGGTAAAAACCTACTATTATAACTCGTGTACAGTTACAATATTGTGTATATACTCCTTATTGTTCAAGGCTTTAAAATATACTCCTTATTGTTCAAGGCTTTAAAACCTTCCCTTAAATTGCAATAGAGAGGAGGCAAGTGTTTGGCGAGAGCATTCAAAATCCAAGTGTGCCCAAGAAGACGATAATGGGCACATGCGTAGACTCATACATGTGCTCAGCGAAACCCAAAACGCGCACAAGTCGAAATAACTCGATAAATATAATCACCCAAGCAGCACGGAATTGTGTTGCCAAACATGACAGTACAGGATCGCAAATGAGCACACATTTGGCACTTGAGTTTGCTTTGTTTGATTGACAGTTGTACCATTAGAGCAGAGCCAACCAAGAAATGAAACAAGATGCTCTCCAGTACTAAACGTTAAGATGCTTGGGCAGCATACAAAATAAAACAAACCCATGGAAATTAACCTTTGGGAATGCCTTAATTCTAGCACAAATGAAAAAAGAAACATTTCTGCATGTAATGAGGCTCGGGTCTGAACGTCTGCATTCTTGCAAGAATTACCAGTCATGTACCTATGATATACCAGTCCTGCATAGACTACAACACGATACAATAAACACTACACACTTATGTGAGTTAATTCACGTAAACATTTTAGTCATGTCCATGGTATCGCCCCCTCCCCCCCCGGAATAAATCCAAGCAAGTGGAGGTGGTGGAAATGTCGAAGGTGCATCCTAGGAAGAAGTACACATACAAACTGGAATAGGATTCTGAAAAAGTCACAAATGGTCATTTAGAATAGTCATATTGCAAACTACTCATATATTTGGATTTAAAGCTTTCGTGACTGCAGGGATTCATATTATTGGTTCTTCCGGTAAAGTCACGTAGAAGGGAAACAATAAAATAATCTATATATATAAAATCGTTCATGTCTGTCTGTCTGTGTGTGGACTTTGGCCCATACGCACTTTCATTGGACGGCGGTTGCCCCTGGCAACGGCTAGCCACGCCTTCGCTGCTTTCATTGGACCTGGCAACGGCTAGCCACGCCTTCGCCAAGGGCTGCAGTTTCATTGGACGGCGGTTGCCCCTGCCAACGGCTAGCCACGCCTTCGCCACTTTCATAAGCTCCGTATTTAATTAAATAATAGCCATTACACAGTATTGTTGGAGCGCTAGGGGGGGGGGGGGGAAGGAACGCCACCCGTACCCTGCCTTTTCCAAGCCGACAATTTTAGGCGAGGCCGCAGGCTTTGCACGCTACTAGGCCTCGACACCCACCACGCCACTCTGAGGTAAATTCATCAAAGTTTTTCCTACTCTTCACTACACCCCCACCACAATGTGTGCTATTAATATTACTTTTAAACCCAACGCGCCAACAATCGATTACTTTAATGTTCACTGTACAAATACTCATTAAGCTGGGTGAGCGTACTGCCAGTCTATCATGTACACTGTAGCCTGCTTATTAAGCTCGGTGAGCGTACTGCCACTCTATCATGTACACTCTAGCCTGCTTATGAAGCTGAGTGCGTGTACTGGCAGTCTATAATGTGGACTCTTGCCTGGTTATTATAATCGATTCTTTATATGTTCTTTGTACAAACAGTCATTAAGCTGCTTGAGTGACCCCAGTTCGATTCCAACTCACGCCCACCACCGCTGACGATTATTTGAAACGGACCTGGCCCTCCCCTAGGTCCACTCAGCCTCAAAAGCGTAACTGCTGTCGTGTGTGAACATCGTCACTGGGGAGACAAAGGCGGCGGGGCATCGTGGATCCAAGTCCCGGGCGAAGCCGGGTCATGTGTATGTGTGTTTGTGTTTATGTGTATGTCTGTGTGTCTCTATGTATGTGTGTATAATTATGTGTATGTATGTGTTTGTGTGTATGTGTGTGTGTATGTATGTGGGTTTTTTTTTATGTCTTTATGTGTATGTCTGCGTGTCTCTATGTATGTGTGTATGTACGTGTGTGCATGTGTTTGTGTGTATGTATGTGTGTGTCTATGTATGTGTGTGTATGTGTTTCTGTGTATGTATG